TGACAAAATACACAGCATGAACGTACAGAACAGTCTACATGAGTTTTGTGGATTTGGAGAAGGCGTTCGACCGCGTCCCTCGGGGGGCCCTGTGGGGGGTACTCCGGGAGTATGGGGTACCAGGCCCTCTGATACGGGCTGTTAGGTCCCTGTATGACCGGTGTCAGAGCTTGGTCCGCATTGTCGGCAGTAAGTCGGGCTCGTTCCCAGTGAGAGTTGGACTCCGCCAAGGCTGCCCTTTGTCACCGATCCTGTTCGTAGCTCTTATGGACAGGATTTCTAGGTGCAGCCAAGGTGTCGAGGTGGCCTGAGAATCGGGTCTCTGCTTTTTGCAGATGATGTGGTCCTGTTGGCTTCATCAGAACGTGATCTCTCGCTGGAGCGGTCTGCAGCCGAGTGTGAAGCAGCTGGGAGGAGAATCAGCTCCTCTAAATCAGAGACCATGGTCTTGATTCAGAAAAGGGTAGAAAGCCTTCTCCGGGTCAGGGATGAGGTCCTGCCCCAAGTGGAGGAGTTTAAGTGTCTCAGTCTTGTTCACGAGTGAGGGAAAACTGGAGCGTGAGATCGATAGGTGGATCGGTGCTGCGTCTGCAGTGATGCGGGCGTTGTACCGGTCTGTCGTGGTGAAGAGAGAGCTGAGTCAGAAGGCAAAGCTCTCAATTTACCGGTGGATCTACGTTCCTACCCTCACCTATGGTCATGAGCTTTGGGTAGAGACCAAAAGAATGAGATCGCGGATACAAGCGGCTGGAATGAGTTTTCCCCACAGGGTGTCTGGGCTCTCTCTTTGAGATAGGGTGAGTAGACCTGCTGCTCCTCCACATCGAGAGGAGCCATTTGAGGTGGCATCTGGTAAGGATGCCCCCTGGTGAGGTTTTCCGGGCACGTCCAACTGGGAGGAGACCTAAAGGGAGACCAGGACATGCTGGAGGGACAATGTCTCTTGGATGGCCAGGGAACGCCTTGGGATTTTCCCAGAAGAGCTGACCCAAGTGGCTGGACAGAGGGAAGTCTAGGCCTCTCTGCTTAGGCTGCTGCTCCGGCGACCCGAGTCCAGAGAAGTGGAAGAAAATGGATGGATGGATGGAAGAAGTATAATTATGTCTGATGTACAGAAACACGTTGAACAATAAAAACAGTGAAACTGGAGTGTGCATCCGCAGCCTGCAGACGGTCGGAGGGCCATGCTGTTTGGGGCATGTGGAGGCTAGCAGATGTGAGTGTGATCTATAATAAGATCGGGATGTGAAGCATTTTAAATCTTCACCTCCTCCTCCACCATCCCATCATTCCTCAGCTCCACCCAGGGAGTGCCACCTCCACCACCTGCTGCTGTCTGTTTGCATGCAGAGCTGCAGTTTAGAGCTGCAAAACAGAACATCAGGCGTTCCGATTTCTGATTTTACACACATTAAATGCATCCTGCACACCTCTGTCCCAGGCATCTCCTTCACGCAGCCCACAGACGCTGCTTTCCTTACAGGATGCTTACAGACGGCTTCTTTTCTGCAGAATCTGTTTTTCTGTTGACAGAAATCAGTTGTGACAACACACCGGTGTCCTGGCAGCAGCGAACGGAGACCTGCGGGACACCAGACACCATCGGCCCACCCAAACACACACACACACACACACACACCCAAACGCACACGCACCCACCCACACACCTAAACGCACACGCACACGCACACACGCACACACGCACACACGCACACACACACACACACACACACACACACACACACACACACACACACACACACACAGCTGAGCCAAGGCTGCTAAGAAAGGATCACATGAAGCAGGAGGGACCGTCAGGAATGAGATGGGTTGACCGAGGACCGAGTGATTCCCAAACATGGATTATAGAGCCGAGCTGCTGGCAGACCGGAGACAACCTGAGCGGGATTTCAGTAAAAATGTTATTAAGCTGCTTTAAATACGTTTTTCATGGAAAACATTTACTGTTCAATTCTGCACAAATAGAACCATTTCAAGCGATTTGTAAACAAGTTTTTATAGTTTCCAGGATCCCTGGGGACCCGCTCGGTGGCCTAGGGATCCACCCTGAGACTGGGAGATCAGGGTTCAAATCCCGGTCGGGTCACAGCAAAGACTTTAAAAATGGGAGCCATCGCCTCCCTGCTTTAAGGGTTGGATCGGGGGTCAAACCACCAAATAGTTCCCGAGTGCAGCCACAGCTGCAGCTCACTGGTCCCCAAGGGGATGGGTCACATGCGGAGAAACAGTTTCACACACCACTGTGACGACTAGAGGGACTTTAACTTTAATTTTAAAGGCACACTTGGCAGTTGTGCTTGCTTTTAGCACCCCCTAGTGTCCGTTATTAATTCTCTGTGATCAAACTGAAAATGAAACCGTCTCCTCGCCGTGCGTTCTTGTTTTTAACACCTTCATCTGAAACGTCTCCCCAGCCTTCCCTAGTGTCTACAGAAGTGATCCATCCTAAATTAAACAGACCAGCTGTGTTCATGACCTGAAACATGCAGGAACCAGTCTGCAGGGCCAGGAATGTCAGCTCTTTTTTTATTAGTCCAACAGGTGGCAACCTGCCACTCTCAAGTTGCAAGTGCGATATTCTGGCCACAGAGGATGGTGGGGGGTCTGATGACATTTCATTAACCCTGCAGAGGGTTGTTTAGCACATTCTGGCTCAGGGAATTGATCTAAAACATGAAAATTTGCTGTTCTGTTTTCATGTTCAACGATAATCCAAATTCATACCAAATCTGTGCCCGGGTGGCTTCTTCGGTTCAGTAACGCAGCTAGACTCTAGAAGCATTAGTCCCTTAACTTATACCTGGCAACGGGGACGTGTGACATGTTTGGCTAACTTGCTGGTTTGTGGTGACCAGCGTGTGCAGATGACAACTAAAGAAGGAGAGGATTCAGCTGCAGTAATGAAATGTGGGCAACAGCTAAGGCAACGTCCACATTTACATCAGTTTAAAATCAAATACAGGGAAATGGTTTTGTCTAAATATACAACTGAAGAAGATCAGCCAATCTTCACTTGTAAAGCGCCTTCCACTGCCTTTGGTGCAGAACATAAAATACATAGAAAACACAGACGGCAATAAAAAGGAGGTTAAAACAACACACAGACATATAAGCATTATACTAAATGTAAACAAGGAGCATAAAAGCCAAACGACTCTTAAATGCCTCCAGCGAAGGTGACAGTTTTAGATCCAGTGGAAGCTCATTCCAGAGAGGAGCCAAGCCCGGGAAACCCGATCACCTCCAGACCTGGACCTAGTCTGTGGGACGGTCAGCAGGCCAGACCAGCCGAGCGTAGAGTCCGTGATGGGGTGTGCCTGATGGTGTTTGAGGGTCATTCTGGTTCTGGATGACCTACTTTAACAATATTTACATAATAGGAGAATAACAGAAACTATTAGTTTGGTATAATTACTATTATTATTGTGAGTATTTAATTGCTACTATGATCATTTTTACAATTATTTATTATTCACTATTGTTGTTGTTGTTGTTGTTGTTGTTATGATTGTTGGGTATTTTTATAGTTGTACCTTTTTGAGGCCTAAAAGATGCCCATTTTGTGTTATAAACACATCATGAATCTCTGTTTTTGCCAACTGTTGCTGTTCATGAAAGGTTGAGCAAGGATGTTGATTGTGGGTTTCCAACTGAAAACTGTACCTCTGTAACCTGAGAAGGCCCGCCTTCTCCCCCATCCTTTTGCTGAATAAAGCCCCTGGGAAGCTGAGGAGACTTGGGAGTGACGGGGGAAAGCCTCGGAGGAGGTTTTTCCCCGCGTTAACTCTCCTTTATTTTGGGGACTCAGGGTAAAATGTCTTCCATGTTGTCAAGAGTGTTATTTCAGGTTCCAGGGTTATGGAGATTAAATATTACCCACATTTAATAAACTAACATCTTGGTGGAGAATGCGGGCATGCAGAGCTGGTGAGCTGAAGGCTTTCCCCAGGAGCAGAGGGGGCCTGGTTAGCTCCATGGAGGGGGTTTCTGCACCCAGCTCTCGCATGACGACTCATGGACATTACAAATAATCTCTCTCTCTCTCTGTGTGTGTGTGTCGTCCTTTAAGGTAATATGGGATAAATGTAATTACCTATCAATGGTAACTAATCACAGCTATTAATTTATTTATTTATTATTGTACGGGAGAAATTCATGCAGTCTGTTCTCATTAGAAAATATATGTTAATAATTGTAATTATTTAACATAACAGCTCTGAGATCTGCATGTGTGTGTGTGTGTACGTGTGTGTGTGTGTGTACGTGTGTGCGTGTGTATGTGTGTGTGTGTGTGTGCGTGTGTATGTGTGTGTGTGCGTGTGTGTGTGTGTGTGTGTGTGTGTGTGTATATTTTGTTTGTTTTCTTTTTTCTGTTTACTATAATTGTTTAAAAAAGGTAATCCTAATTGTCTTAAGTACTAATAAACTTATCAATCAATCAAAAATGCGATATTGCAACCACAGGTCCGCACTGGTTAGTATCCTTCAAGACTGATGAGCTAACGGCTAGTCTCAAAGCAGTGATCCACGAGGCAGGGAGAAGCTATATCACCGAAAAATGAAAATGCATTCAGATTTTAGATTTTAGACTTTCTGTCCACCAGCGACTGCTAATAAACATTAACATGAACCCGAACGGATGAAAAAGGTTCGGTTTAAGGCTAAAAACAACAATTTAACTGTAGGTCTGGAGCACGGGACAACAGGAACTCCATTATGTCCCTCTGGGGTTTTTATTTAGGCCGATTTAGCTTGCAGGAGCGGCAGAAGCTTAGCCGGAAAGAATGTGAAGACTGTCGGGCGTTCCCTGCTGATGGCCGTGTCTCTATATTAGAACTTCACAGGTTCAGGTGCGACACGATGAAGAGCTGCTGGAGCTAACGACCGTCATCCAAAACCGCCCTAGATGTTTAGTGTCTGATGTTGGAAACAGCAGGACTCTGAAACTAAACTCAGGTGTTTCCATTTCTCTGTTTCAGACTCTGGCGTAGACCAAGATGTGTTCAACCAGACCAGGGGTCAGGCTGTAAGTAAGCACCCTGTGTGTGTTTAGCATCTGGTGTTTGTGCTGAAGGTCCGGTTTTTCTTAGAGATGCACTCATCAGCAGAAGAGATGTGGAAGAAGCTCAGTTCAAAGCATCCTTCACTGCTCTAGCAAAAGAATAAAAACTTTTATTTTGAAAATGAAATGATGTAAAAGTCAGTTCCTCTAAATGAATCTGACCCAGAAAAAGGTGGAATGATCGGGTTGGATGAGTTTGGGGGTTTGTTCGTGTGTGATTATGAGATGGAGGAGAGATGGACCAACGTCTGCAGGAGTGAAGGTGTTGGTCCCATCTTCACGTTCCAAAACTCACCTGTGGTCCTGGGATTTGGAGCTGCAGCTCCTTCTCATCTAAAGCCTTCAGTTGAGGTGGTCCTGGTCAAGAGGCCTTCTGGTCACCTCCCACTCACAGCAGACACAGAACTTGAGGGACCTGGGAACATCTTAGCAAGCCCCCAGGAGCGCCTGGAGGTGTCTGTGGGAGAGAGTGGATGGATGGGAATAACCTGAAGACAGCTGTAGGAGCTTCCTGTTCCCCAGATCAAGACCAAACAGGACTTTCACTCCTAAATATCTGTGGTGATGTTCTCAACTAGAAAGCTCTTAGGTGTGCCTAACAGTGGACAATGGACTCCAATCCCACTATTATTAGTGTCCCTAGTTACTTTAGGAATTCTCCTGAGCTGTGGGAGTTTTCAGGTCTCAAACAGAAAATTCCAGGCTGCACATTCTTCATGACTGTGCTTGCATCAGGTCTCCTCCCACAAGAGGCTCGTGCAGCAGAATTAACCCAAATGATCCAGATCTTCTGGTTCGTTTCCAAATAGTTTCAGAAAACTGGTGAACTTCTGGGACAATAAGGTTTTTATTTATAATGACTTTAAAACTCCTTTTCTTCAGCAGATAACTTGTTCCTCTAAATCCTGAAACGGGAACGCATGATCAGAAACGGACTTCCTTTGGGTTCATGCTAACAACACAACCGTCACTGTTGTGTTTATTTAGCGTTCGTGTGGAAGACTACACCGGGCTCTGGAGGAAGCTACTAGTGCTGCTAAGAGGAAGAGGCATTCAAAGTTTAGAAATAACAGGAAATAAAATATTAAAAGGGTTTGCTGACCTTATATTTTCACATCATTATGGGATGGATTTGTTAGGTGAAGACATATCAGAGCATCTCTCTCATAAACATCTGGAAGCCAGAATTCTACTTTAAAGACTAAATTCACTGAGAAAATGTCTTTTTTAGTTTTTATTTGGAAAAATGACGGATCTCTCATAGTGTTTCATGCAGGCTGAACATGAAAATAGTCTCCTACACCTAGCATTAGCATTAGCTTCTGATAGAAAACAGACGGTGAAACTCTAGGATTAGAAAATCCTGACAGATCTATGTCACCCTGTCACTAACATTCATGGACTCACCCATCTGGACTCACGACGGGGAAGGCTGTTGTTGGTTTACCGTCCAGGAAACAGCAGAGAACGTCTCAGCTAGCAGAAGCTAACTGTTAGCATTAGCAACTCCACCACACAGCAGAACTCCTCCAGGCCTGTGTTATTGGTGGAGATAAAACATCAACGTTGCAGAGCAGACAGAGTCAGTGATAGAGTGGTGTTGCTGTTAGCCAATCAGAGGAGAGACTTCTGAATATCAGGAAGTAGACTCCAGATGCTGCCGTGTTCAGATCAGCTCTCCTCTAGTTCCTGAAACAGGAGCATCAGAGCTTTTCCCCCCAGAGATTGACTCACAAGTCCTTAACTCCTAGACCACCGACACGTAATGTTTATTCTTTATTCCTGCTTTTTAAATAGAGGAATACGTTATTATTTAAACTGGTGATGTTTTATTCTCCCACCTCATCTGTAATCCACACATCCAAGTTTCTGCACCTTCTCAGCTACTCATTTACATAAAGCCTGTTATTTTCTCCCACTGCTGCAGCAATCAGAGAGCTCTGCTTAACTCGGTTTCTGACGGTATTGTTGTTATTTTAGGCTTTGAGCTCACAGACAGAAACAGGAAACCTGCTGCTGATGTTACAGGTCAGGACAGAATGTTTTCAATAGGTTCACTTTGCAAAAGTTCACGGAACAAACAGTGGAAGGAGATACGTGAAGTGTGACATGCTGCATCCTGAAGGCCGGCGCGAGGTGCGAATGACTCGGACATCCTAAAACTGATGTTTCTAGTCTGAAAAATACAGGATAGCACGTGTTTACCTTCAGGTATTTACAGGACTGTTCAAAGCAAGACAACTTAAGATTTTTATCTGTCAGGAAGATTTTATTCATGCAGGGAATGTTTGTGTCTTGCTGCACACACACACTGAACTCATGGTGTGTTTAAACATGGAAGCTTCCTCTATTTTACCTCTGTGAGGAAACCACATGGAGCACAGGAAGAGGTGAAACGTCAAAATGACCAAAATCACTGGAATCCGGCTTTAATATTCACGCCATGGTCCGCACATCATTCCGATGTTTCCCTGTTGAGTCTCAGACCGGCTGCTGCATTCAGATCAGAGACCACGGGTCCAGCTGAAGGTTGAAAGTCAGACGTCTGCTGATGAACTAGTCGTCTCACCTCGTTTTTCTGTGATCAGGTAAAAGACAAGAGGAGGTCGCCCCCCTCTGCCAGGTCCCCCTCCACCCCACAAGCCCACCAGAGCAGCACCACAGACGAACAGGAGAGCCCAGAGAGAGTGGTGAGACGGAAACACACACACACACACACACACACACACACACACACACACACACACCTGGATACAAGTGGCTGGATGCGAGTTTCTAGACAATCGTCTACAAGGGGATTAAAAGTCTTCCAGGACCGTTGTGATGGCTCTCTGGTCTCACATGAACACTTTAACAGTTTCATTCTTGACAGTTTCAAGACCTTCCAGAATGAGCTGTAATATTTTGTAAGTGGTCACAAATAATAAATCGTCAATATAATATAAAAGGTATTCAACAATATATAATATTCCATAAAAATATGAATCTTTCATTTTATTAAGCCTTTAATATCCAACTGACACTGGAAATAGGTACTTTGGGTCGCCAGGCAACCAACGCTTCCCAATGATGTGACACAGAAGCAAAAATGTATATTATAAAAATCTATTTATTACCATATTTCTACAACTACTGATTATACGGGATAACTGTAGGATGTGTGGAGTAAATATGTCTCCACCCATGCTTGACTCCCACTTTAACTGGTACTGGCATTATCCTGGTACACAATAACGTAGCGTACCCAAAGGTCAAGTATTTCATCAAAATGAACAGAAATGAACTTTCATTTGCAGACACAAACTGCGTCACACATCCAGCGACGCATCCCATCTGTCTGGCCTCCAAACAAGAAGGGCACTGCACAAGGCCTGGTCACCGGATTAAGGAGATAGTCATTCCTAGCTCGCTTATCCTTGCTGGAGCAAAGGTCTCATGCAGAAGATGAGACTTTCACTCTGAATGAAGTTCTTCTTCCTTGAATCATAAGTGACTTTACAACTTTATAGGTTGAACTAATCAAATGTGTTGAGTGAATAATGTGTGCTTTAATCAGTGATGTGTTAACATGAATATTTTTCCTGCAATGATTCATTTCAGATCCTAAACTACACCAGATCCGTGTTTGTTGATTTAACGAGTTCATCTACCAGTTCACTCATACATCATGAGATTAATATTAAGGTTTAACATCCACTTCACACTAAGATTTAACCTCTCCGAGTGTCTGAGTGAAGGTGGGAGTTCTGAGGTCAAATCCTGATTTGCCAAATTTAGAAACAAAAGTTGATAAATACAGGAATCGCTTCCTGATCTAGTCAGTTCTCCTGCTGCATCCTGGTTCGACCGACCGCTGAGCAAGCGTTTGGAACCATCCCCTCTTTTGACCTCAAGGTCAAAGCCTCTCTGCAGCGCTTGCGAGTGATTTCAGGCCCAACAGCTCACACATGCAACGTCTAACCTGCAGACCCCGGTTGCATCTCATGGCCGGTGAAAGCTGAATTCAAAGGGAGCTACAACTCTTTGGGTTTTCGTGGCCTCGACGTCTGGTGAACTCACTCAGGCTGCCTTTCCTTCAGACCGCTGAGTGTGACAGTTACACAAGGGTGCGTAGATCGGCAGACTGCCTCGGATGGTTTTATAAACAAACTTTAGCTTATTAAACCATACGGCCAAACGGATTTCACCTCCCAGACCACAATCTCTCTCTCCCTGAAGAGTCAAAGAAACTAAAGTCTTCTGATTAAACATTTAATGACCAATCAGATTGATTTTTCATGTTTATATGGAACATCAGCCTGACTTATTATATCCGTAGCCAATCCTTAACACTACAATAACACCAATGCAATACTCAGTATGTGTGCAATACCCGTGCAATACCAGATTTACATAGTATGTCTGAGTCCCTTACACAGGGTATCCGCAGGTCCTTAAAAAGCCTTAAATTTGCTTTTCCAAATTTAAGGCCTTAAAAATCCTTAAAAATTACAAATTATCCTTAAATACAGTTTCCAAAGGTCTTAAATGACCAAAGACCCAATAAACAAGATTATTTTATTTCTATAAAATTTTTGTGAATTTCTAGTTAGTCTTCAGCATTTTTTGTGTACGATGTTGGCGTAAGCGGAACTGCACACATATGGTTGGTTGTGAAAGGGGGCTATTTTTAGAGGAGCATGCGAGTGGGAGCTTGCGCCATGGGGAAGTGCAACATTAATGGTAACTGGATGGCTAATCCCACGTTCACGATGTGGTTAGCACCAGTTCCAGGCAATAGCTGGAAATTATAACTTAAATTTAATTTTAAAAAATAGCTTAAATGTGGTCAAAGTGACCTTAAAAAGGTCTTAAAAATTCTTAAATTTGGCTCCCTTAAACCTGCAGACACCCTGCTTACAGTATGCTGCGTAGTTCTGCATAGTTACATACTAGCTTACTGCCTATGTGTATATACATGTACCTTTGTATTATTCATTGAATTTCCCCACTGTGGGATCAATAATGTCTATTCTATTCTATTCTATTCTATTTCTATGGCTCTCATTCTATGTGAAGTATTCACAGCAGGAAAAATGATGACCTTTAATAGTTTGTTCTGTTATTGGTGAAAATGAAATGAGTTGGGGTTGACTCAGAGTCCATTCAGACACCGGTTCTTCTCTGACCCATGAGCTCATTGTTCACTACATAAACAAGCTTTGGTTTCACCCAGATCAGCAGAAACATTCATTTAAGCCTTTTCATGACGCAGCAGGTAAGCGTCTGCGTCGGCAGCAAAACATCTAAATCTGGCAGAGCAACACTCTACCCTCATTCATGGACTAACCTGTTTGAGGTTTGAACTTGATTTAACCACGTCGACCGGCTTAAAAAAGTCTCCACCTGGTTTAAACTGAGCAGACAGGTAGGAGCCTCCAATTGGATAATTACTGCATGGGCGTTTATCTTTCATCTGCAACAACTTATTTAACCCAACCGGTGCAACGAGCTGCTTCTCACTTCTTAAACAACCAGGTGGAAAAACACGTCTGGTGGTCGTAGAAAAGATGTTAGTCTGTGTGAGAAGGGTCAGATCACCGGCATCAAGCAGAGAAAACATCTAAGGAGATGCAGAAACGACTAAAACTGGGTTCAGAACTGTCCAACGCTTTATTAAAACTGGTCTGATGAGTCCTGATGGACCCTGTTCCAGAGTGAAGGTGCATCAGGGTAAGAAGAGAGGCAGATGAAGTGATGCACCCACCATGCCTACTGTACAAGCCTGTGGGGGCAGTGTAATGATCTGGGCTTGCTGCAGCTGGTCAGGTCTAGGTTCAGCAACAGGATGTGCTCCAAGAATGAGGTCAGCTGACTACCTGAATATCCTGAATGACCAGGTTATTCCAGCTTCCCTGATGGCATGACTATATTCCAAGATGACAATTCCAGGATTCATCAGGCTCAAATTTTAAAAAAGCACGCTGCTGCTAACCACTTAAACATTCTCCCTCTCCTGATAAAAACATTTTACTCTCTTTGACATTGAATGTGCTACTACTAGTTTACCCGTTTAATCATAGATTCACTAGGATAAATACAATAAAGTTTATCTCTCTTAGAGTAAAGACTCTGACACTAGAAGAAGAAGAAAATATCATTTCTATAGCTCATCTCAAGATAAAAATCACGAGGCGCTTCACAAAAACAAAAAATGTAAAACTAAAAAAAGCATTTAGAAAAAGTTTAAAAATATATTTCAAATTAGCAAAAATAGGCAACTGTGATTTTAAAAAATGTAAAGAGAGAGAGAGAGTGAATATGAAAGAGGGGGATCAGTGGATCCTGAGGAAGGTGGAACAGGTGGGGAGAGCAGAACAAGGAGAGGGAGGTGATGATGGTCCCACCAAAACCAGCCTGAACAGGTGAGTTTAAAGGAGACCACTGAGTCCACTGATCTCAGGCTCAGGGGGAGAGAGGTCCATAGTCTGGGGGCCACAGCAGCAGATGATCTGTCACCTTTGACCTTTAGCCTGGTGCTGCACAACCAGTAGGCTTTGATCACTGGACCTCAGGGACCTGCTGGGGGTGTAGGGACTAAGAAGATCACCAATGTAAGATGGTGCTTGTCCATGTAAGGCCCTATAGACCAGAACCAGGATCTTGAAATGAACCCTGAAGTTGACTGGCAGCCAGTGAAGCTGGAGGAGAAGCGGGGTGATGTGGGTGTGTTTGGAGGACTTGGTCAGAAGCCGAGCACAGGCGTTCTGAACCACCTGTAGACGGTTCAGGGAGGTTCTGCTCAGACACGTGAAAAGAGAGTTACAGTAGTCTAAGCGTGAGGAGATGAAGGTGTGGAGAACTGTCTCAAGTTCAGAGCGGGACAGAATGGGACTCAGCTTAGCAACGTTCCTGAGATGGAAGAAGGAAGAGCCAACAAGAGAACTGACATGAGAATCCAGGGTGAGAGCTGGGTCAAAGGTCATGCCAAGATTCCTGACAGAAGGTTTGGTGTGGGAAGCAAGCTGACCAAGAGAGTCTCTGACTTTGGGAACCAGCTTGTCTGGGGCACAGATGAGGATCTCAGTCTGATCTTCATTCAGCTGAAGAAAGCTCCCACCATCCAGGTTTTGATAGAGTCTAAGCAGGTGTGTAACAGCTGCAGCTTAGACATCTCATGGGGCTTAAAGGAGATGTACAGTTGGATGTCATCTGCATAAAGATGGTAGGAGATTCCTTTGAAGGAGCTCAGGATGTGCTGAAGAGGAAGCAGATAGAGGAGGAAGAGCAGAGGCCCCAGCACAGAACCTTGTGGGACACCATGGGTAAGAGAGGTGGTGGAGGACCTAAACTTGGAGACGGCCACAGAAAAGGAGCGCTCAGAGAGATAAGAGGAGAACCACTCCAGAGCAGATCCTGATAGGCCTACCCAGTCTCTGAGCCTCTCCAGTAGCAGGTGATGGTCAACAGTGTCAAAGGCTGCAGTCAGGTCCAGCAGGACCAGAACAGAACAGTCCCCTGCATCACTGTGGGTCAGAAGGTCATTAGAGACCCTAAGAAGAGCTGTTTCAGTAGAATGAGCTCTACGAAAACCTGACTGGAAGCTATCATAGATGTTATGTTCATCAAGAGCAGCTGTGAGTTGTTTAGCCACAACCTTTTCCAAGATCTTGGAGATGAACGGAAGTTTAGTCAGTGACTCGATGCGACCTGCTGGGTTCCTTATATAGGAAACTTGCTACTGATTGGCTTAATGACCTGTCCTGTACTGTGTTTACTGTGTGAAGGTCCTTGAGACGACTCTGGTCCTGATTTGGAGCTGTATAAATAAACTGAACTGAATTCAACTGAAATAGTGAGAGTGGTTCAGGGAACACGACACATACTTTTCACATGGATCGGCCACCACAGAGTCCAGACCTGAACCCCAGTGAGAATCTTTGGGATGTGCTGGAGAAGGTTTTGTCAGACTCTTCCATCCTCAATGCAAGCTCTTGGTGAAAAGTGAACGCAACACTTATTTGTCTGAGCTTCACACCAGAATGTCGAGGTCTGCTAATCTCCACTAGCTTGTTACACCCAGATTAGATTTTAATTCCAGGGGAGTTGACGCTTTTTTCCATAGTTGCTCCAAGTCCTTCACCCTAAGTGTGAGCTGCAACATCCAATAGTTCCTTTAACCCTCATCAGAAAACTGTTCTCTCCGTGTTTTAGCTTGAACTGAGCCGGAATCTGTTGTTTGGTTTTATTGTTGTCCTGTCTTTATGCCTTTATGATTTTACTCATGGGTAACAGACAGTTTTAGCACTGTGCACTAAAATCAAGTTTTGACTTGAGCAGTTTAACTGATTTATGTCATTTTTAGATTTATCATTATTTGTGGTTTGTTCCTGACAATTTCTGTGTCCCATATGTTTAAGATCTCAAAAGGTTTCTTGCATTTCATCTGCAGGTGCAGAAAGAGAAACTTCATGCTGAGCTGAAGCAGGTGTTGAGTCAAAAGAGAAGTCATCTGAGAGAGTCCACCTGCCACCTTGCCCAACCAGAGATGGATCCAGAACCAGCAGAGAAACAGACAGTAAGCAGAAAACTGGTAGCCTGGAATGAATATATAGTCCTGCCACGACCCATAGACAGAGTACAGTCATGAGGCATAAAGGTTGTCTCTCAAACGGTCTCTGGACACCAAACAACGTGGCACTCACCGCTATGGATGTCAGTCAATGGGGCAGTCTGCCATATTTGGCTCAAGAAGATCCAAATTCATCTGTTTTCTAAAGTACTTCGATCTGCTCTTGACTTTACTGAGAGCACTGTGATTGGCCCTACCAAACAGGCAGAGCGCTGTGATTGGCCCTACCAAACAGGCAGAGCGCTGTGATTGGCCCTACCAAACAGACAGAGCGCTGTGATTGGCCCTACCAAACAGACAGAGCGCTGTGATTGGCCCTACCAAACAGGCAGAGCACTGTGATTGGCCCTACCAAACAGGCAGAGCACTGTGATTGGCCCTACCAAACAGACAGAGCGCTGTGATTGGCCCTACCAAACAGACAGAGCGCTGTGATTGGCCCTACCAAACAGGCAGAGCGCTGTGATTGGCCCTACCAAACAGTCAGAGCGCTGTGATTGGCCCTACCAAACAGTCAGAGCGCTGTGATTGGCCCTACCAAACAGGCAGAGCGCTGTGATTGGCCCTACCAAACAAACAGAGCGCTGTGATTGGCCCTACCAAACAAACAGAGCGCTGTGATTGGCCCTACCAAACAGTCAGAGCGCTGTGATTGGCCCTACCAAACAGGCAGAGCGCTGTGATTGGCCCTACCAAACAGGCAGAGCGCTGTGATTGGCCCTACCAAACAGACAGAGCGCTGTGATTGGCCCTACCAAACAGACAGAGCGCTGTGATTGGCCCTACCAAACAGTCAGAGCGCTGTGATTGGCCCTACCAAATAGAGCGCTGTGATTGGCCCTACCAAACAGACAGAGCGCTGTGATTGGCCCTACCAAACAGTCAGAGTGCTGTGATTGGCCCTACCAAACAGACAGAGCGCTGTGATTGGCCCTACCAAACAGACAGAGTGCTGTGATTAGCCCTACCAAACAGACAAAGCGCTGTGATTGGCCCTACCAAACAGACAGAGCGCTGTGATTGGCCCTACCAAACAGACAGAGCGCTGTGATTGGCCCTACCAAACAGACAGAGCGCTGTGATTGGCCCTACCAAACAGACAGAGCGCTGTGATTGGCCCTACCAAACAGACAGAGCGCTGTGATTGGCCCTACCAAACAGACAAAGCGCTGTGATTGGCCCTACCAAACTGACAGAGCGCTGTGATTAGCAGGGCACAAGACTGTTTGGGCCTGCTGAAGCTCCTATGGAGAGTGGTTGGACCAACATGCAGAGCATCATTTTGCTTTGGCTACGGTCTCTCTAGAGCCAAATTTCTCTTTCTCCTTCTACGTCGGTATAGACACACACGCAACGCCATTATGCGTCGGCAAAAGGGCTCTCCGACAGGGAGAGTGACGGAGACATGCCCCAATTTTTAACTATCAATCAGAAGAGACAGAGACCGCAAGCTTGTGATTGGTCAGAACGCTGCTTCCTGTAAATTCATCATTGCCCTGTCAAAGAGTAAAAAGATATTTAGCAGCAGACACAGAACAGATTGAAGAACAAAAAAAGTCTGAAAATATGAACTTTTATTCACCGGTAGGAGTGCAAAGATATGGAGCAAGCGTTTTATTCGTGGATGGAAAAGACGAGAAACTGGAGTTTAGGTGTGCTGATCGTATGTATGATGAGGTGGAAAATCGTCTGTGTTCAAAAGTCTCTGAAATACACAAAAACCATGTAAACACAATCGTAAATACACTATCGTGGTCCCGATACGTGACTGTAATGGTGGCAGGATACGCCAGAACAGTGCTACGCCCTCTGTTGCCCTGGCGAGGAATTGTTTTGCAACACTCCCCAGCTGACGGAGAAGTCTGAGAGCAAAACATCTGTCTATGCGTGTGCGTCTCTCCCTCACGGAGCTGATGGAGATGTATAAATTAGGCTTACGTTTCTGGGCTAACAAACTGGCCCCTTGTTCCTGTAATTATTCAGCTTTCATTTGCTGTCAAAAAGGTAATAAATGCCTTAATGATAAAGTTGATAAATGATAAAGAGTCCTAACTTGTTGCTTGTTACTACTGTAAACAGCGTGCTCCTGTGGTTTAAATTAATCTATTATTCATTTGATTTATAGTACACAACGATGGTAAATCATTGGTGTGTGTGTGTAACACGTGATCGCCAAGGAAAAAGGTGGAAAACGGGCTCTTTTTTCACACTTTTCCTGCTTGGAGCCACGAGACCAAGTATCTCTTCAGCTCGCAGCTGTAAGGCGACCAAACATCACCGTCCGGAGGGTTTCATTCCAGGAAGTTACAGATGGTGTACGTTTTTTAAATCAGCGTTTCTTCGCTTCAAACATGACATGCACACACAACACACATCCACACACGCTTCACACACATACCGGTGAGCTAATGCGGGCGTGCTGACACCCAACACAACTTCTCCTGCTACACTTCTTCTGTGGGATGACCATTTTGATTTTTTACTAGAAAAACCAGCAAATGAAAGGTTTAGCATTCATTTGGATGTCTACATCCGCTCACACCACAAATAAGAAAGCCGAAAATGTCCGTTACGCGGAGCAGCGGCGGCTACGAGTTGTCGTCAGTGCTCCAGCCTTGGGTCTTTCATATCCAAGCCGTTTATAATGCAGATGTTGTCCTCATACCTGTTCCCGACGTCTTTAACGTATTCCTGTTTATTCTGCACCTTTTTGGGATTTTAACATGTTGTTTAACAATTTCTTTCACCCAAATCCGCTTCTTCTCTCCAACGTATTGCTTGTTTTCACGGTTTGTTTACACTCGGAAGGCCGCCAACATGTCTGTGCACATCCCAAAATGCTATGCATACTCACATGTGGTCACAAGCCCTATACTCGCACTTCCACACTTGTGCCCCTCAGGTGTGCGTTCCCCTGTTCAGTGGTGTGAGTGCGTAGGTTGCCCCCCCGTTTCGAACATTGCTCTGCCCCGTTTACACCCTTGATCTGCACTCTGCTGAAGCCCACACAGTCTCGGTCTTTGGTGGAGGGGATTATACACAATGTATTGTTGCGTGGGAATTTGGAGAAGAAGGCAGAGAAATGGCTCAAGTGCCCTTTCTGGAAATGTGTATTTTCAGGTTGAAATTTTGAAATATTGAACATTTTATTGTTGTGTTTACCACTGGAGGCAGTCTAGGTGAGGAGAACATAGGCAGGAGAGAAGAAGTGGAGTGAAAGAGTTAACTCATTAGCTGCCAGCGTTTCTCACCATTTTAACTGTTTTTTATAAGAGTGACAGAACGTTGCGTGCTAGGATGATGTCGACGCCAAAACAACCAAAACAAAGCGGAGACTCACCTCTTACATCAGGAAGAATCCGCGCGTTTCGAGCGTTATCCGTTCTTTCATAATCCGTTGTTGAATTGTGATCGGCAGACGCTTTTCCGGTTCGCGCCTCACGTTTTTTACAGCAGCGGCCCAAAACGATCTCCTAACACATGGATGTTCTGCTTCCTGATCACGTGACGTGTGACGTATGCAGATGAAGATCAGCTTCAGAGCTGGGATGTTTGTTCTCACGGTGCGGGGGCTCGTCCGACGCCCATAAAGTAAAAATGACTTTAGTCGTCATTAGCATTGAATGAGTTAAGATGGATGCCTGATATAGTGCACGTGTGACGCAGGTTCAAATAAAGCACGGAAAAGGGATTCATGTCTACTTGTGCTACTTTCTGATACAACTGCCCACCATAACATTGTGTACATATATGTTTACAAATAACTGTTTCTTGTTTGTCTGTAGAAAAATATTGTTAACTGATTGCGGTGCTAGTTTGTATTTTAGGAAACAACATGCCAGTAATTGAATCACTTAATTTAATATCATTCAGTTTTAATATCATTTCAAGCAGCAAAGCACAAACAGTCACCTGCATTCGCATTTAGGAAGTCACGGTCAATGACACAATAGGAAGCCTAAGTCCCGTCCACCTACTTCCGGACCGCGGGTCCCCAGAAGAACTAAAAAATGAACGCAAGTCAACGGGGCTAAAAATGCTATTTTCTAATTCTGCTTGTTTTGTGCCGTGGATTTCACACATGATGTCCGTGAATTTTAAAAACACATTTTGATACCAAGAATGCACTTATTTTCTAACGGGGGAAATGATCCAGTATTTTAGGTTTTGTGTGAAAATAAGTCCAGGACTACAAATGCGCTTCACGAAAATGATGTCATCGAACCGGACACGGACCGGATTATGTGGTGACGTCACATATGCGACGTACCAATTTCTGATGTGTAGTCATGGTAATTACGAACTTTTACAAGCTGATAAATCTCAGAGTACGTGATTGGCGTGGTGGAAACACCATCATTACTTTTCACTTAAGTTGCAGCACAACATGTGTGAGATCCAGGGCGTAAGGCAAAGCGGGTTAGAAAATAACGTTTTTAGCCTCGTTGACGTGCTTTCATTTTTTCGTTCTTCCGGGGACCCATGAGTCGACCGGAAAAGGAGGAGACTTAGGCTCCCTATGCTCACTGTCCCAACTCTGCAATTATTTGCACAATTGTTTACAACAAATTCAAAGCCTTATGTGCATTTCTACCAAGTGTGGTTCGCAGCGGACTGAAGGCTACAGTATGAGTATTGGGGCAGGGCCTCCATACTTTCCCTCATTGCTTAAAAAAACAGCTGATTTCACAGGGTTCTCTGGTTTAAATTGTGAAATATGTCTTAGAAATTGTTCCTAATAGCTACAATTATTATAATTAAGATCAAACTAAAAGGTAATAGCTGGACCTAAATCTATCTGTAATAAAAGAGTTGCTTGTTTGTGCTTCAGGGTGTGGAAGAAGTCTCTAAGCCAGTGGAGATCGTTGTGGAGACAGAGGCAGAGGTTGGTGCCAGCGGCTACAGTGTGAGGGGTGGAGGAGTTCAGGGCATCTTTGTTAAAGATGTCCTCAAAGATTCTCCAGCTGCTAAACACCTGAGTCTACAAGAAGGTACCTGCAGTCCCTTTCTGGTTCATCTAGGAGCAGCGTTCACAACTTCACTAGGAAAATAAAGCTGAAATGAAAACTGAAGACTTGATCAGAAAATATTGACCCGAGTTCTCAAAGTTTCAATCTTAAATTTATATTAAAGTGTTTTTATCATCTTTTAGATGGATTTTTAAATAGAACACCAATGATTTGTTTTATTTTATTTTCCTTTAGTTACTTTTCTTCTTTACAGGAAAATTTCAGATGATTTTTAAAATCTGAATTTAAGATTTTAGAGCTGTGAAGTTGTCCCAAAGTGGGTGTGTTCGTAAGGTGCAGGTGCACTTCAGAATTATTTTAATAACACAAACAAAAATCCACAGCAGATAACATCAGGAAGGCCAAAGTTTCAAATGCTTTAACAGGAGTAAACCAGGGTGCTAAAGCAGCAGGAGGCTTTTATACTCAGGTGATGACCAAACAGGGACAGGTGAGCTGATGGCTAAATGGAAGGCAGGTGTGCTCACTTAACCACTCAGGGCAAAAACCTGGGGCCTCATTCATCAAACATTCGTAGAAAATATTCCTAAACTCCTTCCTATGATTTAAATTTAGAATGTTCATACGAACGGTAAAAATCCTGATTTCTGAAACCTGCGGTGGTCTTTTGTACGCGCGTTCCTCTGCAATCGCCTGATGATAAGCCCCACCTGTGTGGACCCAGGCGTCCATTCTCAGTCATTTACTTACAGAAACAACCTTAATTAAAGCTGCAAGCAGCGTCATTCGGCCCTCGCAGCTCCACGCCACTCCGGCCTGGCAGCCCGGGGCACCCGGGCACGTCCGTGGAACGTAAACGTCGACCCCCGCGACCTCAGACACTGCGAACGGTCTCCTCGTCTGCACCTCACCCTGACTCAGCATCTCTGAGCCCACCATTAAATTACGCATCTCACCACAGACCAAGTGTAATGCTATTCTGACCACGTTTTTTGAAGTTATTGAAGGTTAAAGCTAGGGATGCACCGATCAGGTTTTTTGCTGCCGATACCGATATCAAAGAATGCTGATCACCGATACCGATCACCGATACCGATCACTGATACCGTTCACCGATACCGATCACGTGGATTGGCCAGAAATTTTCTACAACATTATAATGATTGCTACAAACTACATAATCTGGGAATAAAGGAAATGTAACCTAATCTAAAATGGTCTGTATTAGGGTTGTCACAGTATGAAAATTTAACCTCACGGTTATTGTGACCAAAATTATCACGGTTTTCGGTATTATCGCAGTATTTTTTTTAAACGTGCTACATTTTCACACAATTAAATAAACCCTGTATGTCAGGAAATATTGTCCTCAGTTTGTGTCTAAATTTTGCCTAAAATGTGTTATTTTGTAATTATGTTGTTTATTTGTTTACATTTTTCCCCTTTAGTCTTTAAAATACCAATATTTGCCCATAACTTCTTATTTTTTGTCTGTTTGATGTCATCATTTAAAAATATTAGATCAGATGATACTCAGTACTCAAGTATACTTCTAATCAGATACTTTTTTACCCTTACTTGAGTATCTTAGGTGTGTTCTTGCTGTGTCTTTGTAAATCCATGCTTTCGTTCTTTTTTAAACACAGAAACAGTTTTGTTTACCTGTTTGTAGCTACGGTTTCGCCGACGGCTGCCGGCTTCTTCAGGCTGACGCTGATGGTGGCGCGTCACTTCCTTCTCCGTTTTCAACACAGCAATATTACAAAAGAACAATCAGCCATGACAGCTTTATCCAAAAATGAACAGATAATTATTCTACTGGCAGATAAAGGAAGAACCACAGTAGTTATGGACAGAGAAAAATATAAACAACAGATGAAACAGATGCTAGAAGACAAAAATACATATGAAATACTTAAAAAAGAGCCAACAGAAAACATTAAGAAAAACATGAAAAAATTACTGAAGCCACTGCACGAAAAAGGCAAAATAACAGAAAAAATGTACAAACACTGGATTCCCACAGCAAATATAACACCAAGAATATATGGAACACCAAAAATACATAAACAAAACACCACTTAGACCAATAGTAGACAGCATAGGTACACCAACAAACAACATGGCAAAAGATATCAGCAGAATCATCAGCCCGTTATTAGGAAATACAGACCAACACTGCAAAAATAGTATAGAATTAGCAAAAGAACTAAAGGAAATTACAATAGAAGACAACAACATACTCATCTCACATGACGTCACATCTCTGTTCACAAAAACACCAACCCAAAAAACCATAGACATAGTAGTTAACAGAATCAGACGAGACAAGACTTTACACAAAAGGACAAACCTCACAGCAGATGACATAGCACAACTGATAGGACTGGTAGCTAACTCCACTTACTTCACATACGACAACACAATATACAAACAACTGGAAGGCTTCGCCATGGGTAACCCGTTATCAGCCACCCTGTGCCAGTTTTTCATGGAAGACCTGGAACAAAAAGCCATAGCCACCGCCCCCCCAAACTACAAAATAAAACTATGGAAACGCTACGTAGACGACATACTGGAAATCATACCAAGAGGTCAAACAGAAACACTAACACAACACTTAAACAATATTGACGACACGGGCAACATAAAATTCACTTATGAGTCAGAAACAGAAGGCAGCATAGCATTTATGGACATGAAAATCACCAGGCAGACCGACGGGACCCTAAACATAAACACATACAGGAAACCAACACACACAGACCAATATCTATTATGGACATCAGAACACCCCACCATACACAAAATGTCAGTAATCAGAACATTATATCACCGAGCAAACATAATAACAGAAGAGAGAGACCGTAAACAAGAGGACAAACACATACAACACGCTTTAAAGACCTGCAGATACCCGGCATGGGCAATAAACAAAGGAAAACAACAAACAAAAACAGAAAGCAAAGAACAACCCAAAAAAAGAACCAGAAACCCAGAAAGACAAGAACCAAAACCAGTGATAACCCTACCATACATCAGAGGCATAACGGAAAAAATAAGAGCAACAATGAAAAAACACAACATAAACACACCAACAAAGCCATACACAACAGTTAGAAACAGACTAGTACACCCAAAAGACAAAACATCAGCTGGACAAAAATGTGGAGTCATCTACGAAATCCCATGCAAAATATGCAATAAAACATACATAGGAGAAACCGGACGCCAACTCAATACACGGACAATAGAACACAGAAAGGAGTGCAAGAAAGAGGCAAATCGTAAACACACAAGAGCAGCAAAAGAAGAAGCAGAAAGTACAATAAAAAAGTCAGCCGTAACAGATCATTGCTTAAGAGAAAACCATATAATGGACTGGGACAGCACACGGATCATAACCACCGAACAACAAAAATACAAAAGATGGATCAAGGAAGCAATAGAGATAAGGAGACGTGGATGTGGGACCATGAACAGGGACGACGGAGTTAACACGCTGGACCACGCATGGGACTGCATCGTCGGAGAGGGGAGAGCGGGCAGTAGAGGGCGACAACGTCCTCTGCTGCCCGCAGATAAACGGAGAAGGAAGTGACGCGCCACCATCAGCGTCAGCCTGAAGAAGCCGGCAGCTGTCGGCGAAACCGTAGCTACAAACAGGTAAACAAAACTGTTTCTGTGTTTAAAAAAGAACGAAAGCATGGACTTACTTGAGTAATAAACCCTATATCAGGAAAGTATTGTCCTCGGTTTGTGTCCTTCCAGTGAGCTTTGCAGATGTGGGAAAATGTCATCAGGCAGTAATCATTGTTAAATTCATAATTATTCTCGGAGAGAGACCAACTCTTATCTGCCCCTGGGAGCCCCGTAATGCATAGCGTCATTTCAACATGGCGGTGTCCGCGACACGGTTTATATGCAGGTAGCGGCGCTGCGGCTGCTTTATATAGCGACTCGTTGCATTCTCCCTCAACCCAAATCCTCGGATCACGCATTTTAGCTAAAGCGCTAACGTTAGCTTGCCTTGCGTTGACTGTAGAGTTGTGGGTGATGGTCACGCAGATGTGTCATGAGATTTGAAGCGTTGCTGCCTTTCACAGACACTTTTTCTGCACGTGCTGCAAACAGGATAGCCGTCTTCTATCAACTGTCCCTCGGCATTCTTCAAATGTCTAAAAAATGCCCGTACTTCCAACTTTGTCTTCTTTGAGGGATAATAAATGTCCTGAGCGCTGCCGTCTCCTCCTTTGGCCATTATTTCAGCTTTAGCTTCAAGAAAGTGTTGGTTGTAAACAGCAAAGCGTGCATATGCCGCCGGCAACTTCAGCCGATGATACGGTGGCTGGTAAGGGTCACCGCGCCTACACCGCAGCCAAGGTAATCCACCGAGATAATATAGTTTTTAAAAAAAACAAGACGGTTATTATTATTGTCAACTTTTTTTTTTACCGGGGTTTACCACTACACCGGTTACCGTGACAACCCTACCTGATCGGTCTGCTTTGATCTATTTTGAAAATTCCGATCAAAACCGATAGGGGCGCTATCGGCCGATTACGATCAAATGCAGATCCATCGGTGCATCCCTAGTTAAAGTTATCTAGGGGGCGCTGTGACAAACTACAGAAAAATCCCATTGAGGTCAGCTTTGGTTGACAAAGAGGGTTTTCTGTTATGTTGGCATCAATCAGACGTTGTGTGTGTTATCTAGAGCCAGAGAACTGAAAGGGGGTGGAGCTAAAGGGGTTTAAACCAACAACCACATCAATGTGTTTGGTGCAGTAACGTGATGTCACAAGCCAAGTTTAATGCCATTCTGACCTTGTCTTTAGAAGTTAATAAAGTTTGAATCTATCTAGGGGGCGCTGTGACCATTTACAACAAAATCCCATAGAGGTCATCTTTGGTCATCAAAGATGGTTTTCTGTTCATTTGGCATCAATCAAACTTTGCATGGGTCATCTAGAGCCTAAAGACTGTAAGTGGGTGGAGTTAGTGATTTGAATGAGTGAGCACATACATGTGTTGATTGCAGTTGCGTGATGACTCCCACTATGTTTGATATAGTTTGGAGCTTTTTTGTAGAAGTTACAAAGGTTTTATTGTTTCTAGGGGGCGCTGTCCCAAATTTAGGAAAATATCCCATGGAGCAGTGTGTAGGTTGACAACAATCATTTGCGTCATGCATGTGTTACTCAGGGCCTAATATCTGTCAGGGGGCGGAGCTAAAGCGATATCAACCAATGACCACAGGATTGTTTTGGGTGCCTTTGTTTGATGGCACATAGCAAATTTGGTGCAGTTCTGACCTCATCTGTAGGAGTTATTATAGTTTTAAAGGTATGTAGGGGGCGCTGTGGTGATATTATACAACATTCACCAAACGTTTGTGACTCGTTGGCTAAAGGGCATGATTGTTGATTGCTGTGCTCAGTCTCGTGCAGATCGGAGGCTGTTTGTGGAACTTACAGTCAAACGTAAGGTCACGGCGTCACGCCAGAAATCGCCATGGCATCAACGCCTCTCCTTTTCTGGAAAGCTATCAGATCTGAATGGTCATTACAGCATCATGAAGACAGTGCATGACCTTAGTGTCATGTTGACTAAATTAGAGGGGACAAATATGAGCATTTCACCATAAAACAATAGACTTCCTGTTGTCAGGGGGCGGGGCTTAGGTGATGTCAGCTGTCCACATTGTCATTGTCTTGAGATGTGGTCAGTGATCACACAGACAATGTTTGATATAGATCTGATCATGCACATGGGAGTTATTACGTCAAGTAATGTAATGGCGACAGGTCAAAGTTTGAGGCTTAGCCACGCCCACATCTTTATACGTATTTAAAATCCAACGGTTGAATTTTTTCCCCTTTGTCTTAAGAGTCTATAGCAGAAGTTTGAAGGCGATTGGTGAAAAAGGCGACGGGGCATCATTCTCTAAACATGTGTGAAAACCACTAAATCGAGTACTTGGACAAAAATGGCCGACTTCCTGTGCAACACTGACCTGGGCTCTAAGAGACTTTTTAGGAGGTCCCAAGGCAATACATTAGTGTACCAAATTTCGTAATCCTCAGTCAAAGCATGGCTTGGGGCTGACAGTTTTAATGGTCCTAGGGGGCATTATTTAAGAAAATAGGCCACACCCACCGGATTTTCACAACAGATTTTTTTGGGGGGCCGGACTAGAATCACTCATCAGAAGTTTCGTGGCGATATCTTTAGAAATGACGAAATGGGAGGCAAACGAATGGCCACGGCAGTACGCCTGACTTCGCCGTGCCACCACAGCCCCGCCCTCTTTTGAAAACTCCCATAAAGTGACGCCAAGCAACCCCCACTTGTCTTGAGTTTCTAGCTACAAATTTGTGGTGATTAAGTGAAATGGGGCGATTTGGGACCTATCACAGTAAAACTTGACCTTTTTGGTCCTGAGGGGGCGGGGCTTGTGTGATGTCATCATCCGACCATTCAGTTTAGTTTTCGGCTCGATGTCAAATGACCACAGAAATTTTTGTAACTACTTTATTCGATTATGAAGTTGTAGCCATTTATATTTTTGGCGAGTAGTTGAAATTCAAGTCCTGGCCACGCCCCCTCAGCATTTACGAAAAGTCAGTTTTATTTTTTCTATTTGATTGCCTGTCCCATCTGAGCAATTTCCCACAACTTTCGAGACAATCGTGCGAAAAATGATCGAGTAAATCAATCAGAAGCGGACCCTACAAACGGCCAAAATGGGGTCAAAATCACCACTTCAAATCAAAATGGCTGACTTCCTGTTTGATGTTGACCATGGTTGCAAGAGGCTTTTCTGTGCGGACGGTTGAGTACTACAAGTGTACAAAATTTCATAACTGTACAACAAACTAAGGTTTATGGAGGGGGGTATTTTTCACCTTCTAGGGGGCACTGTGGAGCTAGTTTTTTTGCGATTTTTTGGGACCTTTAAAATCCAAACTTTTACACCACGCCTGACATGTGTGCAAACATTTCTGAGTTTTCGGGTATGTTAAGGCCTCCAGAAAGCCAATTTACTTGGCGGAAGAAAAATAAACAGAGCAGGTACAATAGGCCTTCGCAGCGCTTTCGCTGCTCGGGCCTAATTAACCATATTAGGGCACACCATGTCTTCAGCCTGTGTTCTTCACGGCAAGAAAAGAAGAAAATGTCACTGACAGCAAGTTTGAGGCTCTGGCTGCCAAAGTAGAGGAGAAACAAATAAGTTCAGAGGCTGTAAATGCTGTCGGGACCGAGGAGAGGTCTCTGTCAGAAATTAGGAAAGACTATTTGACATAAACCTGAATTCAAATCATGTAGAATAACAGACTGAAATGTTTCATTTACAGTTTACGTTTAAGGAGTTGTATGCACATTCTGTCATGCAGTTAGCTTTGTTCTTGTTTGGAAATCTTTGTCTGAGAGCGCAGCCTCCTCTGAACTGTCTTTCAGTTTGGTTACCTTGACAAAGAGGGTGTGTTCAGGGGGTTCTTGAACGTGGACTAGAATTGGATCAGTGCCGTTTCTCTGCCGCTCCACAAAGGGTTCTGAATCACAGCATGGCTCCAGAAGGATCTCCTTCGGGGAGATCAGAGTGCCCATGGAGGACGTGCACGTCCTCCATAACACAGATCAGCCATGGTACAATGTCAGATTTCTGATTCCTGTTGGTCACGTGTCTTTTACTCGTTTTAGCACCAAAAGCTTTTTTTCCACCTAAATAAATAATTACTGGGTAAAATCATTTGTGGATGAGGAACACATTCAGTACTACGGTTCAGCCATTCTACCACTAGATGCTGTTCCTAGCATGGGCTGAGCTTTTCCTATATTTAGGAACATTTCTACGCACAAGTACAAAATGAAATGCATAAATGAGTTCCTACGCACTGATCTGATAAATGAGGCCCCTGGTCTTGTGAAGATGTTAGTTACTGTTTATTTATAAAATTGATAAATGAATTCAGCTGGGCTGCACCTACATAATGTACCTTGATAAATGGTGAAACTGGCTTAGCATTTTCAAGAAAACCATTTCCTTCATGTCTTTATTCTGTGTTGACAACCAGTCCAAAGACAACAGTAAAGATCATTTTTGACATTCCAACTAAAGTTTAGTTTTATTAATCAACATTACGTCTACATGAAAGCACCAATATCACCGTATAAATCTATGAAACATGTGTATTCTGTATGTATATCCTCTTTATGAAGGTGATCAGCTGCTGAGTGCTAAAGTCTACTTTGAAAATGTGAAATATGAAGACGCTCTCCGGATCCTGCAGTGTGCAGAACCCTATAAGGTCAGCTTCCAGCTGAAGAGGACAATCCCAAAAGCTGAAGTCAGTGTGAGGCCAAGACTTCCCAGTGGGGAGGTCAAAGTTCCCAAAACAAAGATGGCCAAAATGGTAATCACATGTTTTCTGAATTCATGAAAATTCACCATAGCTAAGGCTTTTGTGACCTCAGACTTTTTACCGGTTTAGACGACTAAAGTCATTTTTTTGGGACAAACAACCATAACTGTCCATCCACTCGCTGAACAGTTTTATCCTCGGTAGAGTCAAGTTGCACTGGGGTCTAGTCATCAGGCGAGAAACAGTGGACAGCTGGACTAGTCTTCAGCCGATCACAGAGACAAAACACCAGTCACACGTGCTTAGAGACCCCAGTTAACATGTTTTTGGTCTGTGGGAGGAAAAGAAGGTAAACCCACACATACTCCCACTGGAGTCAGCCAGCCTTCCAAAAGAAAACTCGTCGAACTGGAAGAAAACCACCAGGACCAGTGGCAACCAGAAGATTTTGTGAAAAGTGGCGAACTGGAGATGGCGGAGTCGTGAGACAATGGCTACATTATGATGGCCATGTAGAGTTGCTGCCTTTCACAGACAACTGTCCCTCGGCATTCTTCAAATATCCAAATAATGCCCGTACTTCCGACTTTGTCTTCTTTGAGGGATAATAAATGTCCCGAGTGCTGCCGTCTCCTCCTGCCATTATTTCAGCTTTAGCTTAAAGAAAGTTTTGGTTGTAAACAACAAAGTGCACATGTGCCGCCGGCAACTTCAGCAGATGATACGATGCCTGGTAAGGGTCACCGCGCCTACACCGCAGCCACGGTAACCCAACGAGATAATTTTTTTTTTAAACAAGACTGTTATTATTTATTGTCAACTTTTTTACCAGGGTTTACCGCTACACCGGTTACCGTGACAACCCTAGCCCTGACACACTTTCAGATGTTCTCATGGTGCAGCCGTGTTCTCCAGAGATCAAGGACTATAACCCAAATGAGGCTGTAATGCTTTGGCACAAAGACGGTGTCGGAAGCAGGAGGCCAGACTTCATGGACAGAGAAAACAAGGAGTCTGACTAGATTTCAATGAAAGAGTTCATAAAAACATCTCTAAAAATAAATTAACAGTAAAAATGACAAAAGCGTTGTTTTTCTTATTAATTGATGTTTTAATTATTTTGTCACTCTGTTTGGAATCAACATAATATAGAATAACTTGCTTTAGGTGGATCTAAATCATTTAGAGTTTTGGCCGGTAAAAGATATGCTTGGCAGGTAGATTTTCATCATCTACCGGCCAACTTGGCCGGTGAGTAAAAAATTTAATTTCGGACCCTGGTCATGCGTCTGTGACAGTGTGTGTCCTGTCACTGTGACCCGATTGATCATGCGCCCTGGCTACTTGTTCAGGGGAGATCTCTGTTTGGCTGACTGGTGCGTGACTTTCACCCGGGAGTCTGGGGATTGAATCCCGATTGGACCATTTTTTTTTATATCCGCCACAGATCTCTCTGAAGAACTCAGCATTGACGGCTTCAGCGACGCTGTGCCACTCCGTGGATTTTCTCTTATTTGTTTTGCAAAAGCACTTCCTTTCATTTCTCCACCTCACCCACAGGTACCTCAACTTCTGCTTCTGTGAAATTGCTCTTCCTTGATCTGCGATCGTGATCGAAATGCTGCAACAAGCCGGCTTATGTATATGCATGAGATCCACCAGGCACTTTGCATTGACTATTTATGGCAGTAAGTGGGCGTGGTGAGGGCGGGATGTGACTAAAATGCAGCTGAGAAACATTCTCGTTAGTCTCTGATTTATGAAGTGGAGACTGCGTGCAGCTGTGCGTCCTCCATGTTTGATAGATCACAAACCTGCTTGGCGTAAGAACATTTTTGTTGCTGAGCTTAAGTACGGTTTAGTAAGGATTCTACGCCATGTTTGATAAATGAGACCCCTGATCTTCATGCTCTGACGTACAACCAAAGTGGAATAAAGCCACTCTCTCATAGTCTAAGGTGCTTGTTCCAAACATCGCTCTTATAGTCACAAATGTGAATTTCTCTGGTTGTTACTGCAACATAGGGCTGGGCAATAAATCGAAAAATTTATCTTTATCAAAATTTCTGACTCTTATCGAGATAACTTTTCCCATGACAATAAATTTGATAATAAAAATGAAAAGATGTGTAGGTTGGCAACGTTCATGTCTCTTTAAGAAGCTGTACCACCCTGAGTCACGTAAAAATGTGACTCAACGTAATACTTGTGACAGCTCCATCTAGTGGACAACTTTTGTTTCGCTGCATACCTGTAGTTATCGTCCATTTATCGTTATCAATGTGAAATCCTCAATATATGGTGATACTGATTTTAGGCCATATTGCCCAGCCCCAGTACAACAGCACAACATGTTCCTGAGCCACGTACGTACATTTTTTGGGGGGCAAATCATTTTTAAAATTATTTAATGACTGATGGTTTATCCCTTGAGGTCCATATGGCAGGGGTGAGGTCGTGCTCATTCCTCAGACCTGCCACGTGGACCCAAGGGATAAACCATCGACCCTACTCAATGGTCAATTTTCCTCGTGGGGTCACACCAATTAGGACAGTGGGAGGGTTAAAAAAATTACAGCCAGACATTGTTCTGTAGATGTTGGTTGTGTTTGGTTTTAATAGGAATCCAAATGATTATTCTCTAACTAATATTGTTTTGTGTGTTAATGTTCTAGAGTGTGAAGGGCATGAAGCCATTCAAGATTCAGAAGAAAAGAGGTGGTCGCTTTGGTCTGAAGAGGCTGAAAGAGAAGCGTAGAGAGGAGCTGGTGATCGAGGGAACACCTCCACGGATAGAGACAGGTGATGTGCACGTGGAGATCTCACTCCCCAAATTAAAACAGAAGAAAAATGTGAAACCTGACACAGATGAAGTGGGGACAGCAAAAAGAAAGATCAGGTTGGTTTCAATAAAAACAGAAACTTATACCAGCTACACAATAAAGTTATGATCTCATGGTATAATTGTCTTTTAACCCTTTGATGCATGAATTATGAAATCTTCAACCATGATTTTTTTAACAATTCTTTTCATTCATCTTTAGGTGTGAATGAAACAAATTTCATATTTACATATTTTTTGTAAAATGTAATTTACAAATAATTTATTACATGTCCACCTCAGTGGACAGCGTGCAATCTGAACATGAGATATGTTGGCTTGACTTACTGAAGTACAAATGGAGGGGTTGACATGCAATAAAGTCTTCAACAGCTGTGCTTAATAGCAAAAATAAATAAATAACAATTTTAAGTACATGTCCACTGTAGTGACCGTTATGCATCAAAGGGTTAAAGTGCCATTCACAACAATTTGGGACATTACAGTGTTGTTGTTTTCTTTCAATATATTTTCTTCCCAGGATTCCCCACATGAAAGCCAAGAAATATATTAAACCAGAGACAGAACTGGAAACAGGTCAACTTGAAGGACATGTGGACGTCCCTTCATATGAAATGCAGAAAGTGAAAACTAAAGAAAAAGAACACAAGTTTGGAATCACATTTCCCAAAACCAAACATGCAAAGTTGGGTTCTAATTCTGGATCATTACAAGTGAAACCTGCAGACGTCAGCCTCCATCCACCGTCAGTAATGTTCGGTTTGTCTGGCAATAAAGAAGTGGAGAAGAGAGGGTCAAAGTTTAACCCCCCTGATGTGGAGTTTTCTCTGCCTTCAGGAAAAGCTGAGGTATCTTTGCCCAATGTGATGGGAACAACTGAAATCCCAGCTTCTAAAGGCAAAGCCAGTGAAAATGAAGGGAAAGCTCATTTAGATGTTGGAGATTTAAAAGTCAAAATGCCAAAATTAAAACTACCCAAAATGAGACTCTCACATCATTCAGATGAGATTGACGGCAAAGCAAAAGTGGCATCTAAGGGAATGAAAATACCTGATGTTGGCATAAAAAGTGGACAGGTTAGTCTTCCTGACACACAAGTCACAAAACCAAACATTAAAGGTGACGTCTCAGGAGAAGCTGGTTCTATTCAGTTGCCATCAGCTGATATCTCTTTGTCCAAAGGAAAGACTGGCACAATTGGTTTACTTCAGGAGTACGAAGAAGGGGTCAAGACAGATGTCAAAATGCCTTCCATGAACATCGCTGTACCCGAAGTTGACTTGAAATTTGATCAAGGACAAAGAATTCCAGATGAAGTGGACGGCACTATTAAAGGGTCCAAAATATTCAAGCCACAGGCAGATATATCCTTACCAAAAATGGGATCTCCTAATGTGGATATTGAAGGTCAAGATATTGAAGGAAAGTTCCATCCACCTTCCTTTGGCATCTCTGTCTCAAAGGAAAAATCAGATGGAGTAGATGTGGATATGGACTATTATGTTGGTGGGAACGGAAAGTTCAAACTGCCTGACTTTGACATAACACTTCCAAAGATAACATCATCAGAACCAGAGGGGGTCTTCAAGTTGCCCAAAGTAGACTTGACTATGTCCAAAAGCAAAAGTGATTATGAAAAAGGAGAAATGCAGCTTCCATTCCTTGACATCTCACTTCCTAATGTAAGGACAGGTGAAGCAGAAGTTTATGTTAAAGATGGTAAGAATGAAAAACCAGGCATATTACCTCCTGAGAGCAAAGTAAAGGGAGGTGTTGAGCTAGAGGGACAAATTGAGAAAGGAGGGAATTTCAAAATGCCTTCTATTGGCGTGTCACTACCTAAAATACAAACAGCTGGTGCTGATGTTGATATGCAACCAAATGAGCTTAAAGGAGACAAAACTGAGCTACCTTCTCTTGATTTCTCTCTACCTAAATTAGAAGTAAAGGGACCGGAGATCATCCTAGAAAATCCTGAACTAAAAGAAAGAAATATTGAAAAGCCTGATATAGAGATTTCATTTCCAAAAGGAAAGTCTGAAGTGGATCTCAATTTTAAAAGCATGAATATGAAAGGCGAGACGTTCAAAATGCCCAAAATTGATATTTCAATTCCAAAAACAAACCCACCAGAAGAAGACATTGAAGCTGGAAAACAATCTGAAATAGGAGGAAAATTTCACATGCCCACTATTGACATAACGCTCCCAAAGGTGAAGGGTAAAGGACCTGAGATAAATGTTGAAGGTCCAGAAGTTCAAGGTGGAAATGTCAACATGCCATCTCTTGATGTGTCTCTGCCCAAAATGAAGTCACCTAAAGTAGATATCAGCCTTGAGGGTCCTGATGTCAAAGGAGGAAAAGTTCAAATCCCAACAGTCGATGTTTCTCTTCCCAAAGGTAACGTGGAGGGTGATATAAATGTTGAAGGACCCGAAATGCAAGGAGGAAAGTTCAAGATGCCAAAATTGGATGTTTCTTTACCAAAGGTTACTCTCCCTAAAGTTGAAGGGCCAGATGTCAAAGGAAATTTTGAAATGCCAACAGCTGATATTTCGCTTCCCAAAGCAAGGACAGATGTGGATATTGATGCTGGAACTGGTAAAGGTGGCAAGTTTCATCTTCCGTCAGTTGATATATCTCTCCCTAAAATGAAAACAAAAGGAGTTGATGTGGATTTTCATGGGCCTAACATGAGAGGTGATGTGTCACTTCCTAAAGTAAAGTCTCCAGAGGTTGACATCACGCTTAAGGGCCCTGACATAGAAGTTGGAAAGGTTGACTTGCCAGATGTTGATGTATCACTTCCCAAAGGAAAACTTGAGGGTGACTTTGACGGTGAGGGCCCTGAGGTCAAGGGTGGTAAATTCAAAATGCCCAAAATTGATATGTCCTTACCAACAATTAATCTCCCAGAAGGTGGTTTGAAAATGAAAGGCCCAGACATCAAACCAAGAAAGATTGAGATGCCAGACATTGATCTCTCACTTCCCAAAGGAAAGGCAGGAGGAGACGTTGAAGCTAGAGGACCCTCTGGGATAGGCGGAAAATTTCACATGCCCTCTATTGACATAACGCTCCCAAAGATGAAGGGTAAAGGACCTGAGATAAATGTTGAAGGTCCAGAAGTTCAAGGTGGAAATGTCAACATGCCATCTCTTGATGTGTCTCTGCCCAAAATGAAGTCACCTAAAGTAGATATCAGCCTTGAGGGTCCTGATGTCAAAGGAGGAAAAGTTCAAATCCCAACAATTGATGTTTCTCTTCCCAAAGGTAACGTGGAGGGTGATATAAATGTTGAAGGACCCGAAATGCAAGGAGGAAAGTTCAAGATGCCAAAATTGGATGTTTCTTTACCAAAGGTTACTCTCCCTAAAGTTGAAGGGCCAGACGTCAAAGGAAATTTTGAAATGCCAACTGCTGATATTTCGCTTCCCAAAGCAAGGACAGATGTGGATATTGATGCTGGAACTGGTAAAGGTGGCAAGTTACATCTTCCGTCAGTTGATATACTTCTTCCTAAAATGAAAACAAAAGGAGTTGATGTGGATTTTCATGGGCCTAACATAAAAGGTGATGTGTCACTTCCTAAAGTAAAGTCTCCAGAGGTTGACATCACCCTTAAGGGCCCTGACATAGAAGTTGGAAAGGTTGACTTGCCAGATGTTGATGTATCACTTCCCAAAGGAAAACTTGAGGGTGACTTTGAAGGTGAGGGCCCTGAGGTGAAGGGCGGTAAATTCAAAATGCCCAAAATTGATATGTCCTTACCAACAATTAATCTCCCAGAAGGTGGTTTGAAAATGAAAGGCGCAGACATCAAACCAAGAAAGATTGAGATGCCAGACATTGATCTTTCACTTCCCAAAGGAAAGGCAGGAGGAGACGTTGAAGGTAGAGGACCCTCTGGCATAGGCGGAAAATTTCACATGCCCACTATTGACATAACGCTCCCAAAGGTGAAGGGTAAAGGACCTGAGATAAATGTTGAAGGTCCAGAAGTTCAAGGTGGAAATGTGAACATGCCATCTCTTGATGTGTCTCTGCCCAAAATGAAGTCACCTAAAGTAGATATCAGCCTTGAGGGTCCTGATGTCAAAGGAGGAAAAGTTCAAATCCCAACAATCGATGTTTCTCTTCCCAAAGGTAACGTGGAGGGTGATATAAATGTTGAAGGACCTGAAATGCAAGGAGGAAAGTTCAAGATGCCAAAATTGGATGTTTCTTTACCAAAGGTTACTCTCCCTAAAGTTGAAGGGCCAGACGTCAAAGGAAAATTTGAAATGCCAACTGCTGATATTTCGCTTCCCAAAGCAAGGACAGATGTGGATATTGATGCTGGAACTGGTAAAGGTGGCAAGTTTCATCTTCCGTCAGTTGATATAGTTCTTCCTAAAATGAAAACAAAAGGTGTTGATGTGGATTTTCATGGGCCTAACATGAGAGGTGATGTGTCACTTCCTAAAGTAAAGTCTCCAGAGGTTGACATCACGCTTAAGGGCCCTGACATAGAAGTTGGAAAGGTTGACTTGCCAGATGTTGATGTATCACTTCCCAAAGGAAAACTTGAGGGTGACTTTGAAGGTGAGGTCCCTGAGGTGAAGGGCGGTAAATTCAAAATGCCCAAAATTGATATGTCCTTACCAACAATTAATCTCCCAGAAGGTGGTTTGAAAATAAAAGGCCCAGACATCAAACCAAGAAAGATTGAGATGCCAGACATTGATCTCTCACTTCCCAAAGGAAAGGCAGGAGGAGACGTTGAAGCTAGAGGACCCTCTGGCATAGGCGGAAAATTTCACATGCCCTCTATTGACATAACGCTCCCAAAGATGAAGGGTAAAGGACCTGAGATAAATGTTGAAGGTCCAGAAGTTCAAGGTGGAAATGTGAACATGCCATCTCTTGATGTGTCTCTGCCCAAAATGAAGTCACCTAAAGTAGATATCAGCCTTGAGGGTCCTGATGTCAAAGGAGGAAAAGTTCAAATCCCAACAATCGATGTTTCTCTTCCCAAAGGTAACGTGGAGGGTGATATAAATGTTGAAGGACCTGAAATGCAAGGAGGAAAATTCAAGATGCCAAAATTGGATGTTTCTTTACCAAAGGTTACTCTCCCTAAAGTTGAAGGGCCAGATGTCAAAGGAAATTTTGAAATGCCAACTGCTGATATTTCGCTTCCCAAAGCAAGGATAGATGTGGATATTGATGCTGGAACTGGTAAAGGTGGCAAGTTTCATCTTCCGTCAGTTGATATATCTCTTCCTAAAATGAAAACAAAAGGAGTTGATGTGGATTTTCATGGGCCTAACATAAAAGGTGATGTGTCACTTCCTAAAGTAAAGTCTCCAGAGGTTGACATCACGCTTAAGGGCCCTGACATAGAAGTTGGAAAGGTTGACTTGCCAGATGTTGATGTATCACTTCCCAAAGGAAAACTTGAGGGTGACTTTGAAGGTGAGGGCCCTGAGGTGAAGGGCGGTAAATTCAAAATGCCCAAAATTGATATGTCCTTACCAACAATTAATCTCCCAGAAGGTGGTTTGAAAATAAAAGGCCCAGACATCAAACCAAGAAAGAATGAGATGCCAGACATTGATCTTTCACTTCCCAAAGGAAAGGCAGGAGGAGACGTTGAAGCTAGAGGACCCTCTGGGATAGGCGGAAAATTTCACATGCCCTCTATTGACATAACGCTCCCAAAGATGAAGGGTAAAGGACCTGAGATAAATGTTGAAGGTCCAGAAGTTCAAGGTGGAAATGTGAACATGCCATCTCTTGATGTGTCTCTGCCCAAAATGAAGTCACCTAAAGTAGATATCAGCCTTGAGGGTCCTGATGTCAAAGAAGGAAAAGTTCAAATCCCAACAATCGATGTTTCTCTTCCCAAAGGTAACGTGGAGGGTGATATAAATGTTGAAGGACCTGAAATGCAAGGAGGAAAATTCAAGATGCCAAAATTGGATGTTTCTTTACCAAAGGTTACTCTCCCTAAAGTTGAAGGGCCAGACGTCAAAGGAAATTTTGAAATGCCAACTGCTGATATTTCGCTTCCCAAAGCAAGGACAGATGTGGATATTGATGCTGGAACTGGTAAAGGTGGCAAGTTTCATCTTCCGTCAGTTGATATAGTTCTTCCTAAAATGAAAACAAAAGGAGTTGATGTGGATTTTCATGGGCCTAACATGAGAGGTGATGTGTCACTTCCTAAAGTAAAGTCTCCAGAGGTTGACATCACGCTTAAGGGCCCTGACATAGAAGTTGGAAAGGTTGACTTGCCAGATGTTGATGTATCACTTCCCAAAGGAAAACTTGAGGGTGACTTTGAAGGTGAGGGCCCTGAGGTGAAGGGCGGTAAATTCAAAATGCCCAAAATTGATATGTCCTTACCAACAATTAATCTCCCAGAAGGTGGTTTGAAAATGAAAGGCCCAGACATCAAACCAAGAAAGATTGAGATGCCAGACATTGATCTCTCACTTCCCAAAGGAAAGGCAGGAGGAGACGTTGAAGCTAGAGGACCCTCTGGGATAGGCGGAAAATTTCACATGCCCTCTATTGACATAACGCTCCCAAAGATGAAGGGTAAAGGACCTGAGATAAATGTTGAAGGTCCAGAAGTTCAAGGTGGAAATGTGAACATGCCATCTCTTGATGTGTCTCTGCCCAAAATGAAGTCACCTAAAGTAGATATCAGCCTTGAGGGTCTTGATGTCAAAGGAGGAAAAGTTCAAATCCCAACAATCGATGTTTCTCTTCCCAAAGGTAACGTGGAGGGTGATATAAATGTTGAAGGACCTGAAATGCAAGGAGGAAAATTCAAGATGCCAAAATTGGATGTTTCTTTACCAAAGGTTACTCTCCCTAAAGTTGAAGGGCCAGACGTCAAAGGAAATTTTGAAATGCCAACTGCTGATATTTCGCTTCCCAAAGCAAGGACAGATGTGGATATTGATGCTGGAACTGGTAAAGGTGGCAAGTTTCATCTTCCGTCAGTTGATATAGTTCTTCCTAAAATGAAAACAAAAGGTGTTGATGTGGATTTTCATGGGCCTAACATGAGAGGTGATGTGTCACTTCCTAAAGTAAAGTCTCCAGAGGTTGACATCACGCTTAAGGGCCCTGACATAGAAGTTGGAAAGGTTGACTTGCCAGATGTTGATGTATCACTTCCCAAAGGAAAACTTGAGGGTGACTTTGAAGGTGAGGGCCCTGAGGTGAAGGGCGGTAAATTCAAAATGCCCAAAATTGATATGTCCTTACCAACAATTAATCTCCCAGAAGGTGGTTTGAAAATAAAAGGCCCAGACATCAAACCAAGAAAGATTGAGATGCCAGACATTGATCTCTCACTTCCCAAAGGAAAGGCAGGAGGAGACGTTGAAGCTAGAGGACCCTCTGGGATAGGCGGAAAATTTCACATGCCCTCTATTGACATAACGCTCCCAAAGATGAAGGGTAAAGGACCTGAGATAAATGTTGAAGGTCCAGAAGTTCAAGGTGGAAATGTCAACATGCCATCTCTTGATGTGTCTCTGCCCAAAATGAAGTCACCTAAAGTAGATATCAGCCTTGAGGGTCCTGATGTCAAAGGAGGAAAAGTTCAAATCCCAACAATCGATGTTTCTCTTCCCAAAGGTAACGTGGAGGGTGATATAAATGTTGAAGGACCTGAAATGCAAGGAGGAAAGTTCAAGATGCCAAAATTGGATGTTTCTTTACCAAAGGTTACTCTCCCTAAAGTTGAAGGGCCAGATGTCAAAGGAAATTTTGAAATGCCAACTGCTGATATTTCGCTTCCCAAAGCAAGGACAGATGTGGATATTGATGCTGGAACTGGTAAAGGTGGCAAGTTTCATCTTCCGTCAGTTGATATAGTTCTTCCTAAAATGAAAACAAAAGGAGTTGATGTGGATTTTCATGGGCCTAACATAAAAGGTGATGTGTCACTTCCTAAAGTAAAGTCTCCAGAGGTTGACATCACCCTTAAGGGCCCTGACATAGAAGTTGGAAAGGTTGACTTGCCAGATGTTGATGTATCACTTCCCAAAGGAAAACTTGAGGGTGACTTTGAAGGTGAGGGCCCTGAGGTGAAGGGCGGTAAATTCAAAATGCCCAAAATTGATATGTCCTTACCAACAATTAATCTCCCAGAAGGTGGTTTGAAAATGAAAGGCCCAGACATCAAACCAAGAAAGATTGAGATGCCAGACATTGATCTTTCACTTCCCAAAGGAAAGGCAGGAGGAGACGTTGAAGGTAGAGGACCCTCTGGCATAGGCGGAAAATTTCACATGCCCTCTATTGACATAACGCTCCCAAAGGTGAAGGGTAAAGGACCTGAGATAAATGTTGAAGGTCCAGAAGTTCAAGGTGGAAATGTGAACATGCCATCTCTTGATGTGTCTCTGCCCAAAATGAAGTCACCTAAAGTAGATATCAGCCTTGAGGGTCCTGATGTCAAAGGAGGAAAAGTTCAAATCCCAACAATCGATGTTTCTCTTCCCAAAGGTAACGTGGAGGGTGATATAAATGTTGAAGGACCTGAAATGAAAGGAGGAAAGTTCAAGATGCCAAAATTGGATGTTTCTTTACCAAAGGTTACTCTCCCTAAAGTTGAAGGGCCAGACGTCAAAGGAAATTTTGAAATGCCAACTGCTGATATTTCGCTTCCCAAAGCAAGGACAGATGTGGATATTGATGCTGGAACTGGTAAAGGTGGCAAGTTTCATCTTCCGTCAGTTGATATATCTCTTCCTAAAATGAAAACAAAAGGTGTTGATGTGGATTTTCATGGGCCTAACATGAAAGGTGATGTGTCACTTCCTAAAGTAAAGTCTCCAGAGGTTGACATCAGCCTTAAGGGCCCTGACATAGAAGTTGGAAAGGTTGACTTGCCAGATGTTGATGTATCACTTCCCAAAGGAAAACTTGAGGGTGACTTTGAAGGTGAGGGCCCTGAGGTGAAGGGCGGTAAATTCAAAATGCCCAAAATTGATATGTCCTTACCAACAATTAATCTCCCAGAAGGTGGTTTGAAAATGAAAGGCCCAGACATCAAACCAAGAAAGATTGAGATGCCAGACATTGATCTCTCACTTCCCAAAGGAAAGGCAGGAGGAGACGTTGAAGCTAGAGGACCCTCTGGGATAGGCGGAAAATTTCACATGCCCTCTATTGACATAACGCTCCCAAAGATGAAGGGTAAAGGACCTGAGATAAATGTTGAAAGTCCAGAAGTTCAAGGTGGAAATGTGAACATGCCATCTCTTGATGTGTCTCTGCCCAAAATGAAGTCACCTAAAGTAGATATCAGCCTTGAGGGTCCTGATGTCAAAGGAGGAAAAGTTCAAATCCCAACAATTGATGTTTCTCTTCCCAAAGGTAACGTGGAGGGTGATATAAATGTTGAAGGACCTGAAATGCAAGGAGGAAAGTTCAAGATGCCAAAATTGGATGTTTCTTTACCAAAGGTTACTCTCCCTAAAGTTGAAGGGCCAGACGTCAAAGGAAATTTTGAAATGCCAACTGCTGATATTTCGCTTCCCAAAGCAAGGACAGATGTGGATATTGATGCTGGAACTGGTAAAGGTGGCAAGTTTCATCTTCCGTCAGTTGATATAGTTCTTCCTAAAATGAAAACAAAAGGAGTTGATGTGGATTTTCATGGGCCTCACATGAAAGGTGATGTGTCACTTCCTAAAGTAAAGTCTCCAGAGGTTGACATCAGCCTTAAGGGCCCTGACATAGAAGTTGGAAAGGTTGACTTGCCAGATGTTGATGTATCACTTCCCAAAGGAAAACTTGAGGGTGACTTTGAAGGTGAGGTCCCTGAGGTGAAGGGCGGTAAATTCAAAATGCCCAAAATTGATATGTCCTTACCAACAATTAATCTCCCAGAAGGTGGTTTGAAAATGAAAGGCCCAGACATCAAACCAAGAAAGATTGAGATGCCAGACATTGATCTCTCACTTCCCAAAGGAAAGGCAGGAGGAGACGTTGAAGCTAGAGGACCCTCTGGGATAGGCGGAAAATTTCACATGCCCTCTATTGACATAACGCTCCCAAAGATGAAGGGTAAAGGACCTGAGATAAATGTTGAAGGTCCAGAAGTTCAAGGTGGAAGTGTGAACATGCCATCTCTTGATGTGTCTCTGCCCAAAATGAAGTCACCTAAAGTAGATATCAGCCTTGAGGGTCCTGATGTCAAAGGAGGAAAAGTTCAAATCCCAACAATTGATGTTTCTCTTCCCAAAGGTAACGTGGAGGGTGATATAAATGTTGAAGGACCTGAAATGCAAGGAGGAAAGTTCAAGATGCCAAAATTGGATGTTTCTTTACCAAAGGTTACTCTCCCTAAAGTTGAAGGGCCAGACGTCAAAGGAAAATTTGAAATGCCAACTGCTGATATTTCGCTTCCCAAAGCAAGGACAGATGTGGATATTGATGCTGGAACTGGTAAAGGTGGCAAGTTTCATCTTCCGTCAGTTGATATAGTTCTTCCTAAAATGAAAACAAAAGGTGTTGATGTGGATTTTCATGGGCCTCACATGAAAGGTGATGTGTCACTTCCTAAAGTAAAGTCTCCAGAGGTTGACATCAGCCTTAAGGGCCCTGACATAGAAGTTGGAAAGGTTGACTTGCCAGATGTTGATGTATCACTTCCCAAAGGAAAACTTGAGGGTGACTTTGAAGGTGAGGTCCCTGAGGTGAAGGGCGGTAAATTCAAAATGCCCAAAATTGATATGTCCTTACCAACAATTAATCTCCCAGAAGGTGGTTTGAAAATGAAAGGCCCAGACATCAAACCAAGAAAGATTGAGATGCCAGACATTGATCTCTCACTTCCCAAAGGAAAGGCAGGAGGAGACGTTGAAGCTAGAGGACCCTCTGGGATAGGCGGAAAATTTCACATGCCCTCTATTGACATAACGCTCCCAAAGATGAAGGGTAAAGGACCTGAGATAAATGTTGAAGGTCCAGAAGTTCAAGGTGGAAATGTGAACATGCCATCTCTTGATGTGTCTCTGCCCAAAATGATGTCACCCACAGGGCAAGATGGCAACAACATTTCTGAAATTCCAACTGCTGATATTTCAATTCCAGAAGGAACACTTCAAGGCAATACTAACATTAAAGGGCCACAAGGAAAGGGAAATTTTAAACATGACAGAAAAGGTAAAGGCCTCCACATGCCAGTTCTTGACCTTAGTCTGCCCAGATTTGACCTAGATCTCAACCTTCCGTCTGGTTCTAAAGAAAAAGGGCTTAAAGTGGATGCCAGTGGCCCTGATGCTTCTGTAGATTTGGAGATGTCAAGTTTTAAAGGTGATATTAAGCCAGCAAAGTCGAAAGTTAAAGGTGAGGTCTTGCACAAAGGTGGCGTTGAAGGTCCAGAGGAATCCCTGAAACTTCCCTCTGTCAAACTTCCAACAGTTGACATCTCAGCTCCTAAAGTGGATCTAGGTTTTGGCTTCACCAAACCTAAAGATGATGATGTAGTAGTAGAGCTTTTAAAAGCAGAAGGAGGAAGACCTTCATCGGGTGGCAGCTTTGATCTACCAGATGTCACCCTCAAGGTTCCTAGTTTTTCTCTTCCAAGGATGATTGGGAAGTCAAAAAACAAAGATTTAGGATCATCAGAACCTAAGGGAGATGTTTCTGTCAGTCCACTAAATGTGGAGGGGGAGTTTAGGGCTCCATCAGTAGAATTTGATGGAGATGGAAAAGTCAAAGTGAAAAAACCTAAAATCAAGTTCCCCTCATTAGACATTTCTACAAAGGACCCAGATTTGTCATTGTCTTATCCTGATGTTGATGTCAAAATGGCAAAAGAACGAACTGGAGTTTCTAATGTGGATTTCAATATTGAGGCCTCAGGGGACAAGACAAAAAATAAAATAAAGTTACCCAAATTCAAGCTATCCTCTCCAAAACTTCAATTCCTCGAGGGAAAGGTTGATGTGGAAGCAGATGTGGAAGGGAAGGGTGGTTTCCATGTTCCTGATGTCTCTCTTAAATTACCAAAGTTCTCAAAGCCAGGATTTGCCTCTAAAGAAAAATATTTAAGTCAACCAAGTGTTGAATGTGAAACCCAAGCAAAGGTCAAAATGCCATCAGTTGAGTTGTCACTACCAGCCGTCAAAACACCAGAGATGGAGTTTCTCCTCCCCAAAGCAGAGAATAATGTTTCAGAAACAGATATTAAAGGTTATGAAGGAAACCTTAACATCCCTCAAATGCCAACAGTTGATGTTTCCATTCCAAAGGTGGACTTGGACGTGTCCCAGCCAAAAGTAAAAACCCCAAAGACTGAAGGTCTTGATGTGAAGATGAAAGGATCGGAAGAAACAATTAAACTGTCTCAAGTAACAATGCCAATGATAGATATGTCCCTACCTAAAGTGATATCTAAAGATTTTCCTGCACCTGAAGTTGAAATTAATGGTGATGGAGGCAAGTTCGAAATGCCTAATATTGGCCTCACTCTTCCCAAAGGAAAACTGCAAGGCACAGAGTCAAATGAGATGCCGCACATAAAAATGACAGATGTTTATGTCTCTCACCCCAAAGGAAAGATTGAATGTCCAGAAAGGGAAATCAAAGGTGAAGAGGGGAAAACACCACACACAAGTCTGCCGTCTATTGAAATTTCACTACCCAAGGGAAAATTTGACGGTCCAAATGTAGAAGAAAATGGAAAAGCTACATTTAAAACACCATACATGAAAATGCCTTCAGCTGACATATCAATGCCAAAGGAAGCAACAGACAATCCAGACACCGAAATGAAGGGACATATAAGAGGAAATTTTAGGCTGCCCAATGTGAGAATGCCAAATGCTGAATTATCTTTGCCTAAAGGAAAAGATGCTCCAGAAATGGAGATTGAAGGAAAGTTCAAAATGCCAAAAGTTGACATAGCTCTTCCTGAAAGAAAATATTCTCCAGAAGGCCCAGGAATAGAAATAAACAAGGATCTTAAACTTCCAATGCCAGCAATAGATACTAAAGGTCCACAAATTGTTACAGAGCTTGACAAAGAATTTCACAGAGGGGAGGGCAGGAAGGCCAAGTCTAAAGGTGAATTACCTAGGTCAGATCTAAGCACAGCCGGAACCTGCGTAAAAGTTGAGGAGCCCAAAGGCAAAGGAAAAAATATCAGGATTGGAATGCAAAAAAGGAAGAAATATGATGATGTAACAGTAGATGGAAAACCAAGGGGCAAAGATCCCATTAACAACTCAGCAGCAGTCCTAACTCTTCTGAAGACGGACCTAAAATCAGGGGCAGAAGACCAGTCAGCCCCCAGTCAGGAAATCAAAGTACCACGAATACCAGACATTGATTTTGACATTGGTACATCACAAGATGAGGAGGATGATAAAACAGAAAAGGACAAAAAAGTCTACATCCCTAAGTTTGGTGTTCCGTTACCTTCACTTGCCTCCCCCGAAAGAAGGGCAAATATCTATGGATCAGAAGTTCAGTATGAGGGTCCTAAAATGCCCAAAGTAAAGAAAGCTGTTTTTGTATTGGTAAATCCAGATGAGGCAGATGAGCCAGCTAAAAGCACCAGTATCCAGAAAGAGGAGAAACTAGATGAAAAGAAGATAGAGGAGGTCAAAGTGAAGATGCCAAAAATCAAAATGAAGCCAAATTTTGGGAAGTCCAAAGAAAAATCATCCACAGCCTGTGCAGAAATGTGTTTAAATCCAAAGGAGAAGTCAAACGAAGAGACAATAAAAATGCCCAAAGTTTCATTTCCTTCTGACGTATCAGGATCATATGATTTTGCTGCAAAAGACGACGGTTCAGAGTCAAGTTTTAATGGAGAAAGCGAAGCAACTCCTCACAAGGGTTCCAAAGATGACAGAGGAGCAATAAGCGGGAAGATCAAACTTCCAAAGGTGGAGTTCTCTAGTCCATACAGCAAAATGGCTGCTGGGGCAGAGAAGGCAGAGATGAAAGGTAGAAAGGGAAAGGATTCATCAACAATGGGAGATGTGAAAGGGCTTCACACAAAGCCAGCACAAATGATCCATACCAGTGATACAGTAGAGTCTTCCAAGTATGTGGTTTCATCTCATGCCAGAACAGAGATGTTGGACAGGGACAGCTCAGAGTCTCCAGTTAGTTTTAGCACCGAGATCGGTTCAACTAGAATTCAGACGAGGAAAGAGGCGGCGATTAGGGAAGTGGGGGCTGAAGAAAAGGAGTCTTCTTGGTTCAAGGTCCCGAAGATAACGCTGAAGCCCCACACCTCCGGTAAGAACAAGGCCATCGCTACACTGGCACAAGATCATTTTCATTATTGTGCACCACAAAAAAATTATCTGGAGAAATATTAACATTTCATCTGGTTCATTTTCTATCATTTAAGCCTAAATTTCTTTTCCAACTTGACCTCTTGATTCTTGTTTCCTTGCCTTTCCTTTCCTTGCCCCTCCACGTTTTCTCTCCCACTCCCTTGCAGGCTTCTTGCAGATAACCCCAGAGGGTTCTCCTCAGGCCCAGCGAAGAGGTGAGATAGCAGGTGACACTGACATCTCTGGGTCCTTCTGCCTCCACTCCACAGGCCTTGACTGTTCCACTCAATCGGAAGAACACCATGTGTCCTCCACGGAGGAGGGAACTGTTACCATGGTAACCAAGACCACCAGAACTACACATCTGGTGACCAGTGAAACAGGTGAATCTACAATGTGTCAAGTATCAGACGTTTAGTAATACTGATGTCTGAAATATCCTCTGGTTTCTTTGTTGTGGTGTTTTTTAGCCCGGGAGGTTGCGGTGTTCTTTAAATGTGACAAACAATTCAATAAAGTCTATACTTTATATTTCATTAGGTTAGATGAAATGTAGTCTGAGTTATTTATCCAGTTTTGTTTGGTTTTTAGAACTTCTTTATTAGTATAAACGTGTCAGTTACTCACATCAAAACGATGGATCGGATCATGATTTGAGTCGTTTATTTTGTGTCTCTACAGCAGCTGTCTGACGCGCGTCTCTGTACATTTATCTATAATTTAAGGGGTTTTGAAGCAGTTTCCTGTTACCTATAAATGTAATTATTTTCATATCTAATAGTGTTGGGGAGAGAAATATATTTTGATCTAAAGATTTATTTTGTGTGAACTATCATGAGAATATAATCTATTTTTGTTTTTTACCGTAGATTTCTATTAAAGGCATTTATTCAGTTGGTGCTTTTTTTCAAAGTTTATCGATGTAGATGTGTGTGACGCTCGTTTTCTGCTGTGGGGATCGAACATGTGACCTGGTTACAGATTGCTCTCGAACTGCTGCTAGTTCATTTTTACTACTGCCTGGAACGTATGCCACTGTACAACCTGGAAACTAGATGCTGGTTTGTTTATTTTTTGATTTCCTTGTATTAAGAGGCAAAATATAAATAGTAAACTGGAGTGAATTTGATTTATTTTTATCTGAATAATAAAAAATATTCTTTTATTTAATATTTTCATAACATAAATCAGCTGCAACAAGACTTCTTAAGGAGTTGCAGACCTTTTGATCAACTTTAAAAAGTCAGAAAACTAAATAATAATCTGACAATTATTTTATTAATTATTTGACTATTTCCTGGAATAAATAACTTATTAGTCAAATTAGTGTGGAAATCATCTTTTAACATGTAAATAATTCTGAAATGAACTCAAACTGAGCTTTTGCTACCATTTTACTCCAACCAGGTTTAAATTTGTATTTTTAATGGAGTAAACCACATGAGAATTAGCTCCATTCTGTAACACTTTGGTTGGGAAATGGAATTAAACTGTCATCAAATCAAGAAAAACTTTTTATTATTTCCCTGTTTTCAAAGTGAAGCTGAGTGGTGACTACTATAATGTGTCTACACAGGTTTTCATTCATGTTTCTTTTGGATTGGAAGTTTTTTTATGCCAAATGTTTTGTCAGAACTCCACTGGAAAGAAATTTGTTTATATAAATAAAGTAATATTCATTTGAGTGTGTTTCTTAGAGTCCATACTGTACTGCTGAAGCTGTTCTTGGGTTATTTAATTTTTTACATCTTTGGCAATGAAGTATTGAGAATTTGAGTGCCCTTAAAAGAATTGCCCAACAGCTTTGCTTTCACAAGATGACGATTAGGGCTGTTGCTATAATGGTTAACTCGCTAATTGTCTTTTATTGGAAATTTGTTCATTTAGGTTGGGCTCATACTTAGTGAAAAAGTCTAAATGAAGGGAACTTCCATCAAAATGTATTTTATGGGCAGAAGGGGGTGTAACCCACATGGCTCTCTAGGTTTGTAGGAGCTGAAAATGTCACAAAAGCCAATAATTCAATTCAATTCAATTCAAAAAGACTTCCCAGAAGGATTGCTGTAGTAGCTCAGAATAATAATAATAATCAAGTCATCAAAGAGGTGTTGTATATTACAATGGCTGTTGGCAGGAAGGATCTCCAGTAGCGGTCAGTGTTGCAGCCAAACTGAAGAAGCCTCTGACTGAAGACACTCTTCCGTTGTCGGACAGTCTTGTGAAGAGAATGCTCAGGGTTGTCCATCATGTTCTTGATTCTCTGGAGAATCCTTCTTTGCATCATCTCCTCCAGCGGTTCCACAGTCGTCCCCAGAACAGAACCAGCCTTTGTTATTAGGCTGTTGAGCCTTTTCAGGTCCCTGCTTCTGATGCTGCTACCCCAACAGACGATGGCTGAAGAGATTACACTCTCAACAACAGACTTGTAGAAGATCTGCAGCATCTTGCTACAGACATTGAAGGACCTAAGCGTCCTCAAGAAGTGCAGTCTGCTGTGTCCCTTCTTGTAAACGGCTTTGCTGTTCTTTCTCCAGTCCAGTCTGTTGTCCAGGTGAACTCCAAGGTGTTTGTATTCCTCAACCACCTCCACTTCTTCTCCCATGATGGAAACAGTGTTTGACTCCACCCTGTTTCTTCTGAAGTCTAAAATCATCTCCTTTGTTTTGTTCACGTTCAAGGTCAGATGATTGTTTCCACACCATGCCACAAAGCGCTCCACCAGCTCTCTGTACTCAGCTTCCTGTCCATCTCTGATACACCCGACAACTGCAGAGTCATCTGAGTGTTTCTGTAGATGACAGGTCTCTGACTTGTACTGGAAGTCTGAGGTGTACAGGGTGAAAAGGAATGGTGAGAGTACAGTCCCCTGTGGTGCTCCAGTGTTACTGATCACCTGGTTTGATGTGCAGTTCTTCAGCCTCACAAACTGTGGTCTGTTTGTCAGGTAGTCTTTAATCCAGGTGATAGTTGAGGCCCCCACCTGTGTCTTCTGGAGTTTCTGGCAAAGAACATCAGGCTGGATTGTGTTAAATGCACTGGAGAAATCAAAGAACATGACCCTCACAGTGCTGCCTGCTTTGTCCAGATGACAGTGGGTTGGTTGAAGCAGCTGGATGATGGCATCTTCAACTACAACTCCATGGCGATAAGCAAACTGCAGCAGGTCCTGATATGTTCTAGTTTGCTTATTCAGGTGGACCAACAGGAGTCTCTCCAGGACCTTCATGATGTGGGACTTCAGGGCAACCGGTCTGTAGTCGTCATTGACTGATGGGCGAGTTTTCTTTGGAACTGGAACAAGGCAGGATGTCTTCCACAGGACTGGAACCTTCTCCTGGGCCAGGCTGAGGTTGAAGCCCCCACAATGCAGCTCTAAAATTGGTCCCAACCCGGAAGTACCAAAAGTTGCAGTTCCACCCTCATCCACTAGGGGCTGGTGTCAGAAGCGAGCAAATCCTCATTGACTCCCATGTTAAAAATACCAATTTCACAGCAGAAATAAACATGTTTACAGCCTGGTACCAGAACATGTTTTTGGTTTAAATGATCTAGTTTACACTCATGACAACTCTGAGGGGGGTGAATGTTTTTCTCACTCTTCTGTTTAAGTGTATTAAAAGCCTAAAATTCTGTATAATTAATGAGCATCAGACCCACGTGACCGCAGAGCTAGCTCCGGGGAAAGGCCTCAGTAGAGCCTCGGTCTGGCCTGGAAACTGCTCCGGGATTTTGAGTCTCTGTGTGTGTGTATTCTTGTTTGGATATTATTTGTGCAATTGTTGGACAAAATGACTTGCAGTGGCATTAATTGCACTAATAGAGCGTCCAAGGAGTCTCCACTTCATTTTTTTCGGTAAGTAAAATTATATTTATGTATTTTAGGTCACTGCCGAGCTGAGCTTAGATTTTAACATGTACTGTTTAACCATGAAATTTAAATGTAATAGGGTAAAACCCAGTGCATTTAACATAATGCTGCACTTTAGAAAATGGGTTGAAATATAACATGTTGGTGGAGCTGGGTTCCCACTATCGGCTTGTGGAGCTCTCGGGAGACCTCTGTGTTCCACCCGGTTTTACCCAGCGGTCAGCCCGGCGTATCTCTGACTCAGAAGCTCTGGTGTTGTGCACAGTTAACTCCGGTAGTAGCTAGGTTGCTACCTCCGTTAGCTTAGCTCCCACCTCCGCGTTAGCTTTGGGTTAGCTTGTAGCTAGTTCGACCGAGTGTTGTCCGCGTTAGCTTTGGGTTAGCTTCAGGTTAGCTTGTAGCTTGTTCGACCGGGTGTCGTCAGTTGATCCCAGCCTTACAGCCCCACCCTCAGCTCCTCCTCTCTTCCCTTTTATGGAATTGTCTGGGCTTGACAGAACCTGTGACACGGTCAAAATGGCGGTGGTGGCCACCTCCCATTTTAGCACAAAAACTTATTATTGGAGGCTATGGAAACCCATTGTCCAATAATTATATGTCGATGGTGCTGCTGACTCAGCATAAATAACAAACCAAGCTAATTTCATGAAGTTAAAAGCATTAACTCAGTCTTACCATTGCTGGTTTAAGGTTGTAATAATCCGTGTAATAGTAAAAAAAAAATCCACTGTTTTACATGTGGGAGAGTGCTCAGAAGTCTCTGACGCCAAAGGCTCTCCTGTTCTTTGGATTGGAGGTCAATAGGATTCCAGCACGCATGCGCCGGCTAGCATAGCGGCGCCCAAAAGTAACAGGAAGTACGTCACAAGGCGATTCAGTAGTGTTAAAAGTGTTAAATGCAGATTATACACAGCACTAATAGTTTGTATGCCGTATAGATTGATTTAGATTATTTTTTATGTTTTTTGTTTTAATTTGTGATTCCTTTGTTCTTCTTCTCCCTGTCAGGGTGGTGGGCGGCGCCCTAGCGCCCCCTATGGACGAGCTGCCACTGCCAGCTGCCCAGTTGCTGTTTACTGCAGCATCTACATGACAGGTTTCTCATTACAGGATCTGTTCATTTCTAAAATAGCTCTCAACTTTTTCTCTAGGTTTGAAGAACCTAAAAGAAACTATAGTTGAAGCTCATCACTGAAAGGCCGTGAATGTGTGGTTTTCATCAATTTTCATCCTTGAATTTAACTTGGTGTGGCATTCATAAAACCCCCGTTAAATCTCACTACTCTTACCTCTTCCTGCCAGTAGACTGTAAAAAGAGACACATGATCGTATGCAGGAGTCAAAATGTTTTAAGCTCCAACTGAATGAAGCAAAATGCATCTCAGATTGTTTTCCAGATCTACTTTTGTAGAATTGTGTGATTATTTGCCTTGTTACCGCATTTCCCAACAATATTTTTATTATGCATTTAATTTAGGCCTAAAGTGCGATTATGACTGTTTGCACGGGGAGTAGGCAAGGTGTTCACTGCAAAGCCTCAGCCATGTCCATTCTGGTCCAAAAACGAAAACATTGCAGCACAAAAACTGAATCTCACAGCTTCACTTTTCATCAGTGGAAGAAAGCAGCCTTGTGTGTTCAAGGTGTCCTAGAACGACATTTATCACATTCAGGGAACACACACTTCATATTAATTCAGACAGAGTCAATATGTACCAAATATAATCCGACCCAAATATAAGACGAGTTTTTTTTTCATTGAAAATAATTTTTAAATGTGAGGTCGTCTTATAATCGGGGTCTAAGCATTCACACATGCAGATTCACACATGCAGATTCATACATGCAGATTCACACATGCAGATTCACACATGCAGATTCATACATGCAGATTCATACATGCAGATTCACACATGCAGATTCACACATGCAGATTCACACATGCAGATTCATACATGCAGAAATTTGTCTGGGATCATTACACGCCCGTACCAGCAGAGGGCGACAGGCTGTGTTCTTTAGGAGAACACAGATGGGGACGAGAGGTCCAGAGCAGAATGGACCAATAATGGGGCAAGTTAACAAGCTATAAGGCAGAGTTCTGCAGATTTTAAGATGACAGTGGTCAATTCAGCTGGCCTGCATAACCCTAACCCTTTTTCACACAGGGCAATGTAGGTTTGGATTTTGTTCGCTCTCTAAATAATAAAAACCATCATTTCAAAACTGCCTTTTGTGTTTACTTGTGTTATATTTGACTAATGGTTAAATGTGTTTGATGATCAGAAACATTTTGTGTGACAAACATGCAAAAGAATAAGAAATCTGGAATGGGGCAAATAGAGCTTCACACCACTGAGCGCCGTTATGGCTGCTCTCGTGGTCTGCCTGTATCTGTCCTGTCTACATGTGTGTGTGTGTAACCTTGGTCAGGCTGTGCTGCGGAGTCAAGTTCCTATGCTCTGGTTCGCTGGAGCGCTGGCAATAAAGCTTTTTTCTGATTCACTGTAAATACATACATATATATACATATATATATATATATATATATATATATATATATATATATATATATATATATATACATACATATATATGTATGTATGTATGTATATGTATATATATATATGTATGTATGTATGTATATGTATATATATATGTATATATATATATATGTGTATATGTATATATATATATATATACATATATATATATATATATATATATACATATATATATACATATATATATATATATATATACATATATATATGTATATATATATATATACATATATATATGTATATATATATGTATATATATATATATATATGTATATATACATATATATATATATATATATATATATATATATATATATATATATATTAGGCTGCATGGTGGTGTAGTTGTTAGCACAGTTGCCTCACAGCAAGAAGGTTACATCTTTGGGGCAGCATTAGATCAGGTGGGGGTTAAGTTTCAAGGTTGCAGGTTCTATACCCGCTCAGTCTGTTGCTGTTGTTGTGTCCTTGGGCAAGCCACTTAACCCTCCTTGCCTGTTGGTGGTGGTCAGAGGGACCGGTGGCACCTTGCCTCTGTCACCAGGCCCCAGGGCAGCTGTGGCTACATGGTAGCTTATCACCACCGGGGTGTGAATGAGTGAATGAAACGCTGTAGTGTAAGGCGCTTTGGAGTCCTCTGACTCTATGCACATGTGGCAAGTAAGAGATAGCAATATAAATAAATTAAGGATAAAAAGGTTGCAACAACGCCACCCTGGGTTACCCCCCCCAGAGAAGGGTGGAATAAAGGTCCGTAGGTTCAAAAATCACGAGGGGAACAGATGGCGTCTTTCCAATAAAACAAATCTTTATTAAAATATCTAAGCTAAAAACATTCGGAGGGAGTTACGTGCTTGGAGTCCAATATCACCAGTTAGTCCACCAGAAGTAACCCTTTTGGCCTAGGGCCAACAAATACTAAATGAAGTCAAAGTCAGTTTGATTGTCACTTCTGCCACATGTACAGGACATACAGAGAAATGAAATTACGTTACTCTCAAACTCTCGCTAGATAGAAAATAAACATTTAGTATAAAAACAGTAACCAAGTTCAGAGAGACTGTGGGGGAAAAGAGAGGAGAGTTGGGAGAGCCGGGAGGGAGTTTAGCTTCCTAACTGCCTGGTGGGTAAAGCTGTCCTTCAGTCTGTTGGTCCTGGCCTTGAGACTCCGCAGTCTCCTCCCTGACGGCAGCAGCTTGAAGTGGCTTTGCATTGGGTGAGTGGGATCAGCCGCAATGCGAAGGGCCTTTTTTGTGAGGCGGGTGCTGTAAATGTCTGATAGGGAGGGGAGAGAGACCCCAATGATCTTCTCTGCTGCTCTCACTATACGTTGGAGGGTTTTAATGCATGAAACGTTGCAGGCTCCGAACCACACAGTGATGCCGCACGACAGGATGCTCTCGATGGTGCCTCTGTAGAAAGTGTACAGGATGGGGGCTGGTGCTCTTGCTCTTCTTAGTTTGCGGCGGAAGAAGAGACGCTGCTGTGATTTCCTCGCCAATGCTATGGTGTTGTTCATCCAGGAGAGGTCCTCTGTAATGTGCACACCCAGGAACTTGGTGCTGCTCACTCTCTCCACAGACACACCATTGATGGTCAGAGGAGCATGCTGAGTGTGTGCTCTCCTGAAGTCCACAACAATCTCCTTGGTCTTCTCCACATTTAGAGAGAGGTTGTTGTCAGCACACCATGTGGTACGGCGGCTCACCTCGTTCCTGTAGTCGGTCTCATCCCCGTGGTTTATGAGACCCACCACTGTCTCAACCTACTCAAATCAAACACACCAAATAATAATAAAACAGAAACATGGCAAACGAAATAGGATACTTCCTTTTAAGCCTGTGGGTTTTCTGGTAGTTGCCCCGGCAACCAGGCGTCTGACGCCCAACTATTCATTAACACCAATCAATGCAGATGAAACAGATCAGTACAGACGAAACAGCAGTGATGCAGCCCTCTGGGCACACCACCGGCTCCTCAGATGGACTTGGTCGTGGCAGACCGGTGAGATGGAGCAGCAGAGGGGCCGGTGTACCGCCGACGACGTCAGACGCTCAGCCGATCTCGGTGGAGCGCTGCAGGCAAAGCCGGATGACGAAGCGGCTCTTAAGTCAAACAGCACGGGCAGCCACACTGCAAACAAACAACACTGACATGGAGTACCTGGATGCAGTGTTAACCCTCTAACCTCATGCACAGCTCCATTCTGCGATCACCCGCTACAAACAAGACGGAGAAATGAGCATGAACTAACGCCGCGCCGGCGACACGGGTGGAGTGTACTTACGATCGCAGCTTGCAGTTGGAGTTTCTCATTACCCCAGCACCTGAAGTGCCATACCAGAGCCGTCATGCTGAAAGAGCAGGCAGCTGCAGTGGCGGGGCCGGGGGACGCTAGGGGGCACTATAGCTACCCCTGGATTAGCCATTGCACCCCCAAGTAAATATATTTTTTTTACAATTTAATTTTAATGTAACGTGTGGATGTGATAATATTTAACATACAAAACAAAAATAATCAGTAAATTATCATATAGATAGTAAAAACTTAAACCAAAACAGGAAATTCATGTTAACCTTTGACCTCATGTTCCACCTGTGAACGAGTGAAAGGTAGAGCTAGCTAGCGGTAAGATGGATCGGTTTTTGTTGCCCACATTTCCACGGGTTCAGTCAGAAACGAATGAATGTGTGGAAGTGATCTCAGACCCACAGAAACCTACAGATCTGGATGAAGAGAGTCAACCCTCAACCGCCGCAGCAGTCCAGGGTTTAGCTGCTGGAAATGCTAATGCTAACGTTAGCTAACCTTGCAACACTATAGATGGTTTACTGTGTGGCTGTATGTTTATGATTTCATGGAAAAGTCAGCGATAGTTCATGTTTATGATGTATATTAATGATTGCTTCAGGTGTTGTGCACACATGTGTATCTGCTAGTGTTGAAGGTGTTTTAGAGAACAGTAGGTACGCATGACCACTTCCTTCATAGCACCTGCAGAAAAACATTTCTGGAGCCGCTGTTCTGAGAATTTCTCTTACCCGATAAACCGTCCTACCCGTTGTTACTGAGCATGTGCGCGCAGGCGCACAACACAAAAGGGGAATGCTACTCCGCGTCATATTTGCAGGAAAATAGATACGTAGTAAGTATTAGTACTTGTTTTCTTTGGTGAGGGTTTGTGTCATGTAAAACAACGTTAAATTCTCCTACGGGTAGGACGTTTTCTCAGAACACCGCCAGTGGGATGACTCACCCCGCCCAGTGTGAGCCCCCTGGCTCTTTACTGGGATGGGACCGGACAAGATCTGTCTGTCCCATCACACGCATGTGGGTCATTTGTCCCCTCTTACCTCGCTTGTCTTTGCCTCCTCGGCATTATTTACCCTCCATACACTTCCGCTTGACTCACTTCTTTCAGCTTCCGCGTGGCACGAGTCGCCCCTCCCACCAGCGAGTGGGCTGCTCTCCGTCATCCTGCTCGCTGCGCACACCGGAGGCTACCCACCGACCGACTGCGGTAAGATGCGGCGACGAGCCGCGCAGGATGAGGAGATGCGCAACGGCGGAGGAGAGATGAAGGTGACGCCTTAGTATCTTCCCCAAACGTTGGTAGGACCGGACTGGGTTCCGGTTCGGATGCTTCGTGGTGCAGGCCGACTGGGATGATGATGATGATGATGATGATGATGTGGCGCTGATCCCAGTTCAGGATGTTCCTCAGCATCAGTCGGTAAACGTTAAGCGGAAGAAAAGCTCGGAGTAACGGATCCTTCATCCAGAGGATCATCCCAGGCTCCAGATCAGGTGAGAGCTAAAAACCAGTGGGATCCTTCTCAGGACCTGCTGGTGTTACTGGTGCCCTTCCTGCTGGTGAGCCTGGCCAACACCTATAGTGGCTTAGGCTGGACATTTAGAGGTGTTTTTTTAATCAGCTGATGTGACACAGATGTGTTTAATGCTCGTTAGAAATCATAACGCTGTCCCTGGAACACACCACCGAATTCATCTTCCTTTGTTTGTGTCTAACCTCCTTCCTCCCTCCTTATGTTGACAGCTCACCCGTTCCTCGGGGACGCGAGCCCAGCCGTCAGAGGTCGCTGAGGCCGAGAGCAAACGGGATCCTCGTTACCTTCGCGCTCATCCGCGCTGACAGGACATCCACCTGCTCCACGCTCCTCTCCTCCTCATCCAGACACTCCCGGTTAGGGAGCGGGACGGGGAAACTGACTTCACGTCTCTTTTGTCCAAACGTTTGAAGAAGACTGAGATTAAGAAAAAGACGCGTCTGTCTTTCTCCTTTGGTGTCCGAAACGATCCCAGATGTTTAGTTGACGACTTCAGCTCCTTCACGATGCCCCGGATATTCAGTTTCAGCTGTTTTCCTCCTGCCTTTCAGCCGCCGTGCTCTGAAACCAGAACGGATTCTGGATGGTGTCGGTTTTTGCTCCCTGATGAGAATCCCGCTCCACTCGCTGCATTTTAATAAAGGATAAGCAGAGAAGAACCTCTAGAACATCGATGAGGCCAACAGCAGGAGCGATGCTCCAGCAGAACAACAACAACAACTACCCCTGCCTCAGCATGTCCGCCTCCACCCAGGACATTATCCAGAAATGCTCCAGAACCTCCCTGCCCTTCTCCAGCCGAATGGAGTTGGGGGAACTGCCTCTGATCCGCGGTCTCCGGGCCTGGGCGCTGTGTTCCAGGACTCGCCGGAGGGCTGGTGGTCTGCTGGGAGGAGGAAAAGCCCCCGTAGCTCCTCCGCTGGGCCGGGGCAGCTCCACATCCTGCCTCAGGCCCGCCGATGTGTACCTGAGTGGGGAGCTGGATCCACTGGGATACAGGACTCCCCAGGGTCTGGACTCCAGGCAGGTGGGAATCGGGGCTTTAGTCACAGTGGCCACTCTGAAGACCTCAGAGGGAGGCGGGAAGACTCAAACTCAGTGTGTCTTCCTCCGGACTGAGAAAGGAAGCTGCTTATCCTCTAAATCGGGTCCTGGTGGGGCGACTGGTTCGGTTGGAGATTTGCTCAAAGGGAAGAGAGGAGGAGAAGGCGCTGACGGCCTCCAGGCTGGTCCAAACTGGGTTAGAGTGAGGTCCGGCCAGAGATGGAGGAGGTCTGGGAACGTAGCAGGTCGGGAAAAAACAGCCAAGCCAGAGATTGGCTGGGAGGATCCGAACGGGGGATTTAGAGCAGAAGAAGGACAAGAAGAGGAAGAACGAGGGTTCTGTAGCCCTCAGCGAGACTGCAGCAGAACCAGCTGCTGCCACGACACTTCTGCTAAAATATGCACCCGATGTGGAAGGAGACCACAAAGAAAGGAGAACGGGGATGTGACGGAAGGAGAAAGTCCTGGAAGAGGAGTTTCAGACAGTGAGGAGAAGGGAATGAGGAGGGCGAGGCACAGGAATGAGGAGGAGAGAGAGGTTCCTGACCCAGAAGCCAGCACCAGCAGCATCTGTGATGTCGGTCATGAACAGGGAAGAGCCGGGAGAACGGAGAGGCAGAAGACACGAACTTCAGACTCTGCAGGAGTAGAAACGAACCTCGGTGTGATGAGAAGACCCGCGGCCGTCTGTGGCCTCCTGGTGACACGCGCACAATCAGGAAAACCTGGGGAGGACGCGAGAGGAAGAGCCATCCCATCTACAGCCTCCCTCAGAAGGAAAGAGTCCTCCACTCCTGTAGAGGGCAGCGTCTGGGATACGGGCCATGCCAGAACAGATGAAGAGCTGGACTTCAGCAGCGTTCAGGCCCAAGAACCCAACTTCACAGCTGGGAAGGAAGAGTCCATCCAGCAGGAGGTGAAAGGAGTTCCATCTCCTCCTCTCCAACAGAGACTTCCCTCCATCTCTCAGACTGGGAGGAGGAAAACAGAGGATGAGTGCATCTGCAGCAAGGTGCATGATGGAAGAGCTGACAACGTCAAGGAGGATCCAGATGAAGGAGCAGAGAGGAGTTTAGTGACTGAGGAGTCCTGGAACAACGGCTCTGCTGACCCCCCCTCCTCTGTGCCACCTTTCAGTCCTGCCCCTTCTCCCCCCCTCCCGGGTTTTACAGAAACTAGCCTGCCTGGTCCGGAGACGGGGGAGGAGAAACAGGAGGTCCTAGGAGCAAAGGGAGGAGATAACCAGACTGAGAAAAGGACACAAGGAGAAGAGCTGGAGGAGCAGAGAGAGGAGGCGAGGAGCTCCGCTGTGGCTACTGAAGGGAGGAAGGAGGAGGAGGATGAGTTTGGAGTGTTCATGCAGGCAGAGGGAGTGCCGGTCTGGAGCGAGGAGGTGAACAGGTCCACTTCGGTGCCTTATGGGAGCAGAGGGAGCGCCGGTAGGTAAACTGGTTTCAGTGGATCTGTCGGTTTAGGTCCGCACAGCTGACAGGAAGTCCGTTACACACGTTCCGACTCCGAGACGCGGTCTCATCAGGTGTTAACGGGAGGTGTCCGCCCGGCAGCTCCCGTCGTTCCCGTTCAGGAATGCTGCTAGGCACCCCGTCACATGCTCTTCTAAGCCACGCAGAAATAACCCGGGTCACCTTCAGTCAGCTGAGCTGATTAATCTCTTCATCAGAAACATGACCTCTGACCCCCGAGACCAAGGCTCCCTGTCTGATTATTAGAAAGCAGGCAGATGGAAGGCCTAGCCCTCCTGGTGGAGGTGCAGACCATAATCAGCCTCCTGCAGGATGATCTCACCTGTAGCCAGCATACCACCCCCCTAGGCCAGGTGTAGGTGACCGATCTGCCCAGGGACCTTCACCTGCTGCTGATGTCACTAAACCATTGGCTGGTTGACGTAGAATATTTTGACTGATTCACAGGAGTGACGTTAGCCACGCCTCCTCAGGGGTAGGGGTCGTCGTAGGAACCACGGACGACGTCAGCACCTTCCGAGCTGAGATTTGGTCTGATTAATGATCTCGAACGGCACCATGAATAAATCATGAGATCTGTTTACCCACACGGAAACGTAAGTTCCCACTATTGTCAGGAAATTGTGCAATTTGAATTAACTTTATTGAGTAGGAAGTGTAGAACACAAGAACCGATGTAGTAAACAGAACCTTATGTAATAAAGTGGCCTGTACTGGATACAGCACCGTCTAGTCCTAGAACCGCCCAAGGTGCTTTACAACACAACCAGTCATCCACACACTGGCGGATACACACACACACACACACACTGGTGGATACACACACACACACACACACTGGTGGATACACACACACACACACACACACACACACACACACACACACACACACACACACACACACACACTGGCAGATACACACACACACACACACACACTGGCAGATACACACACACACACACACACACACACACACACACTGGTGGATACACACACACACACACACACACACACTGGTGGATACACACACACACACACACACTGGTGGATACACACACACACACACACACTGGTGGATACACACACACTGGTGGATACAGACACACACACACTGGCAGATACACACACACACACACACACACACACACACTGGTGGATACACACACACACACACACACACTGGTGGATACACACACACACACACACACACTGGTGGATACACACACACACACACACACTGGTGGATACACACACACACACACACACTGGTGGATACACACACACACACACACACACACTGGTGGATACACACACACACACACACACACTGGTGGATACACACACACACACACACATACTGGTGGATACACACACACACACACACTGGTGGATACAGACACACACACACATACTGGTGGATACAGACACACACACACACACTGGTGGATACAGACACACACACACACACACACACACTGGTGGATACAGACACACACACACATACTGGTGGATACAGACACACACACACACACTGGTGGATACAGACACACACACACATACTGGTGGATACAGACACACACACACACATACTGGTGGATACACACACACACACACACATACTGGTGGATACAGACACACACACACACACTGGTGGATACACACACACACACACACTGGTGGATACACACACACACACACACACTGGTGGATACACACACACACACACACACACACAGGTGGACACACACACACGCACGCACACACACACACACTGGTGGATACACACGCACACACACACACTGGTGGATACACACACACGCACGCACACACACACACACACTGGTGAATACACACGCACACACACACACTGGTGGATATACACACACACACACTGGTGGATACACACGCACACACACACTGGCGGACACACACACACACACACACACTGGTGGATACACACACACGCACGCACACACACACACACACACTGGTGGATACACACGCACACACACACACTGGTGGATACACACGCACACACACACACTGGTGGATATACACACACACACACTGGTGGATACACACGCACACACACACTGGCGGACACACACACACACACACACACACTGGTGGATACATGCACACACATGCGCACACACACATTGGTGGATACACACACACGCACGCACACACACACACACACTGGTGGATACACACGCACACACACACACTGGTGGATACACACACACGCACGCACACACACACACACTGGTGGATACACACGCACACACACACACTGGTGGATACACACACACGCACGCACACACACACACACTGGTGGATACACACGCACACACACACACTGGTGGATATACACACACACACACTGGTGGATACACACGCACGCACACACACACAGACACACACACACACACTGGTGGATACACACACACACACACACATTCTGCTCCATTTAATCACCTCATTCCCTTGTGCTTGACTCCCCTTTGGGGTCTAAGTGTGTCCTTGGGCAAGACACTTAACCCACCTTACCTGCTGGTGGTGGTCGGAGGGACCGGTGGCGCCGTGTTCAGCAGCCTCGCCTCTGTCAGTGTGCCCCAGGGCAGCTGTGGCTACATCGTAGCTCATCACCATCAGTGTGTGAATGTGTGTGTGAATGGATGAATCGTGTAAAGCGCTTTGGAGTCCTTACTCTGAGAGGCGTCATTCATCGTTTAAATGGAGGTTCCCGTAATAACCAGCAGTCATGTTACTGACATGAGACATAACTTCATATTTAAGGAGAAGGAAGTGGGATTGGAGTAGTACTCTGGTAGGGGGTGACTTGCTCTTTAAAGAGAAGGAAGTGGGTCGCATTAAGGAACCTCTCAGGTCCTTCGACCCTCTTTCATCTGGACTGGAGAACGTTTGCTTCCTGCTGCTGCCTCCTCATGCCAGCTCACAGACCAGTCCTGCAGCAGCAGCAGAGTCATTCCTACTGGGATGAAGGAGCAGCTTAAATCAGGTTCTCCAGGTCTTTATGGAGCAGGAAGCAGCCTCACAAGTCTGGACCCAAAGAAAAAGAATTCTTCCGTTCCTTAAAGTAGAAACGGGAATCTTTGTGACACCTTCTGAACTTTTCTCATGGTGTTTCTAATTATGTGGCCGTGTGGAGCAGGCCCAAGTGTTGCCCTCCTCTTCGGTCGTGGACCTGAGAAAACTCCATCTACGCTCACGAAAACCAGCAGAAGTCGTCATTTTGGGATAAATCTCTGAAACTGTGACCTGACCTGGATTCCTGCTCCGTACTAATCTTTCAGCGTTGAGCTGATGGAGGAGGAGGGAGCTTTGAGCTCCCGTCAGCCTCGGGTTAAAAGGGAGAAGGGACATTCCCGTCAGCCTCGGGTTAAAAGGGAGAAGGGACATTCCCGTCAGCCTCGGGTTAAAAGGGAGAAGGGACATTCCCGCTAACCAAGTGTCACAAAGAGTCGTCACGCATCATCTACAGAGGGAAGTGGAGCTGCAGGAATCACAGGAAACCCAAATCTCACGTGTTTTAGCTGTAATCTAACCCATTCACATATCTATGATGAGTTTCCTGTGATGACCTTTGAACCTTTCTGTTGGTCAACAGCACTTGGAAACCAAGCCATCACAACAACCCCTGACTGGACGGGCGACCCATCCCACCAATCACATGACAGCTGGACCGCCTTTCCTCAGGACGGCGACTCGGGCGAAGACGTCGAGGCGCAGTGGTGGCTGGGCGGCGCCGTGGAGGCAAGGAGAGGCCGTCCTTCAACCAATCACAGCCTGGTACACATGGATATGGATAAGTCTTTATTTCCAATAGATATCTGATCACATCTTCATGAAAGTCATTGTGATAAGTGACGTCACAAATCTGCTGAGCGGTTTGTCTACCAAGCCTCGCATCGGAGTTGAAGGGTGTGGTTTCGTGTGCGCACGGTGGCTAAACGCTCGCGGTTTCATCCAAAGACTACAAACGGAGACGGAATAATTCCAATATTCCGTTTTTACCACATCCTTAGTTTGAATCTTTCTTTTGGGCAGAAAGCCAGCATTTCTTCTACATTTTAGCCGTTTCTCATCAACCGCAAGGTGCAGCGAAACCTTTAGAAAACCACTCATTCACTCTTGGAATCATCTCATTCAAGATGGCCGCCACAGGTCGCTGGCGTTGCTAACCCCAAACGTGGCTCTAAACTGCTTTACTGAAGTAAACGTCCATCTGTGAGCTCCTAAACCTCCTCCAGTCGCAGCACATCCAGATCAACAGAGCCATCCTAGCTCCTCCTCCTTTACGCTGTCGGCCAATCATCTCTGACTCTGAGGGAAACGTAAACGCGCTCATTCAGGGCTTGTTTGTGTATTTGGTCGTGTGCCTGGGGTCCACGCAGGTTGGTCTGGTGACGTCTGGCTGTCCCAGTAATAGAAGTCTGTATAATAGCTAGACCTCTGTTTGTGGGTGCGCGTGGGTCGGGTTGGGATTGGGGGGTCCTGGCTCGTCTTGGATGCAGGTGAGGGGGTGTGGTCTAACCCACTCTGGGTTGTGTTTCCGTATTTGGCGTCCCCTCCTGTGTGGAGGTCATCCTGCTGCTCTCGCGGCCCAGATCGGCCCAGTTTCAGTCGCGTTTCGTCTCCTGTGACAGCTTTGTGTCATGCTGTGCAGGGAAGCCTTCCCTCGCTTCTCCTGTGGTTAGGATTCATCCCAGGTGGAGGGTTGAGATGATCTTTCAGGATGTTCAGCGTTACTTTGGCTACTTGGAGGTTAAATGGTTCTGACGGTTTTTTTTGCTGCCGATCACATTTTTCTGTGTTCTTTGTGTTTTTGTGTCTGTTCGGTTAAATGAACACGTCTGAGGTACCTTTTAAATAGAGAGCATACATCCTTGTTGTTGCACCAGGTAACCTAGGCGGTCTGGGTTTGGGTTTTCCATGAAAAACGGTGCAACCACTGCAGAGAGAAGCTCGGTGGACATGAAACAGCAGAGCTGCAGCTGATGAACACGACCTGGCGTCCCGCCTAGTGTCAGTGGGATGTTTGGCAGTCGGAGGCCATTGTTCTCTGAATGCTGCAGGTTTTGTTTTTGTGTTGAGGAGATGAACTGTTTGGTTTTCCTGATGTGACGCACCTCGGTCTCTGCTGCAGGCCGCCGTGTTTGCTGAAGCCTTCCCCTCTCCGCCTGGGGTGTCGTCAGCTGACTCCTGTGACCTGGCTGTGCCCCCCACGCTGGCGCAGCTCCTCAGGGGCCGAGCTGGCCAGGATCAGGGGTGAGTGAGCTCTTCGTGTGGGTGCATTTTCCCAAAATTCATGATGTGCAGTCATGGGTCGTATAGAATCACTCGGGGGGGGGGGGGGGGGGGCAACCTTTAGATACCCCTGACCTATGACCTTTGCTGGTTTTATAGCCGTGACAGCAGAAGTTGTACAACTTCTGCTTTTAAATCAAAAGTGTTTGACTGACAACAACTAACCATGGAGCTGATATTACATTTATAAAACAGAAGAACAGCCCCACCTAGTGGTCCTTTGGAAGAACTGCAGAGCAGGACCCGGTCTGTCAGCGGGAGAACGTCCTGCAGACTATTCACACAAATAATGTTTTAGTATTAGACAGACAGACAGACAGACAGGCAGACAGACAGACAGGCAGACAGACAGGCAGACAGGCAGGCAGACAGACAGACAGGCAGGCAGGCAGGCAGGCAGACAGGCAGACAGACAGGCAGACAGACAGGCAGACAGACAGGCAGACAGACAGACAGGCAGGCAGGCAGGCAGGCAGACAGACAGGCATGCAGGCAAGTAGGGCTGCAGCTATCGAATATTTTTGTAATCGAGTACTCTATCGAATCTTTTTTTCGATTAATCGAGTACTCTAATAAATTACCCTTTTGTGTTTGTAAACCATTATATCAAATAGCATGTTATAATTATGAAAGACCTCTCAAAATGAGCAAGCAGTTGCCAGTTATTCTTCAAGTTTTATTCAAAATTAAGTTTGCAAAACTTCAGCACTTCAACTTTACTTCACAGTAAACAAATGCCTGTGCAAAAAACAAGTAAACAACCTGAGCCGATTTTCCCCTCGTGCGAGAATCTACTAGCCTGCAAGCCAGACAAAAACTAGGAGGATAACTGTTGAAGTAGCGCTGCGAGCGGCTGCGGCCCAAACAGAACCAGAACCGCTCACGGCGCAAACGCTCGCCGGCTGTTTCCCTATTAACACACGTTCGTTTTAATTTCTACACTTTTTTTTCCTCAACACAATAACAAGGATTGTCGAGAAAGCATGTTTGCTGTGGTTTTGGCAAATTATACTGATCACAAAACATTTATTTACTTTCTTTCGTTTTCCTCATAAATACCCGTGTCCTCCTGCAGCGATCCTGAGGGACAACAAATATCAATAACAACACAATAAAAAGTCCGACGTGTTGTGTAAAAACTGCTATTTTTAGCACATTTCAAGTCCGACGTGTTGCTACCAGACGTACGGTGTGAGCTGAAACTGAGTGCTACAAATGAAAAAGTTGCACAGTGTCCACAGAATATATAGAAAAACAGGCTAAAATGCATTATCTTGTAGAGGCTCCGAGTCCACATGCAGAAGTGACATTTACAGGTGCTGCAGCACGGAGGATGTGGTGTTGTGGTAGGCTAAATCCATTTTACAGTATTTATACTGGACTACGTTTTCCGCCTAACGACGTGAAAAATGGTCCCACATCTTGACATTTTCTGTCTTTTTCGCACTCCACCGGGGTCCACGTTGTCCGCCATGGCTTAAGAGAAAGTTAAGTTACATTTGCTACTCGCAGTCCAGTGGGCATGTGCGTCACTTATTTCGGTCCGGGTGAAACATGAGCCTGTGCGTTTGCAAAGCCACAAATTAATTAAATATGAATTAAACGAATCCTCGAGGCAGAGAATTTGACTCGAGGATTTTTTGTACTCGAATTATTCGAGGTACTCGAGGAATCGTTTCAGCCCTACAGGCAAGACAGACAGACAGGCAGGCAGGCAGACAGGCAGAAAGACAGGCAGGCAGGCATGCAGGCAAGACAGACAGACAGGCAGGCAGGCAGACAGACAGACAGACAGACAGGCAGAAAGACAGGCAGGCAGGCATGCAGGCAAGACAGACAGACAGGCAGGCAGACAGACAGACAGACAGACAGACAGGCAGAAAGACAGGCAGGCAGGCATGCAGGCAAGACAGACAGACAGGCAGGCAGGCAGACAGACAGACAGACAGACAGGCAGAAAGGCAGGCAGGCAGGCATGCAGGCAAGACAGACAGACAGGCAGGCAGACAGACAGACAGACAGGCAGGCAGAAAGGCAGGCAGGCATGCAGGCAAGACAGACAGACAGGCAGGCAGGCAGACAGACAGACAGACAGACAGGCAGGCAGAAAGGCAGGCAGGCAGACAGACAGGCAGAAAGACAGACAGACAGGCAGAAAGACAGACAGGCAGACAGACAGACAGGCAGGCAGACAGGCAGGCAGGCAGACAGACAGACAGACAGACAGACAGACAGACAGACAGACAGAGATGAGTTCTCAGCATAAACCAGTTTTCTCTGCATGCTTCCTCTGACTCTACAGGCTCCTGGATAATTTCCATGATTTGAACAAAATGATCGGCCGGAGCTACAAGCGAGTCAGCGGCGTGACTCGTGAGCTGCTGCTGAACACTTTAGACCTGCAGCAGCCGATCATCGTGAGTAGGAACTGTTTCTTGTACAATATTTCTGCACGCACCAGAGACCCTGGCAGCTCATAAAAGTATAGATTTAGAGGAATGCTGCCGATGGAAAGCAAGCGTCACACTTTGTGATAAATGAAGATTTGGAGGGAAAACCTGCAGATTGTCTGTTTCTACAAAGTCTGATGTTTGCTTCCAGAGAGACGCCGACTGCTTCACTCAAGCAGAAGTTTTAGATGAAACCAGAATCTCACTGGGACGCATCGGCCGAGCACACAACACGCACGTTTTAGAAAACGTGTGAAAGTTTGTCAAACGGTAATAAATGGTCCCAGTCATGTTGGACCTGCCTGCAGCCCCTCACAGAGGTAAACTCGCCTTTCCTAGTCACGCCCACTCACGTAAGCCGTAGTGAGCGGGGTCCCAAGCTTCTGCACCTGACTAGGGTCCTGCGACTCTCAGGAAAGCCGCTCCCAAGGGCCGGCCTCATCCTGATGAGACCGGCTCAAACCTGGTGGCGTGTCTGATGAAAAGTCTCAACCTTGGCTCTCGTGTCTGATTTGGTTCTGGATGTTTGCAGGAAAGCCGACCTGCTTCCTGGACGTCCAACCGCCGCCTGTCCCCCGGCCTCCCCTCGGCCAATCAGCACGCTCACTACGCCGCCACCAAGCGGCGGCTGTCGTACGACTTCAACAGGAGCATGGTGGAGTGACCCTTTGCCCTCGGCGGTGCTTTAACTGGTCAGACTGGTCAGACTGGTGGTCTCCTGAAGGGCCACAGCTCAAACTGACGTTCCTCCTTTTAGCGTTCGCTGGTCCAGCTCTTGTCTGTCACACCTTCAGCAGCATCTTCCTCCCATCCCGGGTCTGAACTCGTAGCTCCAAGGTACGAGTCGGACGAACGGAGCTGAGCGGATGTTTGACTTCCTGTAATCATTCAGACACAAAACCAACATCTGGACTTCTTCTCTTCCTGTTGTCTCACCAACATCTGCACCAACGTAGTCCTGCTGAAATCCTTTAAAGCCACTCCTCGTTTCAGAAACCAAAGCAGTTTTCACTTTCACTGATGGTAAATTTAATGTTGTCAAGACGACGGATCGTTATTTTTCCTCTTAGATGAAAGATTTCAGCAGATCTGCTTCCTGTGATATTTTCATCGGACCGTTCCGGTCGGGAGCCGACGCGGGTCAGCTGCAGGAATCTGAGATGTGATACGATCTCCTGGATGAAGCGGTCCCATTCCTGGAAAAACAAATCCTGAATGAATGACAAAACAACCAGATGGTCCCTGAACTCACCATCACTACGCTCTGATTGGCTCTGGCACCACTAACGGCTCCGTCAGGTGAAATCTTAACTCGTACATTTCCAAGTTAATCAAGAGACGTAAAACAACAAACCGTGTTCTGTTGGCGGGTTTTGTGAGGTCGTTTAAAATTTGGTATTAAAGGTTAGAACACGTCACAAATTATGAGTCGGCCCACAAACCTGGAAGATCAAAAGTTAGTTTGGATATTTTAACGGTGGTTCTGGTGCCGTTAAAGAGCAAGTCAACCCCTACCAGATTCTAACTCCACTCCCACTTCATGTTTGAAAAATGCAACAAATGCTGTTGCCTGGCAGACCGAGGGGGCGGAGCTGCTAACAAATACACACACACAGAGGCATTGTGACATCATAATCTACCAGTTTACATCATAGCATACCTCTTAGCCAATAGCGGTGGCAGATTTAAATTAGAATACAGAGCAGTTTTTACCTGACAACGGCACAACACTGCCAGTTTTAGGCAGAATATTTAAATTTTAATTAAGATGCACTGAAGTGCCAAATTATTGACGGCACGTGTCTGCAGCACGATTAGACACTCGTTTCTTTAGTTTATCAGCAAAAAAAAGGTTATTTGGGGTGACTTGCTCTTTAAGCTAAAATGAGCTCCATCAAGCGGCCGACCAGAACTCTGCAGGACTGATGCTTTGTGTGTTTTCTGTTTCTTGCAGTTATTAAAGCAGCAAACGGGTTCGGATCCGGTTTAGTTCCTTTACGGGTCTTTGGTTCTGATGATTATTTTGTTTTTTTTTCTGATGCTCTGTGTTTCTCTCCCAGACGACGCGATACCAGTAACCTGTTTTTATTTCTGAAGCATGTTTCTGACACGTTGCCGTTGAACATAACAGGTTTCTGGAGACTCGAGCCGTTCGTGGCAGCTGATGATTTTCATGCAAACACTCTTCTCTGTTGCTTTAATCCAGCCGGAGCAGAACGTCAGCTGCATTCAGGCACGTTTGAAACGCCACTGAGGAGCGAATCACTGCGTCATTCTCCACATCCACTGCGCTGTGCGAACTCTGCTGTCATGTTTCCACATGCATGTGCTGTCGGTGCGTTTTAGCGACACAACGGCCGGCGGCTGCAGGAAATCCTGCAGCTGCTTCCAGTCGGAGTTCTGGTTTCACAAGCGTTCAGGCTGGAGTGAGCTCCAGCTACAGCATGTGATCTTCTGCTCTGATGTCTCTCTGACCACCCTGTCTGCCCCCCACCCCATTCACGTGCACACCACTGGCATCCGGCTGAAACGGTCACATGACATCACTGATGCACACGCAGGTTTCTGTTTGTCTCTGCTGTAAACGATCAAACATCAGTTGTGATGAAGTTCAAAAGTGTGTGCGTGCGTGCGTGCGTGCATGCGTGTGCGTGTGTGCGTGTGTGTGTGTGTGTGTGTGTGTGCGTGTGCGTGTGCGTGTGCGTGTGTGTGTGTGTGTGTGCGTGCGTGTGTGCGTGTGCGTGCGTGCGTGCGTGCATGCGTGTGCGTGCGTGTGTGCGTGTGTGCGTGCGTGTGTGCGTGTGCGTGCGTGCGTGCGTGCATGCGTGTGCGTGTGTGTGTGCGCGTGTGCGTGTGCGTGTGTGTGTGTGTGTACCATTTGTACAAAGTTCACATCCCTGAAAAGGGAGATGAGTATTTTCTGACCTGTTCACATGATGATGATGCAACTGGAGATAAATAATTTAATAAATCATGCTGAGTGTCGACTCTTCATTTGTTCTCTGTTGTCCCAAAACTCTAATCCCAGAATCTTACTTCCTGTTTACGTCACTTTGAGTCGGGGTCGTCCGTGTGGGCCCACGTTTACATGGTGGCGGTGTGACCTGCACATGCAGCACAAAATAATGTTGAACCTTAGGGTTGAAAAACTTGCAGCGTCGCTGTTGCAAAAACAACAAATTAGAAATAAAAACTGATTTATGGCCAAACCTTCATTGTTCCTGTTGTCCAGAAGCCGACTGGCTGCTCCACCAGCTGCTGGTTAGAAGGCTCTCTGTGGAAAAAACGAGCAGAACTCCAGAAGTCTGACCAACTGGATGAATCTTAAACTAAAAATAGCAGCGGAACGGTCACAAGCTCATATTTAGTCTTGGGGGCGAACCACAATCAGACTGATTCTCAGAACCAAAAGACTCTGGGACGATTGAAAGTGGGTCAGCGCAGCTTCTAAACCACATGCTGGGTTCTAGATGCTCTTAAGCATCACTCAGTTTCTTGATTAAACTGAATTAAAGTATTTTTCTATTCAAAGATCCTGTGATCAATAAAGGCCTTTGTGCTTTAGGCAGAGGTAACAACTATATCTGCTGAGTGGGAGCGGCCTCCTGCCTGCTGAGTCATGACAGAGTTAGGAGACGGACCTGATCGGTTTACACAGCACGAGTCAGACGGCCCACCCTGGGCTGTCTCCTGACCGTGGTGGAGGGGTTTGAGGGTCCCAGTGATGTGAAAGACCAAAGGTGACAGATCATCCCAGACTCTGGACCTCTCTCCCCCTGAGCCTGAGATCAGTGGACTCAGTGGTCTCCTTTAAACTGAGCCGATCAGGCTCTGGTGGGACCTTCATCACCTCCTTCTCCTTGTCCTGCTCTTCTACCTATTCCACCTTTCCCAGGATCCAACTTTTCATTTTCTCTTTCCCTGTTCTCACATTTTTTTCTCAGTGTGGCAAGATGGAGGAACGAGGGCCCGGCCGGGATCCGATGCCCAGACTCCCGGGTGAGAGTCACGCATGCTAACGAGTCAGCCAAAGGGACATCCCCCAGGCCAAGTAGCCTGGGCGCATGATCCATCGGGACACAGTGACAGGACGCTCACGCTGTCGCATCAGTTTAAACATGTTTTTAATCATTTTTGGAAATCTTTTTGTTCAGTCTTTGGTTTTTGTGAAGCACGTTGTGACTCATCTCGAGCGGCGCTGTATAGATGATTGTTGTTTTTCTTTCCTGTCTGAGGCTTTATGCCTCTGCTGAGATCACCCATGGCAAACAGCCATTAGCCTTTAAGCCCCATGAGATGTCTAAGCTGCAGCTGTTCCACACCTGCTTAGACTCTATCAAAACCTGGATGGTGGGAGCTTTCTTCAGCTGAATGAAGATAAGACTGAGATCCTCATCGGTGCCCCAGACAAGCTGGTTCCCAAAGTCAGAGACTCTCTTGGTCAGCTTGCTTCCCACACCAAACCTTCTGTCAGTAATCTTGGCGTGACCTTTGACCCAGCTCTCACCAAAGTGCCGCCTACAGACCCATTATGATGATGAACATAAATAGAAACCGTGTTCTCTCGCCCTGAAGTGGGTCACCAGTGACACCACCAAGCTTCTGTCTAGAAAGTGGACACTCAGAACCACGTTGGTTTGTATTGACTTGTGTTCAGTCGAAGCCCTCAGCTTCCTCTTTCTTCTACCCTGAATGCAGCGTTAGCACATTCTCTGCCTGTGAAGTGAATGATGCGACTGAATCACTCTGGTCGTGTCTCAACAACTTGTCCCTTTAGCCTCCAGACCTGCCAGATCCTCTCAGTCGCACCCTTGGCTAAATGATACCCTCCAGTCTCTACGCACCAATCTTAGAGCTGCGGAACAGAAATGGCGCAAAATGAAAGATCCTGCTGATCTATCGAAATTCCAGGCATTACTATCCTCATTCTCTGCCAGCATCACTGATGGAAAGAAAGACTTCTACAGACAAAATTCTCAGCTCTTCTGAAACTCGGAAACTATTTTCGACAATTAAAACTCTACTTGACCCTCCACCTCCTACCAACCAGACACCTTTGCCTCATTCTGCACTGAGAAAGTGGCAGCTATAAGCAGTTTACTGAACTAGCCACTCCTGAACTTTCGTTACTACAAAGTGTTTCTAGACCGACCATCAGAAGCCCTACTGCATCATTTTCTTCATTTACCCCTCTCACTGAGAACTGTGTCCAAGCTTCTCACGTGCAGCCGCCCTACTACATGCCCACTCGACCCCATTCCGACTAAGCTGCTCCAAGCTATTGCTCCTACAGTAGCCGCAGCATTCACACATGATAAAGGCTTCACTAACATACATGTGTAACATTTCCCACCTCTCTCAAGCATGCTCAGGTTAAACCAATGCTAAAAAAAAGTCCCTTCCTCCATATCATGTGGAGAACTACCGACCTATCTCTCCTCCTGTTTATGTCTAACATTTCAAAAGGGCAACCTTCAAGCAGATCACAGGACACCTCTCACAAAACGGTCTGCTTGACCCTTACCAATCTGGGTTCACAAAGGGCCACTCCACTAAACCGGTTCTGTTAGCAGTGACAGAATCCTTCAAAGAAGCTAGAGTGACGGCCAAATCCTCAGTGCTTATCCTGCTTGATCAATCTGCTGCATTTGACACTGTCAGCCATGGCTTCCTTTTGTCAATGCTCTCTGACATGGGCATCAAAGGGAAAGCACACTCCTGGTTTGAATCGTACCTGACAGGGACGATCTTTCAGTGTGTCTTGGCTCGGACAATCTTCTGCTGTTCACCATCTTGCCACAGGAGTCCCCCAGGGCTCTGTACTAGGACCTCTTCTCTTTGCCATATATGCCACCTTACTGGGTGAGACCATTTGATCGCATAGCTTCTCCTACCACTGCTATGCCGACAACACCCAGTTCTATCTGTCATTCCCGCCAGATGACCTCACAGTCTCTGCACAAATCTCAGACCGTCTCTCTGGCATATCAAAATGGATGAAATCCCACCATCTCCAACTCAACCTCTCTAAAACTGAACTGCTTGTCATCCCAGCAAAACCATCCATACAGCACAATATCTCAATCCAAAATGACTTCCTATCTCTGGCTCCTTGGTTGAGTTCCGGACAGGGAGGGGGGGAGCAGGAGGGGACCGGGGGACGCTGTGCGCACCTAGATAGCTCGCTCCTGTAGCATGCGGCGAACCATGGCAGCTCGCCTCCTACGGTACCGCCTAGACGCGTGACGGAGCGCTTCACACCGCTTCCGTGATTCCTTTAACCATTGAGCTTCATCATCCAGGTCTCTTATGCATCTTTGTGTGTGCAGAATTATGCTTAACATAAGTCTGATCCCAACCCCCACCCCCCCACCCCCACCCCCCGACAACTGGAACTTTTCCCTGCTGTGGGAAGGCAGCCGAAAGGACAAGTTCAGGTAAAAAAGTGGTGTGTCTGAAAACACAGTTCTGGTTAAAAACCAGACTGAATTGTCCGCACATATTCCAGAATGTCTATCTGAAAAGGGTTTAAGATTGATTACGCTGCCTCACTGTCACCTATTGGCTGAATAGTGTTTGTTGTTAGCCTCAAGGGCAGCCCGCTGGCTTGATTATCACCTGTAAGTCACTTAGGACTAAAGTGTCTGCTAAATACATGAACATAAACATAACACGTTGTGCAAATCTTGGCTGGCATGCTCTTTTCCGCACAACACCTGCTAAATTGTGCCCCACTCAAAAAATAAATGAAACCCACCAGCCACCACTGCTCACAAGTATTGACTTGGGCATTTTTGACACATAACCTAAGGCTGTGGTTGGCACTAAATGCACTATAAATTATTACTGTGTGCTTTTTCAGCAAGAATTGTTAATGTTATACATGTTCATGCAGTTGGTGCAGTGACATTTTAGATGTTTGTGTGTCCCTTTGTTGTCTTTTTCTGTAGGTCTTGAAACAGATTCTTGTACATCCTGTTAACTTTTCTGACCCCCCCCCCCCCCATCTCTGTATTCATTAGGATTTTAAAACAACTGAAAATATTCCTAATAAAGTTTTGATGTCAGGCGAGGCATTAAAGCTGAAGCTATACTGCGCTACCTGTGAGGATGAAACTGTCTTCAGCACTCAGACATCCATTCTGATTGCTGATTAAGATGATCAATAAGTAGTATAAACAAATCACATTAATCCCTGTCCTGGTCTTCCTCATGACAAAAAACAAGTTGCAGACATTGCCAGAATTCACCCACTAGATTTATGACACTGTGTGATAAAAAGCACTTCACTTTACACTGTAGCTGATATATATTTAATAAAGTCCAGATCCCCACTAGTTTTTGTCCGAGGCGGGTCGCTGGGTTCAGAAGCTACTCACATGCCAAGATGAGACAAGATATCGCACAACGGCAAAGCTCATCATACTAAGTAAATAACGTGATTTTAACATACGTAATCCTACATTGGAACGATGTTATTGCAAAGAATGATCTCGCATTTCACTACATGGTGAAATATCTATCCATCCATTAGGATTATCAATAGAAGCACATCACACGTATCCCTGTCCCTGCTAATCTTACCAGTAAAAACATGTTTGCTGCAAATCCAAAGATACTTTGAGAGCTGCCAGTCCGTTTGATTGACCGCTGCAGTTTATATCCGTCCTCAGTTTCCATCAGTCATTTAAAAACGAGTTGACTTTCATGTTTGTTAGTGCAACCAACCGCGCAGCAAGCGGTTACCATTTTACTGTGAAATCAGCTAAATAAAAGCGATAAATGGCTACAAACAGACTTGTTTTCACTAGCTTCAACGTGTGTAAACGGTCTTCCATCATGGCAAAGTGGGTGGTCCCATGAGTGCACGTCACCTGCACAGGTGCCAGTGCCCCACCTGGGCCACCCCATTTTAAAAGGCCTGGACACGCCACTGTTACTTCTTTATCAGAAACCCCCATCCCAACTTTATTCTGAAAACCCTACAATTTTATTCTGAAAATAATCTTCCGAATAGTTTTCCCGACACTTCGTCTCAAACCCCATCATGTCTTTGTTGTTTCCTCCGACGTGGCAGGAGCGGAGATGGAGTGCGCTGAAAGTTTTTCTGCAGGACCAGGATGCACCTCTCCAGGCTGGACACACCCTCCTGCTGATGTGAGGAGGAGGAGGAGGAGGAGGAGACAAAAAGGAGGTGTTGAGCTCCTCAGCGGTTTCCACACAGAGAGAGGAGCAGGAGGAAGCGGAGCGGCTCCGGGCCTCCACAGCGACATGCACTCTGTAGGCAAGTCGTGGCTGCTGCTCACCGGTTTCGTGCTCTTCTACATCATCTACCTGCTGTTCGGAGCGCTGGTCTTCTCCAGCATCGAGCGGCCGGTGGAGGACAAGCTGCGACGCGACATGGAGCTGCTGAAGGAGGACTTTCTGAACCAGAGCTGCGTCAGCGCCGCGTCTCTGGAGCGCTTTCTGAACCAGGTCCTGTCGGCCAACAAGTACGGAGTGTCCGTCCTCAAGAACTCCTCCGACAAGTCCAACTGGGACCTGTCGTCCTCCATGTTCTTCGCCAACACCCTGGTCACCACTGTAGGTGAGTCCATCTCCGAGTCACACCTGGGGGGCGCGTAGCGCGCGACGCGGAGCCGACAGAGACGCGAACACAAAGTTCTGCTAAACGTCTGTCAGCTGAGATTTCACACCAAGAACAACATTTTCACTTCATAAAAGTGGTTTATTGTTTTCCCACCATGTCCTAAAACGACACAGCCGAGTAACAGCTGTGGAGCTGCATCTCCAGTGAACAGATGTTTCACTTCCGGTTTCCTGCTTTACGTTTAAAACTCCGAACACCCACACGGTGGTTTCCGGTAATCAATCACCCGTCTGTGCGCCGCTCAGGTTCACACCGACGGTGGCTTCGCGCTCACAGGGTGTATTACGGTAATAGTGAGGGGCAGAAACCTGGTGTGGCATCAGGAGGTGTTCCAGTGGCGTGTCCAGATCTTTTAAAATGGGGTGGCCCAGGTGAGGCACAACTTTGTGCATGGGTGGCACCAATGGTTATGCTTTTTTGTTTTACCCCCAAGCCTTTCGTGGACAATGAAAAGCCGTGTGGTGGCACCTGGGGTGGCCAATCAGATTCCGAGGGTGGCATGTGCTACCCCAGGCCACTCCCTGGACACGCCCCTGAGGTGTTCTAAGTCTAACCAGTACCTGTGCAATGTGCTACCGGTCACTGGTATAATGGCCTTCTTCTCTTTTAGATTAGAGCTTCTATCATTTATATTTCATTTTCACACTTCTGTTTCTATCTCTCGTGCTTTAGCGTGTCATGTTGTGTTTCAGGTCATCTGTACCACGTTACCATGTCATCTGTACCGCGTTACCATGTCATCTGTACCGCGTTACCATGTCATCTGTACCGCGTTACCATGTCATCTGTACCGCGTTACCATGTCATCTGTACCGCGTTACCATGTCATCTGTACTGCGTTACCATGTCATCTGTACCACGTTACCATGTCATCTGTACCGCGTTACCATGTCATCTGTACCGCGTTACCATGTCATCTGTACCGCGTTACCATGTCAGGAAGACTTGACTTGGCTTCAGGGTTTGTGAGGAACAAACGTTTGATCGTGACACAAACTCATTAATGGGACAGAATGTCCTTCTGTAGTTAGTCTGGGGATTTGGTAGTGAGGATGTCCAAACACTGAGCTGGTGCTGTGCTGTGTGGGGCATAGGTCCTATGGACCAGTTTACCCAGTGAGCAAACTGGTGTGCTCCATGATTAGAGGTCAGGGTTGCAGGTCCTATGGGTGTTTCTCAATGTCCAGGTGCCTGGCCTGGCAGGGCGATGTCTGGCGAGGCCAGGCAGTTGGCCACAGAGCTGCCTGATTTTATTTAAAGAAATGTTTACATCGGCCTTTAAAAATAATTTTGGCCGAGATAAAAAAATGTAAGATCGACCGACTAGATCGGTCGGCCTCGAGTCTTGAGATGATTTTCAAAAATAAAATAAAAATGTCAACTATTTCTGAAGCTCGATTTCTGCCATAAGCTCAACTCAACCAATTATATAAAAGTGGGACAGCAGCAGCTCAGAAGGTGGGGTCCTCTAATAACCAGAAGGTTGCAGGTTCCATCCCAGGTCCAACCAGAGAATTCTGCTGTTGTGTCCTTGGGCAAGACGCTCAACCCGCCTTTGCTTGCTGGTGGTGGTCGGAGGGACCGGTGGCGCCTGTGCTCGGCAGCCTCGCCTCTGTCAGAGCGCCCCAGGGCAGCTGTGGCTACATCGTAGCTCCTCCCTACTAGCGTGTGAATGGCTGATTGTGTTGTGAAGCACCTTGGGGGGTCATTGAACCCTTAAAAGCCACTATACAAGTTTTGTGTTATCACATCTGATATCTGGTGTTGTGTGTCTTGAAAATGGCTATTTTGTGGGTCTGAAGCTGAAAGTTTGCGGACCGCTGCTCTAGGGTTCCTATCAGCATGTTTTTGTTGTTGCTCTGCTCACCACATAGCCGATTCAGTGGTTATGTGAACTGTTCAGCAGCTTATCAGGCTCTGGATGGTGGCCCTGGAGGACCACTAGGGTTTCTGATCCTGCATCCCAGCCAGCACATGCAGGACTTGTACTTTTACAGTAAAATCAGGAATTGTGCCGTGGCTGACCGTTGAATAAGTGGGGCAGGTTGTCTCCAGAAGCCTTTTTTATTTATTTTTCAGGATTAGTTCTTTTAGAGGAATGAATTTCCCACATTCAGAAGACTCAAACCAGCTTCTTTACTGAAGCTGTGTGTTATCTTTCTAACGACTGACGTGATAAAACGTTAAGTAATGCGAAGTCGCATGTGAAGCAGAACAGGAGAGACCTTTGTCTGTACGGGGAGCTTTCCCAGCGCTGCTGTTGAGTTATGACCGATGTGGTCCGTATCATTTCTGGAGGATCCAGGAGGTCAGATGATCCAGCTGGTTGTAAACAAACCACCCAGCTGGAAGTGAAACTGTAAGGAAAACAAGTCTCTGTTATCTTCACCGTGGAAACATCTTCATGTTTCTGTAGATGAGAGTTTGCACCTTCATTTATTCGTTATTCTTTGTTGCTTCTGCATCTTAACTAATAAATGACAGATTTAGTCTCCGACCAAGAAGATCTTAGGAACATGCATAAAGAACCGCGAAGATCTTACGACTGAGGGGAATTCTGCTGTGATGTTTGTTCTAGTCAAATATTGATCTCTTCAGGTGAAAACGGCTGCTAGACACGCTTCTTAAAAGTGACTCACTGATGTTATCATGGACTTCCCTCTGATTGGCTGTGATGTCACATCCCTGTGTCACTTTTATGGCTCCAAAATAAACATTTGGAATCGGTGACGGTACACCAGTTATGATCTAAAAAGAAACTGATGAAGGGTTGGGTCATTAGGTTTTTAAAGGGGGACTAAGAAAGAAAGGCACTTTTGGCTTGTTTTTAGCACCCACTAGTGTTCGTTTAGTAGAACCAAAAACAAAACATAGCTTCTCGCTGTGCGTTCCTCCAACACATTCTCACACCCAAAGCGTCGAATAATAACGCGTGTGACCAAGCGTCAAAATATGACGATCAGGGTGTCCCAGTGCGCCCTCTCCCGACGCGCTGGGACACCCTAATCGTCATATTTTGACGCTTGGTCACACGCGTTATTCGACGCTTTGGGTGTGAGAATGTGTTGGTTCCTCTTTTAACGCCTTAATCTAACAGTTGAAATGTCTCCTAGTTTCCACAGTTTGGAGGTTTTCTGAACCAGAAAGTTTCTCCAATTATACATTCTGTCTAGTTTGGGAATGTCATGGAATCTCCCAGGAGGAGCTGGAGTGGGAGTCTGGGTTTCCCTTCTGGATCAGTTTCCTCCACATCCTAACCCAAGCTCTATGATGATCTTCTTTATTTTTATGTCACTTTAAGGAACTTTTTCAAACAGCTCACAGAAGCAGATAATTCCTGAATCCTAACACTAACGGAAAACACATTGATGGGATTTTATTCCTGTTCAGTAGGGATGTGTATTGGTGAAATTATGGCGATACGTGTCATTAACCAGGGGAGACGATACGATATATCACAATATATTGCGATACATTCAGTCAGACAATATTAGCGATTAGATTTTTTTTTAGACTGAAGTTATTGTAGGAAAATTCAATAAGCAGTCCAAACTGATGCGTAACATGTTTAAAACGAGGCATCTGAACCATAACAGAGGGATTAACATTTCAATGGTGGAAACAAAACCCATTGCACACTCCTGTCAACTAGTGGTTGGCGTTCGAATTGCACGAAAAAAGAAAATGCACAAATGTTTGCATGTAAATTCTTCCAAAAAGTCGATACACGGCTTTTGAATATCAATATAATATTGCAGGAAAAAATACCACAATATATTGCGATATCGATATTTTTGATACACAGCTTTTAAATATCGATATATCGCTGGAAAACATAATTGCGATATATTGCCACAATCAATATTTTCTTACATCCCTAATCAGGGTTTCCCCACCAGGCTAAGCGTCATGCCCCGCCCCCCTCCCCAACCCTACCGTGTCCGCTGACACGAATGGCGCAATGAAACTAGAGCCCTCCATCAGCTGATACTGGTGAGAAACAGCAGTGGAACGTGTGCAGCCCCCCCAACCTCGCTCTCACGGAGGAGCACTCCGTCCCCGACAGAGCAAACGAACCCCCCAGCCACCCCACCCCACCACCCCGACGGCCGAAGCTGCCAGGCCTAACTCATTTTCTGGGGGAAACCCTGCCTAATGGTCAGAGTGTCCGTAGGTATTAAAGATCCACATGGCCACACAAAGGGATGCAAAAGGTGAGATTTGCATAATATGTTTATTTAAAGAACATGAAGTCATTCTGGTTGCTACAATCCTAAAGGATGAAGCACCTCTGGTCCAAGCTGAAGACGGTTTGTTTTTAAAACACACATTCCGCACTTAGAAGTTAAATGTGTTGAGTGATGGGATCCATTAGCATGCATGTGATTGGCTGGGCAGAAGGTCACGACCCTTGCTGAAGGTTTGATCTTCTGGACGAACGACGTCTGTGACATGTACGGGAGAAAATTCCATCATCATTCACACCTGAACTGATGAGAATATGTCACCTGGTAAAAATAATAACCCGTGTGTTCTTCTGTAAGTTTACATTCGACCACAGCCAGGGTTAGTCTAGCTTCCCTCTTCCCTAAAGAACAAACAAACCTAAATTCTCGTGTTTTTCTCTTAAATGTAAATGTTTCAATATAAAACTCTGTCATTGGAGTCCCTTTCACCTCTGGGATAACGTTTATCTGATTTACCTTAAAGGTGCGTAGTGCAACAAAGACATCCTATGGTCAAATTTGAGATGTGATGAGTAGCATTGTTGGCTCAATTTTAGCCCCTAGTCTGCTTCACATGAGGCTTCTTAGAGGAACAAGAAATAACTTCTGGGTCGCTACTGGCTTCTTGCCAGCTCTTTAAACAACTCTGGAGCTTTTTGCCTGCTGGTGTCGGACTGCAGATGGCTGCGATGCCGCGTTAGCTCAGCACCTCTGGTCCCACAGGCTTATAAACCGTAACTTAGTCCCTGTTTACTGTTTTAAAGGAGATAAACTGACAAACCCCCAGTCGACTGAGAATGAAATCCTCTCAATGTAACCTTCCTTCCAACGTGACTTCAGACTGTTTTGTGCTGTTTTCACTGTAGAAGACAGACACATTGCTCCTTTACCAAAAGTCACAGTTTAGCAGTTATTCTGCCTTTTTCTGAATCGGACAAAACTTCCACTGAATCGTCAACGTTCTCGGGAAGTTTTTTGGGGGAAACGATGAACGGTTTGTTTAAAAGTTGCAGGAAAATTTGGTCATGGTTTTCGTAAAGAGCAAGAGCAATTACTGGTACTATTGTGAACCTCCAAGATGGAATTAAAATTATTTCAATTCAAATTCAGTTCAAAGCTTTATTAAGCGCCTTCCCTGTCAGGGAGCCCAAGGCGCAGTACACAGAAAAAAGAAATGTAAATCACAATGAATGAATAGATAATAAAAGCAATTAAAATAGTGCAAAGAGGGTAAAACGTTGAAGTAGAAACAAATGGATAAAACCAGGGAGACAGGGACCAATAAAAACGGAATAACACCAACATAAAAGAGGGCCGACCTCAAACACGTTCAGGGAACAGCAAGCGGAAGAAGCAGGTTTTCAGGCCACGCTTAAAAACAGGCAGAGATAATTGACATCAGTTATAAGTATGTAATGAATGAGTGGCTGTGGGACATCTGAGACATTTATCTCTAACTCTTAACTGAGATACTTTATTACAGACTCGAGGTCTAGTTTACATTAAACGTTTACAGTATAAAAATGATCCACATAAAACACGATATAAACCTATTTGTGTGTTAACAGCCAGCTGCACCAGTGTTTCTGAAGGTTAGACTGGTAGAGAATGGCACAAGTTAATAAATATATATAATTCTCAAAACCGATCGAAGGGAGTTAACTTGTAAATATTTATCTTTTGTGCTCATATCTGCAGGTTATGGTCACCCAACACCTCTGTCTGATGCTGGGAAAGTGTTCGCCATCGTCTACGCCCTGATAGGCGTTCCCTTCACCATGCTGGTGCTCACCGCCTGCGTGCAGAGGATCATGCACCCTCTGGTCCTCGCTCCTGTTGGCGTCCTGCAGCGCTCGGGCTTGAAGCCCCAGTCGGCCACTGCTGTGCACTTCCTGCTGCTGCTGCTTGCCGTGGTGCTCAGCTTCTTCGTGGCGCCGGCGGCCGTGTTCAGCCTGGTGGAGGTGTCATGGACGTTCTTGGATGGCATCTATTTCTGTTTCATCTCTCTGTGCACTATTGGACTGGGGGATTTTGTTCCTGCGAACCAGCCTGGACAGAGGTACCGAGTGCTGTATCAGGTTGCTGTAATGGGTGAGTGTCTTCGTCACATCACCGTGTGATTAATGCACAAGTTTAACGGAGCAGGAGTTTGTAAACCGTCTGGTGTGGGAGACTGGACAGCTCTTTCAATATCACGATAATGTAACACGATTGCGTGCGTAGCTGGAATATTCATCGGAAAATTTAGGGAATGCCGCAGTATAACTCATCCTATTAGAGCGTGATGGTATTCCCAGAGTACTAGTTTATCAGGATTGGTGTTTCTCAACTGTTTTCCATCATTTTGAAAAAACATTTTCATACTTTGATTAATAATGGTGAGAAAGTAGAACTCGTCGGTTTTGTCTCTTGCACACATGCAGCCTGTATGACATCAAAAAGACATAAAATAAGAAGTTATGGGCAAATATTGGTATTTTAAAGACTAAAGGGGAAAAATGTAAACAATTAAACAACATAATTACAAAATAACACATTTTAGGCTAAATTTAGACACAAACTGAGGACAATATTTTCCTGATATACAGGGTTTATTTAATTGTGTGAAAATGTAACACGTTTTAAAAAAAGCTGCGATAATACCGAAAACTGTGATAATTTTGGTCACAATAACCGAGAAGTTAAATTTTCACACCGTGACAACCCTAACACACACACACACACACACATCTGGTGCGTTTGGATTGATACACTTGTGGTGACTTGTCATTGACTTCCATTAATTTTAGTGGCTGGATTTTGCCTAACCCATACCCTAATTATAACCAGTACTGGTCCATTCCTAACCTTAACCCTAACTCAGTTAATTCACACCTCTAAAACCAACCTTTAGGGGGGGTTCCATTGTGGGGACCAGGCAAATGTCCACACAATTTCAAAATGTTCTTATGTTGTAGGTTAAACCTGAAGATTTGTCTCCAGAATGTAATACAAAGTACACACACACACACACACACAAACACACACACACACAGTGGCGGTTCTACATGGAATTACTCCCCGGGCGAGGCCCCTTTTGAGCCCCCCCCCCCACCACCACCTTTCTTTTTTATTTTTTACTCAGCGCTTGTGCACCCCTTTTGTGTCATGAAAAAATGCCGCCCCGGGCAACTGCCCTGTCTGCCCGTGCCTAAAACTGCTACTATACAGCCCGCTGTGTGTGACACACACACACACACACACACACACACACACACACACATACACAGCGGGCTGTATACTCGCTGAGGCATTGCATTTTTTCTGCGCAACAGGGACATTTTCGGATAGAGAGGGCACACGGAATACACAATTACCGGAAAGCGTCCTTTCAAAATAAGACGGGCTGAAATTGGTCTCTGGCGTTAACGACAGTTATCCTTGTTTGAATGCGGTGAAACGACCAGCTGCCCCTCCGTGCTGTGAACCTGTTCCCAGCTTCAGACGACCATGTGAGCAACGTTACTTCAGAAGCTGACAGCCCAGATGAAGCCATCCGAGATCTGTGGCGTCTGCTGCAAGGCAGCGGAGTCCCGGGAACAACAACACCATGGCAACGCTTCTGGCCTCAGAGACAACCACGTTTCTTTTAATTATACGTATTAAAAACACCAGGTTTAGATGAACAAACAACCTATAAAACATCTGCAGGTTCATTTTATGGATTTATTTTTTAATTATTTGATGCAGATTTTTTTCCTTTTTAAGTTGGAGACAAAATTTTAAGTTCCTTTTAGTCCCTTAATGCTGCCAGAAGAACAGAATAATGATGCTGACTGCTGCGGTCAGTGAGAAACTAGCTCTGACTGTAATTACCAGCTGATTTTTACCGTGGTCCGGTGTTTAAACTTTACCTCGTGCATTGGCAAGTCTTCTTGTTTTATCTTTAAAAACAAAAATGGCATACACTAATTTAAATGCTGTGTCACTCCTTTTCTTTTGCAAAGTGGCCAGGAACTTTTAGGATCCGGTTTTTTTGTCATCCTACAGGCAGCAAAAGATTTAAAATTAACCTCCAGTTTCTGCAGGTTTTCTGGAGGATCGAAGATTCTTATTGTTTCTGCCAAAACTATTTATGTGGAATTATTTTTAAAATACATTTTAACAAAAGTTGTTCAGGTGGCTGTACCTGGATCAGGTGATCGTGTGTTCCAGTACTGGACTGGACTGGCGTTTATCAGAATCCTCTGGTATTTTTTCTTCTTTACGTTAAATTTTAACATGATAAAAAAATCTTTATTTTCCTACTGTGGCATCTTATTGACCGTTAAGTTCACGTGTTAGACTGCTGCCTCGAGTCTCTCGGCCCTCACTAATGCTGCTGAAGAGTAAATATTTTTGGAAGGTATTTGGAGTTTGAACAGTCAAAGTCCTCGAATTCATCAGCTGCGCCGACCGGATGGACAGACTAGTACTAGTACAGCATGACCGAATTTAAACTGTTATCTGACTTTTATTCAAATCTTATCATTGTAAACCCTTCTAGGTGCTGAATGAGCGGTTGTGAGGGACACTTGGTGCAGAAATGTGGTGGTTAACAGCTTTTCGTTAAGATGAACAAAAGGATGATGGCAGAAAAACAAAAATATGCAGCTTTAGCTTAAGACCTGGACATTTCTATTGCTTCTTGAAGTTGAACTGTGGAAGGCAGAAAGTGCCACAATACCATAAATGAGCTAATGAATATAATGAATATGTCCTCACATACGGTAATTTGTTTAAGTGTATAATAATGTTTATAACTTATTACATATTATATAGTAGAATTGTCGTTTATTTTCATTATTTCATGGTCTGACTTTATTGAGGGCCAAAGGTGCTGCAGTAGGCTAAATGCATAAAAGAAGTGACCATGGCAGTTTGGAAATCAAATGAGCTTAAAGTGGGCAGATCGTGGAAAATTCACTTTTGGAGCTTTTTACCATGTGATGTTATTTCCTCGTGAAAAATTCCCCCAAACCCATTTTTGCACTCGTGCACTTTCTGTTTATTTGTTTATTTTCGGAAAGGCTGCAGACACAAGAATGGAAACGTTAGGTTATGCATATTGTTCCCTGAAGAAGAGGAACGACGTTCAACGAAGGTATTATGGGACATCACTCTCTCGTGTGGCCTGGCTGAAGATGCATTTAGTCACGCCTGTAAAGGCAAATGAGCGTGACGCTGGGTGGTGGCCCCACCCTCCACCTACAAGCCCCCAGCATCACCGAGCTAGGCTGCGAAGGGGGCAGCCCTGCGTTGTACCTCGTTCCTCTCCTTCAGGGAACAGTGGTTATAACCTAACGTTCCCTTTCAGTCGATTCACTCGGTACAACGAAGGTACCAGGGTTTTTCCTGGCTCAAACTGAGGCAGAGGTGGTACCATCCTGACCGTGCGCCAGCACATGCGTACTCTGTGCATTCAACTGCCTCACTTTCATAAAGGCTAAATATTATAAAAGTCTCAATAATATACATTAGATTGGTGTTTAGTTCCTTTTTCCATCTGATCTTTATAGTTAAAATATGTTTAAATACTTGACCTAATTTCAGTAACATTTTAGGTTTGTATAAATAACTCATCTTAGTCTAAATAACACAAATATATCCAGTAAATTATAATGCATTTTTTAACATGCATTTGTGTTGGAAATGTTAATAACATGTAACTTCTGCTGCTAACAATGTAATGGTGGCATGTCTGTTATGTACGGGTTAGGGTTGGGGGGGGTGTTCTGTTTTGCCCTGGCCCCCAGAATGTCTTGAAACGGCCCTGGGTGAGTGACTGAGTATTGAAGGTGATCTGAATCAGATGTATAAATTTTACGTGTGTATAACTTATTGTTTTATAAAACGTGTAGTGGAGATGAATCTGCCTACATTTGACTTTCAAGCTTTGTTTTCTTGTTTTTATTGAACTATTTCCTGTCCTGTCTGTCTCTCATCTTCCTGCATCTCCTCTAAACTCTCCAGAAAATCTGCTGCCTGGATTCTTACTTTTTCACCTCATCAGTAACTTCTGAGCAGATCAAAGATCTCCTGACGGCAAAGCGGAGAGCGCGTTTCGATGCTGCGTCGGTGAGGTGAAATCACCGCAGCACACGATGAGCGGAGCGCGTCAGGAACGATTTAAAGACAGAGCACCAGAGGATATAAACAGATGTGAACGATCATGTGTTAACAATAATGTTTTGTTGCGCCACCTTGAGAGTGTATCGTGTTCCGGACGCAGCGGGCGCACCAACGATCAGCGCTGTGCGTCCTCTCCGCTCAGCAGAATCCCGCTACGCTGAGAGTCCATAAATATTGTAATATAGGCAGAAACTGGATCTTTCCCTGGAAGATATCCAGCCTCCATAACTCGATCCCTGCTCCGGGATGAAAAACCGCACATTTTGATCAAGGTAGGACCCCCCCACCCCCCGGACGCCCCGGACAGAGAGTGAAAAGTGGACATGTCCGGGGAAAAGGGGATGTATGGTCAGCCTACAGTAGCACCAACCATAGATATGTACCAACTAGCGAGAAAAGCTTCTTTTTTTTTTTTTCCTGCAGCGGTTTTAGCGTCTGTGGGTACCACCACACGCTTGGACACCATCTCAATTGGAGAACTCTGCTGGGAAGTGTTGCACCCCACCTATAACCAACCGAGAGGCACCATGGCTATGGTGAAAGCTATTATGCCCAACGGCTCTAAAGCTGTGAGGAGTGTTAGATTGGCTTCCAGCTGGAAGTGGGTCATGTTGCTGATAAATGCGGCTATCCCGTGATCCGAGAAGCATGCTCTAGCCGACTGAGAGCATGTTACTAGTCCGAGGAAGGAAACCCTCTGGCTCGGATCTAGCGAGCTCTTCTTGTAATTTACGGAGAAAGCCCAGGGCTCACGCATGAGAGAGAACTTTGGAAACGTGAGCCTCTGCATGCACCTGAGAACTTGCTACCAGAGCCCAGTCATCCAAGTAGGTTAGAATGCAGATACCCCTCTCTGAGAGGTGTTAACACAACTTCCACACACTTGGAAAAGGTGCGGGGAGCTAGGGCTAATCCGAGTGGGAGAACCAATCACTCATCGGCTTTCCCTTCAAACAGGAAGAACAGGAGCTGCCTGTGATTGGTATGAACCCCCACATTAAAATACGCATCCATGAGATTGATCGCAACAAACCAATCTCCGGCGCTGATTACATTTGGCAACTGCTTGAGCCTTAACCTTTTTGAGGAAAAAAACCCTCTACCTGCACAAGTATTTGTTTAGTGTACACAGATCCCGTCTCTTGGGACTAGGGGTTTGATCAGCAACCGAACATGACCGATTCACCCGATGAAAACTGCGACTTGGAAGTCCGGCAGAGTCAAAGTCCTGAACAAACTCAGTCCTGAGATCAGGACGACGGAGTCTTGTATTTACGCATCATAGAGCGTTTCAGTGGGCCTGCAGGAGGGTCCTTACCAGACAGACTAGCTGGGAGGTGATCGACCAGCCACAGGGCTCACCACTGCCGCTGGCAGCACCGCCGTCTGAGACGGGATGCGAAATGATGACCCGTTTAACCGCAGCGAGTATCTAGGTCTCTCATCTCGTTGAGGGGTGGGAGTGAGCGGTCGGGTGGAACCAGAGCTCCAAGGTCTGCCAAGCACATTACTAAGCAGGTCTGCAGCGTGGTGGCAGAGCGGAGGGGACCTGGGCACTGTGAAACCTCTCCTGCTGTGCGATGGAAAACCTGCACTACGCAGAGGGAAGTGGCAGGTCCACGCACCCTATTGTTGCCGTTCGAGGGCAAATAAGCTACCAGTAAGGGCCCCAAAGGGGAGAAGGTCCACAAACCCCAACCTCGGCACCGAGTGCCACGAGCTGTCCACAGGCCTACACCGCGTTGCAGGTGCACAGTGGCTTCCCCCAGGATTTAAAGTACTATAGATCTTAAAACATTCTAATAAACGGCGTACTTACACATTTTTAATTAATTAGTCTCACAAAACATGACGACAAGTCTGATCACGTATCAGCAAAAGTGTCACTGCTCGCCTTCTGTTGAGTCCCGCGTGATGTTGTGACTATCGTGCGACTTTCCAAGAAGCACTCAGCAACGCGTTCCCTGTGACCATTTGACTTCTCAGAATCTCGGGCGCGGTGCGGCCGCCTTCGATGCGCCCAGGCTTAAGATGCTTTCAGACCAAGATTTAATCAAGTTTACACAAACGTGTCAAATGTACCGAACCAGGAAGACTGCATTTGTAAAGACCCAGTTATAAAGTTTATTAGCAGAGTTATTTTGGGGTTTAGTTGCTCTTTAAATGATTACAGATAAATGGATATATTTATTGTATTGTACCATCTTTGTGCCTCTAATTAAACATTCATAACTTGACCTCTATAGTTGAGTTTACCCTCTGGAGGCAGGCGTTGCAGATGTGCAACGGTAAAACCTACCTGGTTACTCCACACGCGTGTTCCACGAGCGTTTTTAACTCTAAAGTTCCCTGAAGGACTCGGTTGTTCGTCCTTTTATCAGAGCTCATCTTGAGCCTGAGAGGGTTAAAGGAAACCTTTTCATTCATGGGAAACTTGATCTGTGTCTCTGCTCTCACTCTAGTCTACCTGTTCACCGGTCTGATGATGATGTACCTCCTGCTGCGCTCCTTCCACAAAATGGCTGACCTGCACGGCCTGACCACCTTCCTGCAACTGCCGCGCTGTGAGGATTCTGTGATGGAGGAGGACCGGGAGACCATCATGGATTCTAACCAAGCATCTCCTCATCTGAAGGATAAAGATGCTAGCAGACCTCTGGATGTGAGATCCCATCCGACGTACAACTCCATCAACAAGGGCTGAAAGGAGGAGGAGCGAATGCTCTGCCTCTGGCGGTCCTTCTGATCCGAACAGCGCAGCTGACGGGTTTACTTATATCAAACGGATTCAGACGAGTTCAGCCTTTAGAAGGGGGTGTGAGACGTTAACAGATGTGTTCTGATCATACAGAACTGTTTCTACTTGACTGCAGAAACACACGGATGTTTTTACCTCCAACATGCTGCGGTCGCCTGTTTACAGTCTAAGAACCGTACCGGAGGAGTTTGGGCCAACAACATTTCAATCGTTTATTTTTCTTCACTTTGGTCTTGTTAGTTTTCATATTTTCTGTTTTGTGTCATAAGTTTGAAGTTTGAATTCTAGACCAAACAGTTTTTAATGAAAATGGTTTTATGGGTCCGTTGTTTAGCTCCACCCAGCTCGTTAAGGCACGTTCGTCACCTGCTTGGGCTTCGCTTCCAGACTTATTTACTCAAAGTGTGATCACTGCTCAAAGTTACAGTCTGAGTGAGTATTTTAAGCGTTTAAGGGTTTAATTAGGTCAGATTTTCTGTTTACAGGGGACTTAGTGCTGCCCTCTGGTGTCCCTTGTGTGTGTTACAGCCTGTTAATGAGCTTCAAAACTGCATAAATGTCATAAAAATGTTCAGACAAATGGTGGGTTAAAAGCATGAATGAGGGAGAATTTAATTTTACTGAGACCAAACATCCTCCTGCCTTTTCTGTTTTTGTCATTTAAATTAAAAATGTGTAAAGTTGCAGTCCAAAGTTTTGATGCAAATCTCAATTCATAAATTATATTAAATTGTCCTTGTAAAGTATTTTGTAACTGATAATGTATGCACTGCTCATCTTATTAAATAAAAGTTCATGTATGAAAATCTTTAGTTTTTATTTGTCCTTTAAAATGAGAGAATGGGGAAAACTTTTGGGAAGGTTTTTAAAAATGCTAAAGTAACACCGACGCTCTGTGTTTATGGAAGCTGTGTCCCATCATACAGCTGATCAGTGACGGTTTCATTTACAGTCAGCCAAAACAAATAGGACTGCAATTCCCTTTACAATGGGAGGTTCAGTCTAACATATTGGAGTAAACATGCTGAGATTTAGCTCATTTATATTCCATAAATTTCTCCCCTTGGTGAAAAATGTTAAGGATATAGTGATGGGATGCAGGAACCCACCTGGTGGGTGATCTCAAGCTACTCAGATGAATATCCTTCCAAGGTTCCTCTGCTTATTTCAGCCGCTGCCAATAGAAATACCCAGCAAACGGTTTCAGGAATGGGGCAAGATCCTTTTAAAACACTTTTGGCAGGGCAGACCTTGGATTAAGTACAGTAGCTTGCAATTGCCCGGGTCTACAGGGAGGATTATCATACTGCAGGACAAATAAGGCCACTGGTTTGATAACGTAATCCAGAATACACTGCAAGGTGGAAGGTAATGGGAAGCCTAAGCCATGCCCATCTACTTCTGGACCACGTGTCTCCAGCTGCCAACGAATGAATGAATGAGTCGAGAATAAAAGTCACTTTCTGATCCGTTTGTTGGCTGCCGTAGTTTTTCCCACGTCTCTGAATTTTAGTCATTCTGATGCTAAGATGGTGCTTATTTATGGAAGGCCCAGCAGTTGTCGCTTTTTCTCCTCACTTCTTGGTTTATTTACTTGTTAAATGTTTACTTTGTATTTACATACACCTTTCTAAAAGAAACCAGTTATGATCAGAAATAGAAACTTTAAATGGGTTTCCTGTGTGATCTCGTTTAAGCTCCACATCTAATCTGCAGCTAAACCGTGGAGGATGAGGCTTAGATCAGTGAAATAAACAACAATGTCCCATTCATTTGTTTATTAAAACCGCTCTTTACAAAAATAAATGCACAGTAGAGCATCCTGCTCTCCGTTTCTAACATCACAATCAAATATTTGCAGAGAAAATAAGTAAAAATAAAATGTCTATTTTAGTGCTTGTTTATAGCCAGTCTGAGGCTGCAGAAGGACAACAAACAACAATCTGCACAAAATAGCAAGTCCACGTTTTCCTTCTATGTTTGAGCAACGATGGGTTAAATAATCAGTTAAAAACATGAAAGTTTGGAACAAACAAACCATTTTGTGTTCTTAAACCCTTCTCTCTCTCTCTCTCTTGAACGTCTTCCTGTGACTTTCCAAAAGTGCAACAGTTGAAAAGTAAACCAGAAATAAAACATTTTTATTTGAAACCACTTAAGAATGAATCGTTTCAGGGCAAAAGCACCATTTAGGGTTTTTATCAGCCACGTGGCTCAAATGTTCCTGGGTAACAACGGGTCAGGAACACTAGAACCTGTGGAACGGCGGCAGCAGTACAAGAGCAGTGCTGCAGCGGCTCAGCTCTGCAGAACCACCTCACGCCGACATCTTCAGCCTGGAGGTGGTTCGGCGTCAAAACACGTCCAACATTGTTTGTACTCAAAGCAAAATACTGGGAAGCACGTTTCCTTCAAGCTAAAACTGATATCAAAACATGTCCAAGAAGCTAATATTAAAAACCTTAATATGACATTTAAAATGTTCTGCTGGAGTTCAGCAGATTCAGATCCAAGCTGTGTTTAGTGTTTCAGCCGCTTTCTTCCATCACCAGACTAAAACACCTGCATCTGGCGCCACCTGCTGCTGCAGCGCTGGTACTGCTGAATGAATCCGCCCCGTTCCCATCAGCCCAGTCACACTTTCATCTCTAACCCGTTGGTCATCAGTTCATGATTCACCGCTTTGCAATGATAAAACCGTTTCACCGTCTTCTTGCTCTCTCACCAGATACTTCGTCTTATTCAACATTTTACATCGCATGGACCGCCCTTCTACTTTCTAGATGCCACATTTATTCAGTAACGTTTAGAATAACGCTGACGGACGGCCAGGCTCAGTCATGGCTAAAGAATCAAGATTCCACCAAGATCTCCATCAGTTGCTCCAATTCAAATCCTTCCCTCATCTGATTCTGAGCACCGGAGAAGGAAGTAGATGCTGCTGAGGAAGACGGAGATGAGGAAGACGAAGGACTGAAGGAGGAGAACGAAGGCAGACACTTCAGATTTGAGTTGAGCGAAAAGGAGAAGGGGTGTGAGGAGGGAGGGGTGAGAGGGGGCAGGTAACGAATGACATCATTTCCAGCTGAGCATCCACCTGCACCGCTCCGAAGCCCAAGCACCCCCATGTCCTTCTCCAGTTGGGATGAGTCTATATCCTGAAACAGATCCTCCATTGTGACATCATCCATGTAGCTGGTCCTCCCCGCCTCCATGGCAACCTCCTGCTCCCACCTGATGCTATGATCTCTGCTTCCCTGTTTGACCAGACCTACGCCTCCTTCAGAAGGCCCTGAAAGGTTCTCCAACGACCTGAGAGGCGTCCGTGGAGCTGCCTGGGGGCTGCCATCGACAGTGGAGTCCAGAGCGGTCAGAATGGAGGAAATAGCAGCAGAAAGGGAAAAGTCTGAATCTGTGGCCATCAGCCCCCAGTCCTCATCTTCAGTCATGGGGACACTTGGTTCACCTGAACAGCAGCTTCTGTTTGCAGCATTGTTCTGGGGTGAAAGTGTAGAGCTGCAAGAAGGTTCTGACGCCTGCTGGTCCAGAGGGGGCGATCTGCAAGCTTCCAGGCTGATCTGTCGCAGAGTGTTGGCTATCAGAACAGACCGTCGCAGGCTGGGTTCTGGAAGCTCCTGGCTACGCTGGTACTTGTTCAGGGAAACGGAGAAGACAAACTGTCGCTGGCTCTCCCAGAGAGGGCTGCTCTGGTCAGGAACCTCCACATCCTCTGAGGGGAGTTTCCGTTTCTGCCCCTTCAGGATCATCCTTCATCTGTGGAGGGAAGAAATGTGAAATGCTGATATTAGTCAAAATCAAGACATGTTGTCATCCATGTCAAAGTTAAACGAAACTAAGATCGGCTCAGAAATGGTAGAAGCACACCGAGTCGGAGCTTTGAATCCCGTCCAGCTACCACCACGCTGAAGACCAACAGCTGTGGTGACCACTCAAGGTACTAGAGCACCAACGACGCATGTCCATGAGTTTTATTAAAGTTTGTCCTGTAGCTCATGAAGACTCGATAAAGACAACGTTGCTCTGGGAATCGAGTTTGGAAACTTGGAGTTAAGGATATTCACAAACTCATTTACCATTTAAAAAGTGGTTTCTGAATAATAACGGAGCTGGATCTGATTTATAATCTAATGAATAACTACAAACTCAGTTTTGCTCAACATTCAATTCAATTCTGTTTTTATGTAGCGCCAAATCACAACCAGCGTCGCCTCAAGGCACAAAGTAAACGTCCCAAAACAGTTCAGTTCATTACCAACCCAGCCCAGACTTCTTGTGTCAGAGTCTTTACAGCAGTCCTCAATTAAATGTGGTTTCATACCAATTTGTTCAAAATTTTAACAAATATAAAAGCTGACATGTTTTGTTTTAACCTCTAATTAAATGTGGTGCTTTTAGTTGTAAAACCAAGCTCAGAACTCCCAAACAGCTGATCTTCTAATCAGAGTATAAATGATAAGTGTCTATGCTGGTGAAGGGTCTCAGTCATCCAGGTCACGGTGGTCCAAAAGGGTTTAAATGAAGGCAACTGGACGTTTCGCTCGACATCCGACGAGCTTTGTCGGTTCTGACCGATTTAAAGCTGCATTATAGGAAGGGGAAAGGTGAAATTTAAGCCCCTCCCCGTTTGAATCTCATTCCTATCTCAACACAACGACTGGCCCCTCAGTAGAGGACAACAACCCATCAGGGGATGGGGAGGAGGGGCACTCAAGAGCAGTTTCTGCTCGTTAAACAACAACAGACGCTACAGCTTATAACCCCAACTCTCCCGTATTCCAGTCAGAGCTGACAAAGCTCCTCGGGTGAGAAGCGAAACGTCTTCAAGAAACCAAAGAAGTCCAGTTGCCTTCATTTGAATTAAGTGTTTAGTTAAACATCTTTACTGGACTTTGCTGTTTTTATTGGGTTCTCGGTTCTGGAACAGAGAGTTCGGTGTTAAGCCGACTAGTTTGGGTGAAACCAGCGGAGGTTCGGTTCATCCGAATCTGATTTTAAATGTGAGGTGGGTGTTGTGACGTCAGTTTCATGGTGTAGGAGGGAAAAGCCCCGCTAAAGGCCGTGGAGTAAACGGTAGAAAGACGGTTAACGGGTACATTAAGTACTTTGGTGATCGTGACAGAATTACACCCAAAGCTACATGAAGATATTTACACGTTATTTGACATTAGTCGCGTAAACCGACCTGTTGGGTCGCTCCCGATCTCCCGAGTTTCGTCTCTTGTCCGTAGCTCGGAGCCTTTAGTCGCTTTTCTTCCGCAGCAAACAAACCGAATTATTTCAGACGTTTTCACGGAAGTAACCCAGCGATCGAACGGCGTTTCGGGGGTAGGAAACCGTCAAAAGATGCTCGTTTTAAACTCTGTGTCGTGTTGCGCAGCTGGCTCCCGCCTGTGATTTAAGTTTCACGCCACAGGGTTTCAGTTGGGGGCTGGAAGTAGAAAGGAATTATGGGTAATGGAGTCTAACTACGCAACATTCCATCAGAGGCATCAAAAGCTCACTGAACGTTTACAAACAACACATTTACATCATCTCTGATGGAGCTATAATGTATACAAATATTAAATAATCAATGCTTTAGTTTACTCCTGTTGTTTAGCAGTAGCATAGCGCTAATTCCTAAAGAATTACGTCACTTCTAAAAAAGGCATTTCCGGCCGAATACTGCTTTCTGCTAGAGAGGTGTGCGTTTAAAACAGCGAAACCAACCCGTGAGCGTGTTTAAATCCGAGGCTGGAATCAGGACTAAATGCGGACTAAACCTCGTAGATTTAACCAGTTTAAACCGGTTCAAACACGTGGAAATATTAAGCAAACATTTAAAGACGGGTTCAAAGGGAAAATGCGCACATCTGGGTCCACAGACACGATCATTTCAGTTTAGACCAGTCATCTAAACTAGAACATAACAGGTAGAGAAGGTGGATCTTACCTGAAATATGTTTGTCTGCGAGACCAGCTTCAACGTTCGCGACAGAACATGTTAGAGTTTTTAGTTTCCATCAGAGTTCTAAACTCGTCTTTGAGTCCTTGAACTACCAGAAAGTCAGAAACAGCCTCAGCTCCTCCTCCGTCCGCCACACACGCACACACACACACACGCACGCACGCACGCACACGCACTTGAGGTAAAGGACAGAAAAAGGGAATTTTACTTCTTAATTATTTCTACCCAAACTGGTCCAAATCCATGATCATCTTTAAAAATAATCAACACGTCTTTGTTTTCAGTAAGTTGTGTATTTAAATGTAAACCATGCCCACCTAGAGACGGTTCTGGGGATTTTAAACGGAACTTTGAGATGCAACATCACTTTTTAGTTTTATTTTGAAGGCAGAAATGAAAACCTTTTCCTGTTCTCATTTTGGGAGTTTTACGAAACAGCTGAGGACCAAAGTGCTGCAGTACACTAAAGTAAGTACTCGTTTATGTATCTCGTTCCTAAAAAGGGAAAGTCGCATTAAATAAACGTTCAAATGTACAATTTTTCTAATATTTAGAAGAAAAATGAATAAATGTCCAATCAAATGTAAAGTTCTTTTATTTAAACAAACATAAAAGCAACATCGTGAAACAATCATGTATAATTTTAACTAACATCTTTATACTCACGACACATTTAATACATTATATATTTATCCAGTTATTTTTTATTTTTATCACAAACAAACAAACAGAATGTGTGAACGTTTTACATCATATTTTGGCTGGAAACACCGCATCTGCTTCAGTGCAATGAAATGGTTGGGGAAGGTTTTGTAAATTTATTTTCAATTCTTCTTGTTTTATTTTAAAGTAAAACTGAAAGATAAGATTTTATACAATCATCATAAAATTGTGTCCAAATGTGTACCTTAGTTTTTCGTTACTGCTGTTTAAAGGTAGTGTTACAATAGTAGAAAAACTAAACTCATTCTTATTTTTCCTATAGACTTCATTTCTAAAATCACTGGTGGCAGCGTTGCAGCTCATCCCCACGACACAGCATACAATCTATTTTTATTTTCAACAACCAGAAAAGCTGGATAAGATCAAAAGTAAGGACACACACACACACACACACACACACACACTTAATTTGTCTCTGAATATTCTTTTTCGTTTTGTGTTAACTGGAAATTTAAAACAGCCACTCAGCTGCAGGAAGATAAAAGGCCCAACGTCTGCAGTGTTTTAGTTTCAGACTATTTGTACTGTCCCCACACCCCCACAGTCTTCCCATCCCACTCGGAGGTGGACAGACACTTGACAAAGAAATGTCCCAGATCATGTTTGGAGATGGCTCGTCCTCTCAGCATATTCTCACTCACGGAGTAACTCTCGGTCAGAGGAAGGTCATCTGCACAGAGACAAGGAAAACAGGCAGGTTCTTAGAAAATACATGTTTAATCATTAAATGTTGATTTGCCCGTTACCGACCACCAATGTGAGGAGGCATAACAGCCACATAGTCCAGTCCTGATGTTTTCAGCACGGTGTACATCCTGTCATGATCTTCGGTTACAGCAAGCAGGCGGGGTGGGACTTTAGAGCGATCCCAAAGAAGGAAAGCTGAGAGGGTTGGAAATTAGAAGGAAGACGTTTAACTCATTGACCAGATGAAGCAGATCACCTGCTATATAAATCTAACATCACTCTTTATTTATTCTATATCATGGCTAAAAGCAGGGAATGTTCCCGTGGAATCTGCATACATCAGCATTCCGAGGAAAAACCGTTATCCACTCTGTACCTGACATGCATCCGATGACTTTGGTAATTCCTCGTGCTTTCATGGCTTCCACGATGTTCTTGGTGCCTTCAGACATCATGGTGGTTGGGCCTGAGAAACACAAATAAGATCTGCTCCTTACTCGAGCTACAACAAAAACGTACAATCCCAAATTTCACTGGTAACTTAAAAAACGTCAAGAAAAAGATAAACAGATGAAAACACAAACACTCTGTTGCATTGTGGTACTAATATAAATTTTAAGTTCCATCCATTTTCAGCCGCTTATCTGGAGTCGGGTCGGTGGGGGGGGGGGGGGGGGGGGGGGGGCTGCAGTAGCATAAGCAGAGAGGCTCAGACTTCCCTCTCCCCAGCCACTTGGGCCAGCTCTTCCAGGGGAATCCCAAAGTGTTCCCAGACGAGAGACATAGTCCCTCCAGCGTGTCCTGGGTCTTCCTTTAGGTCTCCTCCCAGTTGGACATGCCCAGAAAACCTCATCCAGGAGGCATCCTGACCAGATGCCCGAGCCATCTTAACTGACTGATGTGGAGGGGCAGCAGGTCTACTCTGAGCCCCTCCTGGATGACCGAGCTCGTGACCATAGGTGAGGGTAGGGACGGAGATCGACCTGCCAGGGCGTAAACAAAGGGTCTGGGTGGGGCCCCACACCTCTTCCGTTATTAGCATTAGCACTGGCACCCCTCAAGGCGGCGTGTTGAGCCCCCTGCTCTTCACACCCACGACTGTCCCTACTCACTACAAGAATAACTGTCAAGTTTGCAGATGACATTGTAGTGGTTGGGCTCATCTCCGGGGGGACGTGGCTCCATACAGAGCAGGAGTGGAACAGTTGACCACATGGTGCTCAGAGTATAATCTGCTCCTGAACACTGACAAAACCAAAGGAGATGATGGTGGATTTCAGGAAGAAGACAACAGACCTTCAGCCACTCTTTATTCAAGGGGTCTGTGCGGAGTGCATGTCTGACTTCAGATACCTAGGAGTTCGCATAACAGAGCAGCTGACTTGGGACGTCAGCACAACCGAGTTGGTAAAAAAGGCCCAGCAGAGGCTCCATTTTCTTAAGAGTTCTCAGGAAAAACTACGTTCCCCAAAATCTGATGGTGTCCCATCAGTGCTCTATTGACAGCATCCTGTGTTACTGCTTGGGTGTGGTTCTCCTGCTAAACTATAGCCCACAGGAAGAGGCTACAAGGGGTCATCAATACTGCACAAAAGATCACCGGTTGTCCCTCGCCCTCCCTAGTTGACCTGCACACAATTTGTTGCCGCAGTGAAAATCTTGATAAACACCTACCACCGTGCTCAAAAGCTTTCCCAACTGCTTTCTTCTGGAAAAAGATACCGGGGCATCACGGCCAGAACCAACCGGTTCAGCTGTGAGTACCGAATGGTCGCTGAACGGCTTTAGCAGGTCTAACCTGGTTGTAGTTTTTATTTCCCTGGTTTTATTGGTTTTACGGTTTTATACGTTTTAAGATCAAACGTCTTGGTTTTATTTATTTATACCTGGGATTTTATGTTTATTCATGCTTATGCACCTAATTTCGTTGTACTGGTTGCAATGACACAATAAAGCTAATCTATTTTTAAATTGACCGGTCATGGACACAGGTAAGGGGGTTCTCGAGGAAAAAACGGTTGGGAACCACTGTTCCATCGAGCATCTTGACTGTTCTTCCTCTGGTTTCACAATCAGAATGTGAGAATGAACAAAATCAGTTAATTCTTTAAACCAGGTGTATTCGATCCTGGGCCTGGGGGGCCAGTGTCCAGCACGTTTTGGGGGTGAAACAACCATTGAAGCAAGAGTGTTAGAGCAGAGAAACCATTAAAACGTGCTGGATACCGACCCTTCTGGACCGGAATTGAATAGCTCAGTGCTTCCCAACCCTGGTCCTCAAGGCCCGCTGTCCAGCATGTTTTCCATGTTGCCATTTTAAACACCAGGGTTTCCCTGCTGCCACACACCTGACTTAAATAAATGAGTGATTAGCAGGCATCTGCAGCACATGATGTCCTCCTGAGGAGGCAATGTCAATCAGGTGTGCTGAAGCAGACACATGGAAAACATGCAGGTCAGTGTGCCCTGAGGACCTGGGTTGCGAAAGATTGGACTAGCCCCCTTCACAAGAAGTCACACCTAGTAAATGTTATCTGGCGCTCTCTGGTGAATGCTCAACAGTATTACACCATTAAAATGACCTTTTAAACTCCTGTGTCGAGTGATAAAGTTCAGTGAATGAAAAACAAGCAGTCTGTGTGGAAAAGAGAATGCAAAAAGTAGAAAGATAAAGATTTTTTTGCCTCTTCGTGCTACTTCTTTTAATCCTTCACAATAAGAGTCACACACACACACACACACACACACACACACACACACACACACACACACACACACACACACACACACACACACACACACACACACACACTTACTCAGGTCATTTCTGGTGCCTAGGATGATGATGACAGCATCTTGACCCTCCAGAGTTTCCCTCACATGGTCTTTATTCAGCACGTCTCCCACCACCACTCTGGCAGCTTTGTGGTCGGCAGGGAGCTTCGCCGGGTCCCGGACCAGCACCGTCACGTTGTACCCTGATGACAGACACAACACCGTTACAGTTAGAACACCTCTTCAACCTGGAGCCACACAAACTCCTGTTTCACCGCTGACACAGATGCCTCCCTTCATGTGCAGAAGAGATAACAGCTCTACTATCAGCGCTCAGACGTGACTCAGCAGAATCCTGACAGTAACTGCTAACGTGACTCAGCAGATTTACTTCTCTTGAGCAACAGGAAGGAAAATGATGCTGAATCATATTAATCACATGACAGAACGGCCCATCAACACCAAAACTACATCATAGCAAAGTGTTAAAAGTTTTATTACCTTTTATTTACCCGTTGTTACCTATTTTCATTTAAAATGTATGTAAACATAAAAAGCAAGAGCATAAAATATGTTCTAATTGTTTATTTAAATTATCAAACAAGGTTTTAAGATGCTGTAAAATATTTAAAATGCACAAAATGGAACGTGACCAAACAAAGTCAGATTACATCAAAGCAAAAGGAACATTTGAATAAAATCGTGTTAATGGATCAAATGTGCCACTTGGATCAGCTCCTGTAATAATACTAATAATGACGATGATGATAAAAAACGACGTCAAACTTTCTTTTATTTTGACTCATCCTGAATCACGTGACTGCCTGCCTCCGCACCGTAACCCCCCGGTAAAGATCCTGCGGTACTACTACTGCTCCGTTTCCGGTTCTCACCTGCAGACACCGCCACCGGGAGGGTAGCCAGTCCGGTCATTCCCGTGGCTCCAAAAATCGCGACGTTTTTGATGGACTCCGACATGATGTGAGAGAAATCCCCGCAACAGGGACAGCTGGAGCAGCAGAGACGCGGGTCACAAATGCGCCTTTTGACAGCCTCACGACGCACTTCCGCAGCGCAAACTCCTCCTAGAGCGCGTTTATCCAATCCAATCCAGTTTATTTCTAAAGCACTTTAAAAGACCCAGCACAGGAACAAAGTGCTGTACAGAAAGTACATTAAAACAATTGACTAGACAGAAAACAGCAAAGATAAATAAAACACATGATACATAAAATTAAACTAGCCCTATTAAAAAATAAAAACTTGATAAAACTTGATAAAACCGCATTTGAATCACCTAAAACAGCTAAAATAAAACAAAAAATAGAAACCAACATCTCACAAGGTATTAAAAGCCAGGGTAAAGAGGTGGGTTTTCAGGAGTGCCTTAAAAACAGATAAGGAACTGGCCTGTCTTAAAGGAAGTTCGTTCCACAGTTTTGGAGCTGCGACAGCAAAAGTTTAAAGAGACCCCGCAGTGCTAATCTGTCATGACCAACCTGGGTTGGTCCGGACTCTGTGGTCGTGACCCTGCTGGAGTTAGAAACGGGAATTGATGAGGGACAGGAGGGACAGGAGTGTTTCTTTGGTCCTTTACTCAGCAGACTTCACCCTGGTTCAGGTTCCACAGCCGGCTGCTCCACCAGAACATGACCCACCACTAAAACCAACTACTGAACACAACTCCCACCCTTCATTTAACACGCAAACCGTGTTCCTTGTGTACCTGATCCCCCTTCTACAGCAGTGATCCCAGCTTCCTTTCCGAGGGCTGGAATCCAGCATGTTTTAGTTGTTTCCCTAATCCAACACACTTGATTCACCTGTTCAGCAGCTGACCAGGCTCGGCAGAAGTCGGTCATCACCTGCTGATGAAAAGCACATGTGTTGAAGAAGCAAAAACAGTAAAACATGGTGGACAACGGGCCTCGGGGAAGGGAGCTGGGCAGGGGCGGATTTAGCAATTTGGGGGCCCAAGGCGAACACAGACATGGGGCCCCTTACACTAAATTTTTGACAATCTTACCTTTAACTGGATTTGTGAAACTCTCCCCTCTTCTGACACAAGTTATTTTCCCTTTTCATTAGTCCTCCTCTGTTTTCCTCTATTTCCCTCCCTTTGAGCGCTTTCAATAATTGCTTTGCTTTCCTCTTCCTGTAAGTGCTCCTGTGCTTTTGCCTTTGTTTATTTTATTTTCTATTTTCCATTTTGGTCTATGTTTTCCTCCCTTTAAACATTTCCATTGTCTTTCCTTTTTGCTTACTTTGATGTTTACATCGAAAAACAACGTCCCTTTTGGAAGTGAAAATGAAAGCTTTTATGAAGCGATCTGCTTCTTTCTCTCATTGGAGCCACGAGGATAACTCCGTCGCTTTGAGTTTGTTACGAACGCTCCCACCTCTCTTCTTATTCTTATTTGTGGTCGTATGGCACTTGGCAAAAAACAACTTGGTGCATTACCACCACCAACTGGATTGGAGTGGAATGACTACCAATCACTTCCTGTTTGTGCTTAATAACCCTCTTATGACCATAATTATAAACGGGCCGCCTGGTATTTTTTTAATCTTATGGCTGTAAAATTGTAATAAAAAGTGCAAAGTGTGTGTAACTCTTCTCCTTTTTTCAGAACAACCTCAGCTTTCAGTGTCTGTCTAATGAGCTTTGAAAGAAAAGCGTCTGGACTTCTTTGAGTTGCTTGAAGACATTTCACCTCTCATCCGAGAGGCTTCTTCAGTTCTAAGGTCAAATGGTGGAGAGTCCCAGATTTAAACCCAGTGGGAGTTTCCCCCCGAAGAGGGAACAAAAGACCCCCTGATGATCTTCTACATAAACACATGAGCCAAGGTGTGAGGGTGGGTGTGGGTCCTATTCAGCCAGAGTGTCGGGTGAGCTCATTGTGAAGCCTGGCCCCACCCTATCATGTGAATTCCTGAGGTCAGGTGACCCAGGATATGCGTGGGCATTGAGGCATCTGGGAAGGGATCTCAAAACTGGATTATAGATGGCAGACAGTTGGTTTCGTAAACCACCGCCTCTGTTCAAAGATGGTTGCTCACAGTGGACATAAATGGCTTCCTTTACTCGTCTTTCAAACCATCTGTCCTCTCTGTCCAAAATGTGAACGCTGGCATCCTCGAAAGAGTGACCTTTGTCCTTTAGATGCAAATGAACTGCTGAGTCCTGTCCCGTGGAGGTGGCTCTTCTATGTTGTGCCATGCGCTTGTGAAGTGGCTGTTTGGTTTCTCTACATTGGAGAAACCAAACAGCCACTTCACTATATTTAGTTTCTCTTTCATACTTTTAATCTCCATCGTTGTGTGTATAGATCCTAGACACGTTAGCTTTTTCCATTTAAATTTTGCTGTACTTGTAAAGGGCTTGTGATCACACGTGATAACACATAGCATTCTGGGATGTTGGAAGGCTGACGAGTGTAAAGAAACCGTATAACAAACGGTACTGTCGCAGAGAAGAAGCAGATTAGGGAAACAGAAAGTGTTAAACAACATCACAAAATCCCAAAAGGATGCAGAAAACACAGAGAGATGTTATATAACGACGTCGGGGATGGTGTGTGGACTAAATCAACGTTGTGAATGGTTTTGATCCACATGAATGACCCAAGACTGGAGCACCGATGACATTTTGACGGACGTTTTCAGTTTTCTTGTTTGTGGTGTGAGCGGATGTTAACGTCCAGATTTATTTGCTGGTTTTTCTAGTAAATCTATCAAAATGATCATCCTACAGAAGACGTGTAGCAGGAGAAGTTGTGTTGTGTGTCAGCGCGCCCGCATTAGCTCACCGGTATGTGTGTGCAGCCTCTCTGTGTGTGTGTGTGTGTGTGTGTGTGTGTGTGTGTGTGTGTGTATGTGTTTCTTATGCATGTTGCAGTTGAGGGAAAGAAACTATGTATAAAAAACGTACACTGTCTGTAACTTAGCAGAATGAAAATACTCCAGAAGGTGATGTTTGGTCGCCTTACAGCAGTGAGCCGATGAGACTTTGTTAAGCTAGCTACTTGGTCTCCGTAGTTTTCCCTCTAAGCAGGAAAACGGTGAAAATTTAGCTTGTTTTCCACCTTTATTCTCCTGGTGATCACGTGTGTCACCCACAACACAGCAATGATCTACTAGAGTTGTGTAATATAACCAATCAACTGAATAACATTAATTTAAGCCAACAGAACGAGACTGAGCGCTGTTTACAGTAGTAACAATGAACAAGTACGGACTCACACGCCTCCCACAGGGCAGACGCGTCGGTGATGACATCACGATCACAAGCCCTATAGACTGTTTGAAAATGAACAGCTAAAGGAATGAAGATACACAGTAAATCTAGTTCACAGAGATGTTTGCTTCAGCGTAATCAGCAGTTTCTAAAACTACAAGAACCACCATCACACAGTTTCTAAAACTACAGGGACCCCCATCACACAGTTTATAAACTACAAGGATCACCATCACACAGTTTATAAACTACAAGGACCCCATCACACAGTTTATAAAACTACAAGGACCCCATCACACAGTTTATAAACTACAAGGACCACCATCACACAGTTTATAAACTACAAGGACCCCATCACACAGTTTATAAACTACAAGGACCCCATCACACAGTTTATAAAACTACAAGGACCCCATCACACAGTTTATAAACTACAAGGACCACCATCACACAGTTTATAAACTACAAGGACCCCATCACACAGTTTATAAAACTACAAGGACCCCATCACACAGTTTATAAACTACAAGGACCACCATCACACAGTTTATAAACTACAAGGACCACCATCACACAGTTTATAAACTACAAGGACCCCATCACACAGTTTATAAAACTACAGGGACCCCATCACACAGTTTATAAAACTACAGGGACCCCATCACACAGTTTATAAACTACAAGGACCCCCATCACACAGTTTATAAAACTACAGGGACCCCATCACACAGTTTATAAAACTACAGGGACCCCATCACACAGTTTATAAAACTACAGGGACCCCCATCACACAGTTTATAAAACTACAGGGACCCCCATCACACAGTTTATAAAACTACAAGGACCCCCATCACACAGTTTATAAACTACAAGGGGCCCCATCACACAGTTTATAAAACTACAGGGACCCCCATCACACAGTTTATAAAACTACAGGGACCCCATCACACAGTTTATAAAACTACAAGAACCATCATCACCTAGTTTATAAAACTACAAGGATGCCCATCACACAGTTTATAAACTACAAGAGCCCCCATCACACAGTTTATAAAACTACAAGGACCCCATCACACAGTTTATAAACTACAAGGACACCATCGCACAGTTTATAAAACTACAAAAACCACCATCACACAGTTTATAAAACTACAGGGACCCCATCACACAGTTTATAAAACTACAAGAACCACCATCACCTAGTTTATAAAACTACAAGGACCCCATCACACAGTTTATAAACTACAAGGGCCCTATCACACAGTTTATAAAACTACAGGGACCCCATCACACAGTTTATAAACTACAAGGACCACCATCGCACAGTTTATAAAACTACAAGAACCAGCATCACCTAGTTTATAAAACTACAAGGACCCCCATCACACAGTTTATAAACTACAAGGACCACCATCGCACAGTTGATAAAACTACAAGAATCACCATCACCTAGTTTATAAAACTACAAGGACCCCCATCACACAGTTTATAAACTACAAGGGTCCCCATCACACAGTTTATAAAACTACAAGGACCACATCACACAGTTTATAAAACTACAAGAACCACCATCACCTAGTTTATAAAACTACAAGAACCACCATCACACAGTTTATAAAACTACAGAGACCCCATCACACAGTTTATAAACTACAAGAACCACCATCACCTAGTTTATAAAACTACAAGGACCACCATCACACAGTTTATAAACTACAAGTGCCCCCATCACACAGTTTATAAACTACAAGGACCACCATTGCACAGTTTATAAAACTACAAGAACCACCATCACCTAGTTTATAAAACTACAAGGACCCCATCACACAGTTTATAAACTACAAGGGCCCCCATCACACAGTTTAT